ATAAAAATATCAATACATCTAGAATATAGTGCCCTGTTTCCCCGAAAATAAGACAGTGTCTTATATTAATTTTTGCTCCCAAAGATGCGCTAGGTCTTATTTCCAGGGGATGTCTTATTTTTCCATGAAGAAGAATACGGTACACATTTATTGTTAAATGAAAATAAAGGAAATTTATTACCTGTATATGGTAGTACGGGAGTTGTCAACACAAACCAGACAAACTGTGAATCCTACAGTATTAAGAATTTACTCATTTATTCAATGACAATCATGTCATCATCTTCTGGAACATCATCATAACAATCCAATTCCTGAATTTCCTGGTGAATTTCTTGTGACTCCATTTCTTTCAGAACCAGTGGACCAAATCTCTCATGTTTAGCCTAGGGGGGGCCTTATTTTCAGGAGATGCCTTATATTTCACTCAGAAGGAAACCTGGAAGTCGTATTTTCGGAGGATGTCTTATTTTCGGGGAAACACAGTAGTTGCTAAATGCTTAGTTTAAGTGAGTCATTTCAGCTTACTGGACATATCTCTCTATGGGTATCAATTATTGCAAAAAATGTATAAGAGAAAAGAGGAAATAAAACTTCATGTTCCTATTCCTCTAACCGAGTGGTCAGCAAACTCATTAGTCAACAGAGCGGCAAACCGTGGCTCTTGAGCCACCGTTTGCAGACTACTGCTCTAACCAATAATTGATTGCATGCAAGCATTTTATTGTATTTTCTTAAAATCTGTATACAATTTTGCATATTGCTTTTTTCCTCTTTTACACTATACTAGAGGCCTGATGCATGAAATTCATGCAAGAGTAGGCCTGCCTTTTCCTAGTTGCTGGCACTGGCTCCTCTCTGGCACCTGGAACCCGGGTTTCCCTAGCAGCCCCAGCTTTGTCCGGAAGGTCATCCAGTCTAATTAGCATATTATGCTTTTATTATTATAGATGATGATATAAACACAGGCAATATTTAGCTTTCATAAGTACATGTTTTGAAGGATACTCTTCCCAAATAGCATTCAGTCTATATGATAGTTTGTTTTCAATTTATTACAATTTTAACATAATAAACAACTTCCTTTATTGTAGTCCCCTCTTCCTCAACTGTGCCCCCACCACCACTCCATATTTTTTTAGATTAGCTATGGAGAGGTAGAATTACTAGATCAAAACAATTTTAGTTCTTGATTCAGTATTGCCAAAATGCTTTCTGGAAAGCTTATACCTGTTTAGGTTCTCACCATAGTGACTGAGTGTCTGGTTTCCCTTTGCTGTCATTAGGCTTTAATAATATATGTAATTGAGCAAATTTAATAATCTTATTTTGATTTTCAGCTGGATTGTATTCATGTCTTTATCATTTTATATTTACCTATTTTTTTTGTAATTTTCGTGATCAGATTATTTGGATCGGGAGGGTTTTAAAAAAAATTCTTCATATAGTAAAAGTATTAACTGTATACTTCATATTTATTTCAATAGTTTTTCCCAATTTATCATTTACTGTTTATTCTCAGCATACTTAGGATTTACTTTTATGTAAATAAAATCTGTTGAACTTTTTTTTTGCATCCCAAATTAGTAAGCTCGCTTTTTAAAAGTTGTATTTTGTATGTTGTTTGATTTTTTAAACTTACTTTTAATCTACTTACTATCTTGGTGTTGTATAAGGAAGCCTTTCTCAATTGGAGAGAATTAAACTCTTATGCTTTGAGCCCTCCATGATTTACTGTGAATTAATTCCTCTGTTTCTGGACTGGTGCTGGGTATGCACCATCCTTGGAAGAATTGAGAAAACAGTCACTTAAGTCATTTTCCTGGGTTCGGTATCTGAGATGAAGAATACTAATTAAAGAAAGCCTGGTAAAGCTCTTTATAAATCTCTTTCAAAATTGGTTAGCAAATTGTCTCATCAACTGTATAATCTGCATCATAGACTTCTGGGAGGATTAAATGATAAAATTCACATAAAATTGTATAGTGCTTGGCTTACATATAATAAATACCAAGCTATGGATGTTAGCTATAATTTTTCTAACTTTTTTTTTGAATTAGGTATATTGAGGATTTTCTCTTTTGGGTCGGTACTAATTTACCCATATGGGCATTCAATGTGGTTGAATATGCGTGGAACTACTTTTTTATTTTCCTGACTTCTATTGCTATTTTTATTTTTCATACAGTAATTTTTTTCCTGAGTTGTTTATTCTTACCTGTTCTATTAAATTCCAAGAAGAATTACAGTGAGGTTTTGTTGGAATTTTATTAAGCTTGTACATTTCGAAAAAAAAATAGTATGTTTGCAATACTTGACTTTTTTCCAGAGAGGAGAGAGTTTGTTTTTCTCCTTATAAAATTTTATCTTCTATTGTTTTATAGAGTTTAGTAGTGCTTCTCCACATAGGCATATAATATTATCCCTACATATTTAGTTTGTCATTACAGACAGCCCTCGGGTTATGTTGGACTCGCCGTACATCGTTTTGTGGTTATGTCTCCATCTCCCATTTATTTATTTTTTTAAAAAAGTTCCGTCATTTTGACATATTTACCTATATGCTTGATCTTTTTCATTATTTATCACAAGTAAAGGTCAGGAATTGTTATTTTCTTTTAATTTTTTTTTACTGTTTCTCTTCATTACTGCTGTGTTTTTGCGCCATGGGAGTGCTTATGCAGGTGGGTTCTGACTTAGGGCAAAAAGCGCCTTATGTCATGTCGAAGGAACGGATCTCTGACGTAACCTGAGGACCTACTGTATTATAAATGGCATCAATTTTCCCCAGTGTATTTTCTGAAAGGTTATTGGTGATTATTTGAAGTGTGTGTGTGTGTGTGTGTGTGTGTATGTTTATATTGATTCTAGAGAGAAAAGAAGGGAGAGAGAGAAAGAGGCACATCTATACAAGAGAGAAACATCAGTGGGCTATCTCCTGCACACCCCCTTCTGGGAATCGAGCCTGCAACCTTGGGCATGTTCCCTGACCAGGAATGGAATCAGTGACCTTCATTTTTTATTGTTAATTCTCACAGGAGGACATTTTTCCATTAATTTTCAGAGAGAGTGGAAGGGAGGAGGAGAGACAGAGACAGAGACATTGATGTGAGAAAGACATCAGTTGGTTGACTTTAGCACGTGCCCCAACCCGGGCCAGGGATTGAGTCTGCAACCGAGGTCCATGTCCTTGACCAGAATTCAGTCCACAGGTCCAGGGTCTATTCACTGAGCCAAACCAGCAACCTTTGGTGCATGGGACAATACTTGCCCAACTGAGGCACACTAGCCATGGGGGGCTTAATGCATATTCTTTAAAAATACCACTTCTCTTTTCAATATTAATATTTGTTTCTTATTTTTCTGTTTTGTTTTTTTTGTTTTGTTTTGTCTTTTTACTTCTGAAACAGTGCTAAATAACTGATAATGTGGCATTCTTGTTTTGGTCTTTATTTTAATAGGGGTGTCCTTCAAGTTTTATTTTAAAATTATTGGCTATTGGTTTAAAATGTACTTTTTTCAACTCCAGAAGTTTATTAAAGCAACGTATGTTCATTGAAAAAAATAACACTATAAAAATAAGTATAGCTATAAGGAACTGTCAATATATTTGTAGTTTTTAGATTTTTTCAGATTTGAAGTACTTAATTTTATCATCACTTTTTATTTTGAGATGGAAAAATTTAATTGCTCTGTAATCAGTTAACACATGATTCTGTTAGATACCTAGCACAGTGGTTGGCAAACTCATTAGTCAACAGAGTCAAATAGCAACAGTACAATGATTGAAATTTCTTTTGAGAGCCAAAATTTTTAAATTAAACTTCTTCTAATGCCACTTCTTTAAAATAGACTCTCCCAGGCCATGGTATTTTGTGGAAGAGCCACGGTCAAGGGGCCAAAGAGCCGCATGTGGCTCGAGATGCACAGTTTGCCAACCACGGTCCTGGCATTAAAACATCCAGGGGATCAATCCTACTTTGTCATGGATGATAGTCGTTTTAATACTGTGTTCTAGTGATGAATGGGATAAGTTAGGATCTGAGAATTAAAGCACCTAGTATTTGTATTTATCTTTGACATTTTTAAGTGCATCACCTTGACAAAATTATCTTAACTTCTTTTAATGTTAGTGTTATTGTTTATGAAATGAGAAACCTATTACAACCCTGATGCCTAATGGCCTTTCCTGCCCTTTGGATTATAAAGTTGTCTCACCCTCTCCTTCACTCAGACTCTCTTGAATAGGCAATGTTCAATACCCAAGGGAAATTCAATTCTACACAGGACATGTAGAAATATTATTTTCTCTTAAATATCTCTGGTCTTAAACCTTTGCTTGCTTCTCCCATTGCTGCTACTGTTCCTCATCTCTGACTCGGGCATGAAATTCACTGCCTTCCTTGATTTTTATAAAATTCCTAGAAATACAATTTAAAAGGCAAAATATTTTTAGTGATTTAAGCCACTCTATTCTTTGCTTTTATAGACCACCCATCTAGACCTGCTGCTTCCTGCCTTCTTGTCTTGCTTACCATTCCTTTCCTTTCTGTTAATACCAAGTCTTCCTTAGTGTTTCACAAGAGCAGTTCTGCCCTCTGTGTCTTTGACATAAAGCAAATACCCTGGTCTCTGGAGGGTATTAGTTTCTTTTCTAAGAGCACTGTTGGTTTTAGTTATTAATAACTTATTCCTACCACATTATCTTTTAGGACTTTGTTGAATAAATTAAATGAAATAACCTTAAAGTTTACAGGCAAGTCTACATAGTAGATATTCAAAGGTTTTCCTTCCCTGCCCCTACCCTATCACTCCAACTTAACTCATATTAATACTTTGTCTAAATCAAGATGTTTGTGGTATGTGGTTTCCAGTGCCTCTTAATTTTGTAAAATCAACTTTTTTGAGATTCTTTTATAATGATTTAAACATTAGAGTTTGTTTTTATGTGTTAAAAAGCTTTTTACTTGTTTTATAGGAAATTAATTGTTAAAGCCAGTATGGCCGCAGGAGGAGGTCCTTTTGAAGAAGGCATGAATGATCAGGATTTACCAAACTGGAGCAATGAGAATGTTGATGACCGACTCAACAATATGGTATGATTATCTTATTGATTGTGTGTTCCTGACTGCTGATATTAAAATCAGACTCACTGAAACTATCTGTAAAGCTGGCCAAGATATTAATGCTTGGCTATTTGTTACATTAGTGAAGACATTTTTGTTTGCAGGTAACAGATACCAACTTGAGTTAGCTTAAGCCAAAAAAGAGGTTTCTTTAAAAAGGATATACAGCTGTTTTATGGAAAACAGTTTAAAGGAATAAAATTGAGTTTTAAGAAGGGACTAGAAAAAGGAACTAAAAGTTTTCCAAGAATTACTTTTTTGCTACTTTCACTCTCCTGAGTGCCTCTGTTTAACCCAATTTTTTCTTCACAGCCCAGCTTTCTCTCTCCTCTGCTCCACATGGTGCATTATGGCTGCTCTTTGATTCTCAAGTTATCAGTTATAGCTGCAATTAAATATTGATTAGTTATTTTTTTTACTGGCTAGTGAAATTTTAAAGTATGAATATCCCAATTTAGATTAGATATGCATCTTTTCCCCCAGTTATTTGTGCACCAGGCCTCTAGTAGTAAATAATTGTCTCTAAGGATGGGATAGGTTAGACAGCAACACCAACACATGGATTGGGGTAGAGGGATAGTTTGTAGAGAAGGATCTTTTGTTATAAATGAAGAAAATATCCCGAAGGTTTTATTATTGTAAAACTAAAGGGTTCTTCTAATCTGGATATGGTGGGAATTTATAGACTTTTTGTTGAATGAGTTAAGTTAGTAAATAAAAATGTTTTCTAGGGAAAACATTAAGCATTTTTTGTTATCAAAATCTTATGTAAAACTTACTATAAAAATAGTAAATTTTGTTTATTGCTCACTATATACTAGGCACTGTGTTAGATGTTTTCTATATGCTATTTTTAATTGTGTTTTAAAGGTGGCACTATTTTAGAGATTAGGCAGCGGTGACTATGGGAAGTTAAATTGCTTAGGGTCATGCAATGGAGCATTTCTTCAGAAAACAGTAATTACTTTAGAACCCAGGTTGATTCCAGATCTGCCTTCTTGTCATTCATACTAACTTTAAAGAAGTTCAGTAAAGGTATCTATAAATTCATTTCCCTATTTTATTTATATATGCCTAAGCAACCATTATGACCAGTTGACCAAATGACTGGTCACTATGATGCATACTGACCACCAAGGGGCAGACGCTCAATGCAGGAGCTGCCCTCTGCTGGTCAGTGCACTTCCACAGCCAACCTCCCCTGGCTAGCCAACCTCCTGTGCTCTCTCCACCCAACCAGCCCTGATTGGGACTGGTTGAGACAGCCCCAATAGCTGGCCAGGCTGAGGGACAGCCCATGCATGAATTTGTGCATCAGATCTCTAGTTCATAAATAATAAAGAACCATGTATAAAAATGCTTTTGAAAATATTCAGACTGACCTTAGGGTTGGAGGTTGGGGATTTTTTTGTTTTGTTTTTTTTTGGTACTGAACTAAAATTGATGGTTTAGTAATCCTTCTGTATAATGAAAGGATAATATGCAAATTGTCCCTGCGACTGGGAGTTTGACTAGGAGTTTGACCAGGAGGTGGGACCAGCTGGCCAACAGCCTGAGGCCCCTCCCCCTGCCAGCCCCGCACCCAATCAGCCCTCCTACCCCAATCAGGGACGAGGCTGGCTGGCCAAACACCTGGAGTCCCTCCCTCATCCAGCCCTGCCCCCAATTGGCCCAAATTAGAGTGGGCTGGCCAGACCCCACCCATGCACAAATTAGTGCACCAGGCCTCTAGTAGTAAATAATTGTCTCTAAGATTACATGATGATGTGAAAGTGTTTTGTCATTTTTAAGGCTGACCAAAAATTTTTAAGCGTAAGTTATTTTCCTGGTTTGATAGAGGCTCTATTAACCCTTGCCTTTACTTTTTTAAAGGATTGGGGTGGCCAGCAGAAGAAGGCAAATAGATCATCGGAAAAGAATAAGAAAAAGTTTGTTGTAGAAAGTGACAAGAGGGTAACTAATGATATTTCTCCGGAGTCATCACCAGGAGTTGGAAGACGAAGGACAAAGACTCCCCACACGTTTCCACCTAGTAGATATGTGACTCAGATGTCTGTTCCAGAGCAGGCAGAATTGGAGAAACTTAAACAGCGAATAAACTTTGGGGATTTAGATCAGGTTAGTGAATTATTTTAAAAATAAGTTGTGACTAAGGGAAATATTTGAGATGTCTTAAATAATTTCTTTTAAGTAAAATATTGAGCTTTTTCTTTTTTCTTAGTTTCTGTGCATGGAAAGAATCTTGATCAGTGATGATAATGTAGGTTCTTTGAAGGGCAACAAGGTCTTATTTCTAAATTTGCTAGACGTCTTTCTTTACTTTGTTACTGTATCTTATTCCTAAAATTATTTCATTATGAAACTAAATTTTGTATGTTAGTACTGAATAAGATTGCTATTAAGGAAAATCCATATTAGAATATTTATTATTGGCTCTATGGAATGTGCTGGATAAACCTCATTTAGAATAAAACTAGGGTTTGTATTAGTAATCAAAGTTTACAAGTAAGAACAAGTAGAAATATAATGAATTTTTTTTTTTTTTTTTAAGATGCTGAGCTTTATGTTTTTCAATTGTGGTACCATTTTGTGTAAATGATAATGAACACTTAATATTTTACTATGACATTGGCACTTTATATTGATGAACACGTTTTTAGGTAGCATGAATGTTGGTAAAGTCTTGTATGGTGATGATCATATGTCATTAGTCATTTATTTACTAATTATTGAACACATATTATATGCCAGGCACTGAGCCTAGTAGTTTTTTAGGTATTGCTTCATAAAAACAAATCTTTATGCTGGTGTTCATATTAATTAACATTGATTCACTGGGTCTAAAGCCTATAGAAAACTCTGTGAATTAGTAAGACTATAATTATATCCTAGTACTTTCTGTAGATCAATCTTGCTGATATCATTAGTTGAATAGTCTGAAAATTAGGAATCAAATTTGTACTAGTCAAATTTTGATATTTTAGTAGAATTTTGTAGATCTGAAGCGATTTCATATCTTACAAAAGGTGTTTATACATACCTCCTGAATCAATATCTCAGGGTGAAACTGACTAAGAATGTTGGAATATTTTTAATTGTTGAAAGGTTAATGTTTGTGGATTTGTTTTGTTTTTTTCATATGTAGAGAAGCATTGGAAGTGATTCTCAAGGCCGAGCAACAGCTGCTAATAACAAACGTCAGCCTAGTGAGAACCGAAAGCCCTTCAACTTTCTGCCTATGCAGATTAACACTGACAAGAGCAAAGATGCTGCTCCAGGGCCTCAAAAGAGAGAGGTGATTGGCTCAGCACAATGTAAAGAGTTGTTTGCTTCTGCTTTAAGTAATGACCTTTTGCAAAACTGTCAAGTCTCTGAAGAAGATGGGAGAGGAGAGCCTGCAATGGAGAGCAGCCAGGTGGTAAAATGTTTCTTTTGCTCTTTGCCTTCACAAACCTCAAAGTTTAAAACATTAACATGAAATATATATATATTTTTTAGTGACCATAACGACCAAACAACTGGTCGCTATGATGTGCACTGACCATCAAGGGGCAGATGGTCAACATAGGAGCTGCCCCCTGGTGGTCAGTGTACTCCCATAGCCAACTTCCCTCGGCCCCTCTTCCCTGGCATGCTGCCCTGATTGCCCGATCTAGGCTTGCCAGCCAACCTCCCATAGTCCTGCCGCGCACACCTCTTCCCCCCCTACTCTCCCCCCCCCCCCCCCCCGTGCAAATTCATGCACCGAGCCTCTAGTATAATTATATTTTTGCTGTTTATCTGCCAAATACTATATTGCCAATTTTTAGTAAAGGGGAGTTGGGATCAAAGTGATTAATAGATTGTTGTAAGAATTTTTAAAAATGGTGATATAATTCCTTGGAAAAGTACTTTCAAAAGTATTTATAATAGTTTAAAATTTATTTATAAGTAAATATAAACATTAGAAAAAATTTATATAAATATTAGTTGATATACAGTTCTATAAATAAAAATTTTCAGGTAAATATATAAACGAATTTTGAAAATTTTAAGTAAACTAATTGGAGTTATTAGTATAGCTGATTATATTTTGATGAAATTCTAAATTTGATTCAGGTGTTTTGCATGTATGAATTCACACCATTACTAGAAGTATTTTTAGTCATATTGAAGTGTAAAGTATATAAAATTGTTGCTGTTGAATGAATTATGCTCAGTTTTACATCTGTTTACTTTTATGCCTTTTTAAAAAAAATATTTCCCCAGCAGATTGTAAGCAGGCTTGTTCAGATTCGTGACTATATTACTAAAGCTAGTTCCATGCGGGAAGATCTTGTAGAGAAAAATGAAAGATCTGCTAATGTTGAGCGCCTTACTCATCTAATAGATCACCTTAAAGAACAAGAAAAGTCATATATGAGATTTCTCCAAAAAATCCTTGTAAGTTATGGACCTTTTAAATAATGTATTGAGTTATTTTTTAGTATATCAGTGTACATGTATTGATGACTTTCTGTGCCACTTCAGAGGAGTTGATATATTTCAGAAAATCGTGCCGTCCGTTATAACATTTTACTGCCCTTTTTAATAGTTGTATGATTTATACCACTAAAATATTTCAGGCTAGAGAAAATGAGGAGGAGGATGTTCGGACTATAGATTCAGCTGTGGGATCTGGTTCTGTAGCTGAGAGCACATCGCTAAACATAGATGTGCAGTCTGAGGCTTCAGATACCACGGTAAGCGGCTTTTGGTAATTAAAGTGCTAGAAGTGAAGATTTAAACTTTTCTCCCATTTTTCAAGATTATATTTTTATAGGCATCCCTTAATGAAAATATATTTCAGGGAAGAAACTTCAAATTGTTAATGCTGACTGTATTCTTTTTAAACCTGGAAGTTTAAAAGTTTTATTTATTAACATTAAAAATATAGTTTTAATGGTTGATTTTAAAATCTAATAATTCTGATCTTCACCTTCCAGAAACAAGGTTTTTCTAGTTTGTTTTGTTAAGCACAAGTTTACTTGTCTTGAACAGCATTGGGAAAGTTCAAATTCATGGATATAAGAGCTAGAAGTATAGAGTATCACTGCTTAGAATATTGTCTATTTCAAGTCGCCAAGTTCATTTGCCATTGAGGACCCTTTTAAGGCTACTAGGATTTTTCATTTCTAGGTTAGTCTAGAAACTGTAGCAAATCAGATGACTGAAAAATTGAGATGAAAATGGGACAAGGTAGTATTTTCATTGTCATTTATTCACACAGAAAAATACTATAACTTCTGACTGCAAAATAAGATTTCTTAAAATATATCTTGAAAAATAATCAAGATTTTACAGAATTTTGAGGAAAGATTGTAAAATACACTTAGTTCAGATAAATTAGTGTGCTTTGATACTATTTTGCTTCTAAGCATTTTTATTTTAATAGATGCACCTATAACTGTGCATCAGTAAACTTCAAAACCTGTTACCAGTAAACCTTTTCTTATGAAACATGATATATGTATATCTTTCATTCCAAATACTATTCAGCATTAGGAATTTGAAGGTTTGTTTCCTTTTAGTATTGACCTGCATACTGGTAGTTTCTTATCTGCCTCTTTTCTCTTTTCTGCCCTTCTTAATTTAAAGAGGAAATTTGAATTTTTTTTCTCTATATTATTTTTACCAAGAGATATTCAGAGGGCTTGATCAAAATAGTTGTAAAAGAATGGATTCTAATGAGGAAATTGTTTTTCTGTTTATAGTGGTGCTGGAAATAATTTCTTCCTCACCTTTCATTCCAGCAGAAATGGAAGGCTTGGAGCCTATGGGTAAAGGAATTCTGTTGGGTATGAGTGGGAAATGGTATAGGTGGTTATTACAATTTTTATATAGTGTTCACTATGAAGATAATTTTTATAACAAAATCATATTGAAAATTGATTAACATAGCAGCATAAATGTTAAAATATGCATCAGCAGTTGTATAACTTGGAATTGTCTAGGATAAAATGATTGCAATAAGCAGTAGTCTAGTGTACAGAAATTTAAAAGTCGTAAGTTTATTGACACTTGTGGGAGGGTGGATTTTTAAAAAAATAGGCGGGTAAATTTTCTGTATTTATAAGGATGACTTGTATGTTAAATAGGAGTTTGTGTTAAGAAATTAATATGCTACACTATTTAATAAAGGAGGCATCTTTTAGTCTGAGAATTCGGCCGTTCATTGAGGACAAACTAGGGAATTCAGCTTCACAAGAACAGGTTTCAGACAATGACGTTACTACAAGTCCAAAAGGGAAAGGTGACAGACCTCCTCAGAATGACAGGGAACTGAGGCCTAATAGGAAATATAGCCGAAAACGCGGATTTCCCTCAAAGGTATATACTTCACAATATTAACTTGGGAAGTCTGTATATGAGCAGCTCTTTTGTTCATATTTCCTCTTCCTTATTTGCTTTTCTGTTACTGCTATTTTTCTTAAATGTGTTATGAATATGATTAATTATAATATGCTTTAGCAAAATGCTGTTTTTTAATGTTTTTATTCTTTTCTGCTTTCTTATACTCCACTCCAGGGGTTAAATTTGGCAGCTGTTTAGAATTTGCGTTAACAAAAGGACCTGAAACTTAATCAGTTTTTCCTTTGAGAATTCAAAATGTAACAATTTTTTTTTGCTATAGAGAATTCAAAATAGACCAAAGTATCTGCCTTGACCATTACTTGCCTTTGGTTTGTAGTTTTGTTCCTTTTGGAAATTCCTTCCATTCTTGTTTTGTTGTTTTTTTATATGTGTGAAAATACTTAATCCAGTTGACTTTGTTTGCTAATGTTTTTGCAATTCTTTTCCTCCAGTGTTTGCTCTAAATGTTTTTTCTTTTAATTTTTCATTATTTGCATAAAGGCACTCTGGAAAGGTTTAAAGACAACTATTTGTGTAGTTCAGTTAAACAGTTTGAATAAAAATAGCATTTCTAATGGTGCTCATATCCATTTGGCAAGAATAAAGGGCTATTTTGATAACTGAGTATCGACAAGACTAATTTCATGTTTTATTACTAGCTTATTATTACCTAGGATCAGTCTTTCTTTTATGTATGTACATTTTTTTGTTATGTACATACTTTATATTTTTTGTGTATGTTTAAAAATGGCAAAGCTTAACTTCTAGGTGTCTTTTTTTTTTATGACTCCCACAAGAGTTTGAAGATACAGATTAAAATCAGCTTTGGTGATGTTACTATATAGTGTTAAAAAGGTACCCCAGTTCAACAGAAAAGTCAGTAAAGTAGTTGATTATTTTTAAAACTACTGGCATTGGAAAAGAGAAAATAAACGTGAAGCACAGTAGATATTCTTTGAAACTAATGTTCTTTAAAACTTAAATAGTGACAAAGAGAACTTAAGAGTTGATAATTTACTATAGGGTAGTATTTGCCAGTTCTTTTTCTAAGATATTACATATGCCACTTTCCTTATTTTAAGTTTCTTTTAATAGCATCCTTGTAAATGAATATTCTCCTGAACTTCTTGGAGTTTATTCTAATCTGAATCTCTAATTGTTTGATTCCTAGGGCCATCCTAGAGTAATTCTATCAGTACTCTGTTCATTAAGTTATTTTAATTTCTCAGAAAAAATTCATAATTCCCACTGATTTGGTTCTTTCTCTGTTCTGCAGAATCTGTCATTCTTCCTACCCCACCTTTCCTTCCTTGACATCCTATCAAAATGTAGTATTCTGTTAGAAGAGTAGGGGGGAAAGTTGTGATCTTACCTAGATTCAATGTAATGGAAAATGATTAATATGCTCAAGCTGCCTACAAGGGCAGAGTCCATTTTATGGATTTTTTTTTATAGATAGGATGACATGTGGCATAATTTTTAAATAGAAGCCTTCCACAAATACTTATGTCCTCATTGTTTTCCCATACTCATCTTTTTCCTTACCCTTAATCCTAGCTCTTAGAAAATTTGTAGGCTTTTAAAAATACCATTTAGTTTTTTTCATGTCTAACTTTGTCTCCCAAATCAGATTATGCTTCTTCAGAAGTTATATCTTAGACCTCTGTGTTTATAACTATCTAAATGCATAAATTGGGGGCAGATAGTATGGTGTTAAAAACTCAAAACTAGAACCTAGGAATTTTACTTCCCCAAATTGTGATATTGGATAAATCATAGCTCTATTTTCTCTAGGCTTTTAATTCATCATCTTTCACATTAAAAAAAAAATGTTGGAGTACATATTTATCTGAAGTGCTGTTTAGCCTTAAAAATACATTTGCATTCATGAAGAATATTGGAGGAGCCTCAGCTAAGTAGAGGAAACTTAGCGTTTTCTGAAATCAGACTGTTAACCTGTATGTAACTCAGTATTTCATGCCACAAGATTTTTATTTTTAAAAATATATTTTATTGATTTTTACAGAGAAGAAGGGAGAAGGATAGAGAGTTAGAAACATTGATGAGAGAGAAACATTAATCAGCTGCCTCCTGCACACCCCCTACTGAGGATGTACCCGCAACCAAGGTACATGCCCTTGACTGGAATTGAACCTGGGACCCTTCAGTTCTCAGGCTGATGCTCTATTCACTGAGCCAGGCCAGTTAGGGCCTAAGTTATTTTTAAAATCTGTAAACTTAAAAGCATTCTTGTTGAAAATGACTCGGGAAGTTTAGTATGGTTTGAAGAATGGATATAGGCTTGGCTTCTTTTGGGGTTTCTGATAGTAGTCACCACCTACAGCCCTTAGTTCAGCTTTTTGAAGTATTATTCTGAAATATTATTTTTTATGGATGCAAAAATTATCAAGCAGTAATAAAACCACTAATTTAAAAAATTGTTGGGAATTCATCTCTGGATTAGTGAAAAATCTAAATGTAATTATGTTTACTTTAGTAAATAGTTCAGAATTCTTTATAATTACGATATCAAAGTTTTGCAAATGGATGTGACTAACAAGGATTAAAATTAATTTAAAAGTTTGCTTTTTAAAGTGTAAAAAATCCATAATACTATATTGGATAGTAAATCCTTTAGGAATAGATAGCTTTCAGGTTACCTTGAGGTCTGAACAGATTTTGAGAGATGAGAGGATTTTTAAATTAGGTGGGGCTATATACATTCTTGAAGGTTTTTTTGTTGTTTTTTTTCCTAGATCACATTTTGCCCTATTTGTGCAATGTTTCTTCTCCTAATTAATCACCATTAATTCTCTGCTGGAACATTTGATATTAGTCTGGAGACATTTCTCTCGGTCATTCCATTAAGATCTGTACCTATTTTTGCTCTGGTTTCACATTTTACCAATGACTTTGATGCAATTAGTTTGGATCAAGTCTGAGAAAGTTAACTACTTATAGTTATCCCTCCTCCTTCGAGTTTCTTTTTTTTTTTTCTTCATTTTTTTATATAAAGAGTGATGAAATAAGAAGATGAGTTATGACAGGAAAGAATGTAACATATGTTCTAAGTTAATAGAAGCTTTTTATTTAAATATTAAGTAGAATCATTAAACTTTTAAAATATAAGATTTTTAAAAAGCAAATCTATGATGAAAAATATAATGGTAAATAGTTCAGACATAATTTGGTTTATAATTGTTTCCTAGCTATATTTAAATTTGTCTCTGCTTAATTGACTTAATTTTTCTTGTTGGGTTATATATGAATAATTATAAATTTTTAAAACTAGTTTTTAAATAATCTGATCCTCTATTTTTAGGCAAAAATGCTGGCTATTTTGATGGGAATATTAGAGTATTCTAAATGAACTTATTTTAGAAGAAAAAATATTTTTGATACAAAATGTAAAATTTTCTGCTTTACATTTGCTGGTATAATGTGATGTGAGTAAATTAAAGCCTTTCACATCAGATTATCAAATGAAAAATGTGTTTTTAAAATTGTTTGGTGGTTTTTTTTAAACACTTAGGAGTGGGGCAAAACTGTTGTTTTTTTAGTCATTTTCAAGGATACTTTTTAGGGCATTAACCTGGTGTGATTTGCTCTTCCTTTTCTGTAAGGACTGCATCCCTCTTTTATTTGTGTATTTGTAGGTGTTTATAGTTCCTTTTGGCTTTAAGCCTGTCTGTCTTTTATTGCATGCCTTTTTCTTTATTTTCCTTTTGTTGGTTCCTCTTTATGTTAAGCCATTGCTTATGTTCTTTGACTATGAAATTACCTATCTACCTTCTCAATATGGCAGGCTTCCTGTGTTACCATTTTTTTTCTTAAAGTTTATTAAACCTGTCTCTAGGGTTGTATAGTTAGTACTAATTTATTATCTATGTATGTACTTTGCCACTGGTAATTGAAACGGAAACATGAATTTTAATAGATATAATTGTTGTTGGTCTTATTTTCCAGGCCAGAGATCCTCAGCAGGAACCTATGGAAGAGATAGAAAATTTGAAGAAACAACATGATTTATTAAAAAGGATGTTACAGCAGCAGGAGCAACTGCGAGCTCTGCAGGGAAGACAAGCTGCTCTCCTTGCTCTGCAACATAAAGCAGAGCAAGCTATTGCTGTGATGGATGACTCTGGTATGCCACAGTCTTAGAAAGTTGTTTTAGAAGCAAGGTGGATGCTGGTTATTAAATAGTCAGATCTTGATCATTGACAAGTTTAGAAACAAATGTAAGGCTTACCCTGTCCTGTGCTTTTCTCTGGTTATGCAGAAAATATTGCAGGGACACCTCCTGGCCATCATACTGTACCGGGCAGACAGCCACCTCGCTCTCCTTTTCATCAGAGAGTACCCTTACGAGGTAAAAGGGACAGGCTGTAGTTCTGTTTTTGTATTTTATTTTGGTAGGATTGCTATATTTTGCTTGTCTCCCAAGGAAGTGTTAAGACCTTAAGTAAGATGGTGATTAGATTTGTAGAGCTTTTTTAGCTTCTGAGATTACTAGTTGTTTAGGTATCCATTTGTGTACAGTAGTTCATTTGGGCTATGTTTTTATCCTATACAGTTTTCCTTTTCCTGAGACTAAGAAATACTCCCCCCCCCCCCCCAATAGTCGTGTATCACTTAGGTGGAAATTTTATTGCATTGTTTAGTATTGAGTTTAATTTGTCTCATCACCTTCAAACTTAAGTGTTTAATCTTCATTAAGTTGGAAACAAATTTTTACTTTTTAAAACTCAGGTAATATTTCTAGTAGTCTCATCCCATTCTAATAATTTATCACCCTGTGGGCTCTCCATTTTAGGTCCTCACTGAAGTTAGCTTGTTACTCGATTTATCCTGCTACTCACACCCAGCCCACTGGCTCAGCCCTCTGGTCACTGTTATGCATGATTTAGTTTTTTCCTTTTCATAAGAAACTTTATGACTTGCAAGTAACTTATTACTCTTTTATAATAATTACATAGTTATATATAATATATATAGTATAGCATATAGTAATAAGTATAAGATTTAAAAGAAAATCCTCACCAAGCCTATGCTTATTGTTTTTTAGAGAGAAAGTAACAAGGAGAGGGAGAGAGGGAGAGAGGGAGAGGGAAGCAGGCAGAGGCAGAAACATTGATCAGTTGCCTTCCATAATCACCCCCACCAGGTATGGGACCCTCAGCCTAGGTATGTGCCCTGACCAGGAATTGAACCCACAACCTTTTTGTGCACAGCATGATGCTCCAATCATGAGATTCCTGGCCAGGGCAATAATTATAAGATTTTAATTCCCACTTTCCCTTTTAAAATTCAAAGTATCATTAGCTTTTACATTTAGTAAAAACATATTTTACTAATGACCAATACTAGTTTGGTTAATAATGCACTTTTAAACATTTTTCAAATTTGGAGTGTTAGATTTCAGAGACTTTTCTGTGATAGTTAATGCTATTTGAAATAATCAAGTTTACATCATCTCAATTGATTATCACAAAATTAGTCTCAGGAGCTTTGTTTTCTCACTTTATAAAGAAGGACCTCCAGCACAGAGTTTGTGACTTGCTTATACGAAATTTTAGTAGCATCAGATCTCTTGAGCTTTATTTAGGTCAGTGGTCTTCTGTTTATGAACTATTATTTTTAAGTAAGCATATAATCTATTTTTTAAAAAAAGAAAAATGTGTACTGTCATTAGGCAGGGACCAGGAATAGAACGAATAAGAGTTTTAATTTATTTTATATACTATTTCAAAAAGAATTTTAGGTTAATAATTTTAAGGCAGATTTACTCTTATATTTATGAGATTTTGCAAAGGAATACTGATGGAAAGCCACAATTGTTTTATTTAATTTTCTTATATATAAGAGGCAACATAATTGTCCTGGGAAAGAGTGCTCCTTTCATCATGTAACTAGAAAGCTGTGTGTTAGGTATCTAGACTGTAATTTCTTCCTTTTCAGAACATAGTTTGGACTAGATGTGTGGGATTCTCTCCAGCCCTGAAATTTGAATTTTTTAATAGAAAAATGCTAGTATATTCCTTTTAAAGAGAAACAGTTTATAGTCAGTGTCTCATTTAGAGCTAGGATAAGCATGGGGTGGCTGGATAGTAGAACACCAACCGTTATCAAAATTGTCATCAGAACACTGCCTTAGAAAGGAAGATAAAAACTACGGTCTTTTAGTATGACTAGTATCACAGGCACTTACTTCAATAAACTATCTGTTCTGTTGCAGGGGTGAGCAACTGATGGCCAACTGGATTTGGCCCACTATCTGCAATAAAGTTTTAGGGAATATAGCCATGCCCATTTGTTTATGTATTTTCTGTGGTTACCTTTGCCCTATACTGGCAGGGTTGAGTAGTTGAAACAAAAACTGTATTTCTACAAAGCTTATTAACATTTAATAATACCTGAATCTTAAAGTTTGCTAGCCTTTGAACTAGAGCATAATTTGTTATTGTAGATGGGAATTGAGACCTATCAGAATCAGCTGTTCTTTTTCAGACAAGTACTTCCCCTAACACAGCCTCAACTCAGACTGCTAGACCTGTCCCCATCCCCACTCCATCCAGTCACTGTTGTTAATTGAGATGTAAAAGTATCCCTCCTTAAATGTTGGGACAGAAAAAGATGAACCACTAACTTAGAGTTTTGTCAGTTTCCCTTTATTTTCAGGTTAGATGGAAAAATAAGATGATTGGTTGACAAATCTGAGGGTTAACTAGTTTCAAATTATGTTAGTGGAGGTTTTTTAAGTCCTGTTTCTCCACAATTTATTTTTAGTTTCTCAAATTAAGTTTTTGTATTTTATTTACTTTAATTAATAATTCTTAATTTTTTTTTTTCAGTTGTACCAGAAACTGCAGGTAGCCTATCGGGAGTTAGTATCACATCTGAACTAAATGAAGAATTGAATGATTTAATTCAGCATTTTCATAATCAGCTTCGTGATTCTCAGGTAACAATTTTTTCACTATAGTTGAGTATAAGTCACATTGATTAAAACAGTGGAGCTCAAACCTTACTGAGCATAAGTATTATCCAATATGATTGTTAAAATAATGTAGATTTCTATTTAGTGGGAGTCTTCCCACCTTTAAAATTATGATTCATACATTTAGCATGGGCTTTCTTCCATGTGTTCTAGTGCTGGTAGTCTAGGGATTACACTTTGAGAAACAATAAATTAGAAGAAAATCTATTTTGAATGAAGTGATTAGTGAAATTTTCCCTTTGTGTGCTACTGAATAACATGTTGTTTTTTCCTCTCAAAAGATGAAGGGTCACAATTTTAAACTTGTTTTGTTTGAATCTTTGACTCTATGTCCTTGTAATAATTTCTTTTCTTTTTTTTAAAATATATTTTATTGATTTTACACAGAAAGGAATTGAGAGGGACAGAGAGTTAGAAACGTTGATGAGAAACATCGACCAGCTGCCTCTTGCACACCCGCCACTGGGGATGTGCCCGCAACCAAGGTACATGCCCTTGACCGGAATCGAACCCAGAACCTTTCAGTTCACAGGCCGAGGCTCTATCCACTGAGCCAAACTGGTCCTGGCTATGTTGTAATAATTTCTAACAATTTTAAGAAAGTTCTTAAGTTTAATTTCAGAGTAAATAAGTTCATAATTTATTGACCTTTTATTTATTTAAAAAAAAATACACTTTATTGATTTTTTACAGAGAGGAAGGGTAAGGAATAGAGAGTTAGAAACATCCATGAGAGAGAAACATGGATCAGCTGCCTCCTACACACCCCCAACTGGGGATGTGCCCACAACCAAGGTCCATGCCCTTGAACGAAATCGAACCTGGGATCTTTCAGTCCGCAGGCCGATGCTCTATCCACTGAGCCAAACTGGTTAGGGTATGACCTTTTAAAATAATTATATAAATGCAAACATTTCAGTCTGCGGGCCTTGAGTAAGAAAGGTGAATTAATACCTCTCCAATGGAATTGAGTATGATTGAAGATGCACTGTCACTTGCCTGCTGAACAACTGGAAATAAAAGAATATGGCCCAAACACTCTGGGGAGTTAATTAGCAATATCTAGTACGTATTTTCCAGGAATCTTGCAGTGTCCCACCTTAAGAAATTCTCTGTTCACAAGGAGTCATATTTTGTACAAGAATGTTCATGCAGCATTGTGTTAATAGCATAAAAATAAAAAGCAACCTAAATGTTCATCCATGAACAGGAAAATGGACTAATAAGTTATGTATACATAGAACGAATGAAAAATGCAAGTTTAAGAAGGGTACCACTTAGTATATGTTTAAAAATGTATAAAGAATGCATATTTTTTTTATGAGTACGTACATAGGTATTACAGACTAAAAGCTTGTTAATACTTTTGGAAAGAGTAATGGGGTTGGGTATTTTTATATAGAGAGCTTTAGCTGTATTTATAAGGTTATAGTTCTCTTTAAAAAAGAAAATTGATGCAAATGTGGCAAAATAGTAAAATTTGAGCTCAATGGCATTTATTCAATACTAGAGGCCCAGTGCATGAAAATTCGTGACTGGGGGGGGGGGGGTAGGGGAAGTCCCTCAGCCTGGCCTGCACCCTCTGTCAGTCTGGGACCCTTCAGGGGATGTCCACCTGCCAGCTTAGGTCTGCTTCCTGGAGGATTAGGCCTAAGCTGGCTGTCAGACATTCCTTTGACAGCCTGGGAGCCCTTGGGGGATGTCCCATTGACAGCTCAGGCAGGGAGCAGGCCTAAGTTGTCAATGGGACATTCTTAGTGCTGCCAAGGAGGTGGGAGGGGCTCCCTCCATCACCTTTGCACTTGCAGTCACCAGCCTGGCTTGTGGCTGAGTGGAGCTCTCCTTGTGGGAGCACCCTGACCACTAGGGGGCAGCTCCTGCATTAGTGTCTGACCACTGGTGGTCAGTGTGTTTCATAGCAACCATTCATTCCGGATCATTCTGCCGTAGGGTCAATTTGCATATTACTCTTTATCCTATAGGCTGTGGTTCCCTATGTCTTAGTGGAATTTTGAAAGGTTTCATAATTTATTTTAAACAGAGGAACATAGGAAAGAAGTGCATAGAAAGCCTTTGATAGGTTTAAGAAGTGAAAACTTTATGGTGGTGGTAAGAGAGGGATTGATAAGGCTTATTTTGTATAAAGTGTGGCACTGTGTAATCACGTGTGTCTATAAAATTATGTATATGTTAATAGTGGCAAAAAAGGAAGCACTATTCAATTTAGGAATGAGAAAGGCATATACTTACCCACCATACAACCCAGGCAAATATATATCTCTCAGGAAGAACATTTATTTTTTATATATTTTTATTGATTTCAGAGAGGAGGAGAGGGTAAGAATATTAATGATGAGAGAGAATCATTGATTGGTTGCCTCCTGCATGCCTTCTACTGGGGATCAAGCCTGCAACCTGGACCCTTCAGTCTGCAGGCTGATGCTCTATTCACTAAGGTAAACCAGCTAGGGCTCATGAAGAATTTTTATGCCTTTTAAAAATGAGGATGCAACCTTTAATTACCTTGGTTTTTATTTTTCTTCTATTTTTTTTTTTTTTTTTTTTTTTTTTTATAGCCTCTACCTGTTCCAGATAATAGGAGACAGGCAGAAAGTCTTTCATTAACTCGGGAGGTTTCCCAGAGCAGGAATCCAGCAGCTTCAGAACATTTACCTGATGAGAAAGGTCAACTTTTTAGCAAAATGAGAGTGTTACAGGAGAAGAAACAAAAAATGGACAAACTGCTTGGAGAACTTCATACGCTTCGAGATCAACATCTCAACAATTCGTCATGTAAGTAAATCTGGCTTAGTGGTACTAGGTAGAAGACACTTAAGTATAATAGCAGCATCTAAATAGTTCCTTAGTAAATATTTGGTGAGTGTATGAACACATAGTTTCTCAAGAAAATGACAGTTTGTTTGTTTTTATGGGGAGATAGAACTTGCATGTGAAAAGCTTTTAAGTAATAAGACAGTGTGATTCAGGCCACATAGATAGTAGATCTGTTGTATAATTCAGAATAGGGAAAGGATAAAGTTAGGCCTTGAAAATTGGGAGAATTTAAGGGAAAAGTAGAAGGTAATTAGATTCTTAGACATAATAATACTGCAGTTTTAACATATTCAAAATTTTCCTTTAAAGAAAAACTAATCCAAATTAATACTTGGTTTAAAAACATGAAAGTATATTTTAAAAAAGTCAGATAAAATAAAGTTTATGTAGTACATATGGTTTAATTCCAAAATATCCTTTTTTAAAAACATGTACCTAGTTATCTCATGTGGGAATAGGAAAGACAGTAATCATCCTAGTTTTACATAGAAACGGTCTTTTCTGCTTTGCAGATGTTTTCCTTGCCTCTGTCTAAGATATAGTGCTGATTTCTCTTTCGCTGTCCTCATCTTCACAAGCCTGGTTCCTGCCTTTGCCCAGACATGAGTAGGAGCTCTAGCATTGGAAATGGAGTCAGTAGAGTCAGGCTCAGTTGGTCATTATTCTTCAGCATTCCAGCTGTTCTCTTACTAAAGATAGAACAAGGAATAGAGATATTTCTGGGGTCCCTGTTTCTTTTCTTTGCCATGTTCAAAAGAATCTTAATATTTCTACCCTGAAACCTACTCCTTTTCCCTGACCTCTGTTATTCTGCTACTCTCTAGAGTATAAACTAATCACAACACTTAGCCTTCCTAAACAGATTAACACAACTAAGAAAACCTTAAAAATTTTAAAATATATATATATTTTATTGATTTTTCACAGAGAGGAAGGGAGAGGGATAGACAGTTAGAAACATCGATGAGGGAGAATCATCAACCAGCTGCCTCCTGCACAACGCTTACTGGGAATGTGCCAGCAACCAATGTACATGCCCTAGACCGGAATCGAACCTGGGACCTTGCATTCCACAGGCCGACGCTCTATCCACTGCCGAGCCAAACCGGTTTCGGCAAAACCTTAAAATTTGAAAGTTGTACTCAAGGCCTTGTGGTCAGTGTTATTCATATAGGAAAGTAACACACTGCTTACTGATGATACCAGAAAGTCATTTTCTTTCTACTGGAAAACTGTGCAAAGCAGCAGCAAAGGTAGAACAGCCTGGGAATAGAGTGAAGAGACTACTGGAAAGCAGCTATAGCAGTTGATAATGTAGGCAACGAGTAGCGATGATGCTGTGGTGAGAAAGAAACAAGTGACAATAGTTTTAAAGTGGTGGAAGATAAAGTACCGTACAAAAATTTTTAATCTTCATTTATTGCCCGGGAAGGCATAAGATAACCTTTGTCTGATCTGGGTGAACAGAAAAGTAAGTAAAATGTAGTGATTAAAGAACTACAGAGGATTGGCCATCATTAATTAGAACGTTTTATTGCCGAGTAGTAGTTCATAGTATGGGTATACCACAGACACTTTAATAATTTTGCTTTATTTTTTGGAATAAGAAAAGTTCTGCTTGGAGACCGAATGTAATTTCCTTTGAGCTATAGATTTGGTATTCTCCTAAGGACCTTCTGTGCTAGGGCTGCCTTATAAAGACACAGTGGCCTTGATAAACTTAACGAAGCCAAGTTTATCGTGCTTTATCGATGAATACTGTAGGTACAATATCATAGTTCTTGTCAATTTCCATCTTTCGTTTTCTTTCTGTTTTAACTATGTTTGGTTGAGGGTCATGTTTTTTAGAGCTCTGTTAATATTATTAAGTTTCTAAAATTTATGCAGAATTTAAGATGTTAATGACTTCTGCTTTTTGTTTTTCTATATCCAAATAAACTGTAATTAAATGTTTGGTGCCATATTTGTTTCTGGTAACTTTTTTTGTATGTGTGTAGTTGTGCCTTCTTCAGCCTCTCCACAAAGGATTGTGGACCAAAGAAGCACAACTTCAGCTCCCTCTGCTCCTGTTGTCAATGGAGAATCCAATAGCCTGACGCCATCAGTTCCTTACCCTGCTGCTTCTCTGGTTCCTCAGAATGAGAGTGAAAACGAAGGCCATCTAAATCCAACTGAAAAACTCCAGTAAAACACTTTTACAAATATTCTTAAATAGATTAAAATTGAATAATGGGGATGAGTGCTGGGTTTGTTTAATATGATAAGCATTCGTAAGTGATATGGTAATACAAGTGTGTGTTTGTTACATGAGCAATCTTGAGGCTTCCCAGGAGGTGTATGACATTGTAATATAGATCATTTCTATGAGCAAATGTATTTCCATTTTCAAATAAAGAATTAGAAACAGCTGAATTACAGTTAAAATAAGTGGTTTAGAGGCTGACTTTACAGTCAGATAGCTCTGCATTTGTGTCTTTCAAAGCTATAGAGGATAAATAACTTACCAACACTTAGCTTCTGTTTCTTCATCTGCGAAATAGGGATAATAATATACTTGTTCGCAGAGGTGTTTTAAGGATTAAAAAGCATTGGCGTGTCTCCTGGCACTTAATAAATGCTCTACAAATGCTCAATAATGTCTGCATACCTAATTTGCCTGAGAGCTAGTATTCAAATTGAGTATTTTGTACTTCTCATTTTAGATACATATTAAGAAATCTAGGAATATTTCTGACATTGCGTTTTAAGCTGTTAACATCCATACCTGCTTAAAATGAACACTTGGAACTCTTTAATATGTTTTTGTTCCTAACACAGCATGAAAAAAATAAAGCAATGAGATTTGGAGTAGACTATACTTTAAATTTAATTACAGTCATAGCCCCTGGATATTTGATTAGACTTAAGTTTTGTTTGTGTTGGCTGCTATTACATGAAAATAATGCATGCTTTACTTTGCTAAAATAGTTATTATATGTATATATGTTTATCAGGAAGTTAAATGAAGTTCGAAAGAGATTGAATGAACTAAGAGAATTAGTTCATTATTATGAACAAACATCAGATATGATGACAGATGCTATAAATGAAAACACAAAAGATGAAGAAACTGAAGAGTCAGAATATGATTCTGAGCATGAAAATTCTGAACCTGTTACTAACATTCGGTAAGAACTTTTATTTGACTTTTCTCCTGTAAGTCTGCTGTTTTGGTCAGTGTAATCTTAATTAATTTGTGTATAAAATAGGGAAGAGTTGAGTATAGTAGTTTAGTAAGTTTGCTATTTGTTATATCAAATGCAAGTAAATTATAAGAAGTATCTAAATTAGCATTTTTCTACCTCTTTAATTTTAGGTATAATTTTGACTTTTCAAATGTTTTAAGTTTCTAATTTGCAGAAGTTAATGAAAAGCATGTGCCAATCATTCATAGTATGAATTTAAATGTGGAAAAGCCAATGATGTTCATAGTTGAGAAGTACTTTATCAGCAAGTTCTAAATCTTGGTTGTTGTTGTTGTTATGATTATTATTTTTACTTTAAATAACAAAGTTTTCTTTTTTTTAGAAATCCCCAAGTAGCTGCCACCTGGAATGAAGTAAACAGTAATTCCAATGCACAGTGTGTTTCTAATAATAGAGATGGCAGATCAGTTCATTCTAATTGTGAAATTAACAACAGATCTGCAGCCAACATAAGGGCTTTAAACATGCCTCCTTTAGGTAAGAATGACTATTCACAGAAATGTTTGCCATATTGTTCTTGGGAAGTAGATTTTCTTTCTTTAGTACTCTTAAGTTTATGAAATTATGGATTTCAATGATACCTGTTTTCAGCAGATTGTCGATATAATAGAGGAGAACAGGGGATTCATGTTGCACAAGGTGAAGATGATGAGGAGGAGGAAGAAGCAGAAGATGAGGGTGCTAGTGGAGCTTCATTGTCTAGTCATAGGAGCAGTGTGGCTGATGAGGCTCCTGAGGATGCTGAATTTGAACAGAAGATCAATAGACTTATGGCTGCAAAACAGAAACTTAGGCAGTTACAAGATCTTGTTGCTATGGTACAGGCAAGTACTGCTTGGTTTTTAAAAAACTGCTTGTCAAATAGTACAATCTGACAAGGTAAAATTTATGTATTTTGACAATTACATGACATAATTATACTAATACATATACGTATTAAGTTCTTGCTATATGCCCACTTTACATGCTTAGCACTTAAATTTATTTTTCAACTACGGTTGACATACAATGTTATATTAAAAGTGTACAGAATAGTGATTGGACATAGTTTATGAAATAATCAGCTTGATAAGTGTAGTACCCATCTAATATTATACATAATTATTACAATATTATTGACTGTATTTCCTAGATATACTTTATATTGTTGTGACTATTTTTGTAACTGCCAATCTGCACTTTTTAATCCTTTTCACCCATGACCCCAACCTCCCCTCCTATCAGTTTTTTTTTTTGTATCTGTGAGTTCATTTCTGTTTTTTTTAAATAAATTTTTATTGTTCATATTATTACAAATGTTCCTTCCTCCTCCCCCCCACCATTGCTCTCCTCCACCAGGTTCCTACCCCACCCTCTGCCCTTTCCCCACCCCCCATTGTCCTCATCTATAGGTGCACAGTTTATGTTCAGTCTCTTCCCACATCCCCCTCTCCCCTTTTCCCCAAGAATCGTCAGTTCACTCCCCTTCCATACCTCTGATTCTATTATATTCAACAGTTAATATTGTTCATCGGATTTTTTTTTAAATTTCCTTGGTTTTTAGATTCAATTGTTGATAGTTACATATTTGTTGTTCATAATTTTTATCTTTATTTACTTTCTCTTTTGAAAGAACCCCCTTCAGAAATTCATATAATTCTGGTTTGGTGGTGATGAACTCCTTTAGCTTTTTTTTTTTAATAGTGAAGCTCTTTATCTGACCTTCGATTCTGAGTGATAGCTTTGCTGGATAGATTATCTTTGGCTGTAGGTTCTTACTATTCATCACTTTGAATATTTCTTGCCATTCCCGTCTGGCCTGCATGGTTTCTGTTGAGAAATCAGCTGACAATCGTATAGGTGCTCCTTTATAGGTAACTACCTGCTTTGCTCTTGCTGCTTTTAATATTCTCTCTTTGTCTTTTGCTCTTGGAATTTTAATTATGATTTGTCTTGGTGTGGTCCTCTTTGGATTCCTTTTGTTTGGAGTTCTGTGCACTTCCTGGACTTGTAAGTCTAATTCTTTCACCAGGTGGGGGAAGTTTTCTGTCACTATTTCTTTCAATATGTTTTCGATATCTTGCTCTCTCTTATCTTCTGGGACCCCCATAATTCTGATGTTGGTTCGCTTGAAGTTATCCCAGAGGTTTCGTACATTATCTTCAATTTTCTGGATTCTCTTGCCTTCTAGCTTCTGTGGAGGAGTGTCTTCTGGCTCTTTATGTTCCAAATCTTTGACTTGATTTTTGCGATCTTCCATTCTGTTTTTTGGACTCTGTATAATATTTTTTATTTCAGACAATGTATTCTTTATTTCTTGTTGATCCCTTATCATTTCTCGTTAATTCCTTATTAATTCTAGTTGATCCCTTTTCATATCCTCATAGGTCTTATTGATCTTTTCTAGGAAATTCTTGAAACACCTTATAAGCGTAGATCTTTTCTAGGAAATTCTTGAAACACCTTATAAGCGTATATCCAGTCGCTTTTTGTCCTCCATTTCTTTCGTTTGTGATCTATTTCCTAGTCTAGGCATTTTTGCAGCTTCCTTGATGGGGCAGGGTTTCAGGGTGGAGCCTACAGCCTTGGCTTCCCTCAGTCCCACCCTATGCGGCTCCTGAGTCTTAGGGTCCTTCAGTACTTGCTGCAAGCGCCTCTGAGAGAAAGGTGCCCTCAATTTTCGCCTGCTACCAAACAGTCTAGGCTCTCCCCCAATGAGCCCGGTATTGGGGTTCAGTTCAGTTGGAAGTGGAGTTGGAGGTGGCATTCAGAGCAGTCTGGAGCCCCGGTCTCCTTCCTGCCAGGGCAGTCCTGTGGCACAGCCAACTGTTCCTTCTCTGTGCGCAATGTGCGCGCCTCTGGGACCTCCTTTCGCCGCTCCCCTGGGGTTTCGCCTTACAGCCCAGCTCCCTATGGATGAGCCTGGGTCCCCGGGGTCTGGCCTAGAACGGGTTCAGAGCAGTCGGAACTGGGGCCCAGCACAGTCGGAGCTTTTATCTCCTTCCCGCTAGGGAACGCCAGCCAGGCAATCAGCCGTCCCTTCTCTCCAGCTCCATCCTCTCCGCGCGCCACGTGTCTCCGTACCTTAGGCTTTTCCAGCTCCTCCGCTCATCCTTCTGGTTTTCTCCTTGCTTCTCGTTGTAGAATTTCTAGTCAGTCGACTTCCCTGTAGTTCTGGGTAATGTCCATTTTATATTTTAGTTGTATCGTATTTTATTGAAATTGTTGTGTGCGGCTGCGGCTAGGTGTTTACCTGAGCAGCCATCTTGGATTCTCTCCTCATTTCTGTTTTATTTGTTCTTTTGTTTTTTAGATTCTACGTATAAATATTACTTACAGTTTGCTTTTTTCCCCACTTTACAATGTCTTGGAGAACTTTTCATATTAGCATATATATTCCTATATAATTATAGATAAATAATTGTGAAATATTGTATAGAAAACTAATTATAAAATATAAATCATACTGCATATGTATGTGTGTGTTTGTGGTATATATTAAATAGAACTCTTATTAGCTGCAACAGAGTTTTCTGTAGTATTAACAGACCTTAATTTAGTTAATGACTCCTATTGATTTATACTTTCGTTGTTTCCAGTTTTTTACTACTTGGAATATTCCAGTGAATATTTTTGCCCAACTCTCTTTGTGCATTCCAAGAATATATATTTTTTATTGATTGATTTGTGTGTGTGTGAGAGTGATTGAGATTGATAAGTTGCCTCCAATATGTGCCTGACTGGGAATCAAACCCCTTCAACCTTTTCGGTGTGCAGGATGACATTCCAGCTAACTGAGCCACTGGCTGCATTTGTGTTTTTCAAGAGCATATAAGAAGTGGAATTGCTATGTTAGATTTTAAAAAAATATATTTCATTGATTTTTTTTTATGAAGAAGAAGGGAGAGGGATAGTTACAAACATCAATGAGAGACAAATATCGTTCAACCACCCCCTACTGGGGATGTGCCTTCAACTAAGGTACATACCCCCGACCGGTATTGAACCTGGGAGTCCCCAGGTAAATGCTCTATCCACTGAGCCAAACCAGTTAGGGCTGCTATGTTAGATTTTATGCACTTATCAATTTTAATGGACACCTCTTAACTTTTCTCTAAAGTGATTCTATTAATTGATATCTAAGCAGTGGTGTATGAATCCTTTTTCTCATAATCTTGATTACATTTTTTATATTGCTACACTATAGCTTGTTTAACCATTACTAGAATTGGTGTTTGGCTTTTTCCAAGTTTTCCCTAATATAAGAAAAGCTATTGTATAAACACATACAAGTGTGTATATACACATGTAAATATTTTGCTTATGCAAATTATACGTGTGGGGTACATAAACTGGTAATATTGGTTACCTATGGAGAAAATAGTCAGTTGGGGACAGAGATGGAAAGAAGACTTTTCTAAATGTCTTTTTTACTTTTTGAACTTTGATTATATAACAATATTACCATTAGAAAAAAGTAAAACAGCTTCTAAAGCAAATAACAATAATATTGAGTAAATATAAACTATATAGAGTTAAAAAAAATTTAAAAATATACTTTTATTGATTTCAATGAGGAAGGGAGAGATAGAGAGATAAAAAATCATCAGTGTGCCTTGACCTGGAATCAAACCATGACTTCCTAGTTCGTAGGTTGATGCTAACCACTGACCCACACTCACCAGGCTAGGATTAAATATTTTTAAAAAAAATACAGTAGTTCACCCCAAACCTTTAAAAAAAAAAAAATTCTTCATTGTTTAAAGTATTACATATGTCTCCTTTTTTCCCGATTGACCTCTCCCTGGCCACTCATTTCCCAACGTGCCCCCCTCCCCGCCCCTTTTTTATTTGAGGGCCTTCCGGTAAAAAAATGGAAGACCAGCTAGACAAATTCAAAAAGAGCTGTGAGCACTACACCCTAAATTTTTTAATAAGTACATGGATTTCAATGAAATATAGATCTCTTAGGAAGATAGTAACTTCATTTGTATTGCCAGTGGTGATTAATAATTTGAAATGGTATATTCTCATTAGTTTTTGTATTACAAGCCATTGGCACTTGTTTGGCAGATAAAAGCCAATGAGGAAAGGGAAAAAATTTATGTAAGCAAGTGACAGTGGACATTGATTATTTGATATTGTTACTGTAAAAGTTAAATCTTAAGAAAAATTAATAAGAATTTGCAGTTTCGGTAGTACATTTTTTATCTTCATATTCTTTGATAGTTCAGTATTTGGTCAAAATAACAAAAGGCAACTTAATACTATCATTACTGGATAATAGGCAGCTCAGATATTTAATATACTATTTTTAGTTTCAATACTTCATTTCTTACTATTGGTAGAGAATGAACTTCAGTGTTCTCTACTATTTTCTCTGCTTCACTCATTTTTCTTATATAACTTTGACTAGTGGTATTTACTAAGGTATGAATTAGATTTATCAAGATTTAATATAATGATGTGTTTTTAGGATGATGATGCAGCAGATCAAGGAGCTGTTTCTGCCAGTACTTCACATTTGGATGATTTCTACCCAGCAGAAGAAGTCACCAAGCAAAATGCGAATAACAATAGAGGAAATGCCAATAAAACACAGAAAGATGCTGGAGTAAATGAAAAGGCAAGGTATGTTAAGCTTATAGCCTTCATTTAATGAAAATTTAGTGTTTGTTATAGAGAAAGTACTTGGCTGGGTGTAGTATATTACATCATGCTTAATGTTATCAGATTTACTGGAGTCCAAAATATAATGTCATTTTAATTATAGAGAGAAATTTTATGAGGCTAAACTACAGCAGCAACAGAGAGAGCTCAAACAGTTGCAGGAAGAAAGAAAGAAACTGATTAAGATTCAAGAGAAAATTCAAGCATTGCAAAAGGCATGTCCTGACCTGCAGGTAATTAGGAAATTTCTCTCTTTCTGTTTAAAAAAGATGTCTAAAACCCAGTATCAATTGAAAGTACTCTTTCTAGTATTGATAAGATAGATTTATTTCTGTTAATTTTATGATTAATGAAATGGTTGAACTGATGAACTGTTTTAGGGATACACATCTGCACTGTGAAAGATACCACTTGGGTTAGCTAGCTAGAGACTCAGAATATGAATATAACTGTTAAAATACTCTGGTTTCACATTTCTGGGTTCCACTGAACTTTAAAGAGATCACTTTTTACAACATTGTCAGGCCTTAGCTAGTGAAAAAAAAAACACAAGATAAGTAAAATGCCCAAGACTCGGAAAGAAAGAAAACGAACCATATTCACACGTACTATGACTATGTACCAGAAAATCTAGCAATTAATTAGATTTTTTAAAATGAGTTAAATAAAACCCAAAGAGTAGTTTTTCTACAAATCTTCAATAAAGAATTAAAAAATAAAATATTCTGGTTTCAGCTTTGCATTTCAGGGACTAGCATTTTCATTTTTACTGGTCTAAAATTATATAATAAAGTTCTTAAGCCATCATGTGTTATCTAAGGAAATTAAAATGTTTCATTTTTAGTTGAATATTAACTAAATATACCTTTGCTTATTAATAGTATCCCATGCTTAGGTCTTTGATATTGAACATAGAATGAACAGTCTTTGACCATGTCAGATAATAGTGATAGCATTAATATGGGAAGGAAATACCAGTTCTTTTTGAGATTTGTCTTTTCTCTAAAATTTATTGGTTAAGTTTATTCTTCAGTCAGTTTTTATTTTCAAAGAAAGGGAAACATATCAAATGATATTTCTAATGTATTTTCTAGACTTAACTTTTCCACTATAATTTCTTTTTCCTTGTCCCCAATCTAAATAATGTCCAGAGGAATACATACCTGAGTTGGGTTGAGTATATGAAATTTTCCACAGTAACATTTTATCAGCCTCTTATCTCTCTTGTTTCTGAAGGTTGGTTACTACTCATCAGCTTTAGTCTGTGCTTTTATCTTTCTTTTATTATGTTATATTTTCTTTGAATCATTATAGCAGTTGAGGTCTGATAATAACAAATTAAATATGTCACTAGAACCCTAGAGGAGTAGTATAATAGCTGTTTTTATGAAATTAACATAATTGCTTTAATTCTTCATAATGTTTCTAATCCTTTTTTTTAGCTGACAACCACTAGTACAGGTAATTGTCCCACAAAAAAATATATGCAAGCTGTTACTTCAACCCCAACCGTTAATGAAAATGAAACCAATGCAAGCAAATCTGTTTTTGAGCCTGACGATTCTTCAGTAGTAAATAATGAGGTATTGTATAATGTACCGTGTTGTTCTTTAGTCTTAAATTACATATTGTTTTAAAATTTATTTTCAAATACAGTTGAATACAATATTATATTAGTTTCAGGTGCATAACATCGTTTATTAGACATTTATATACCTTATGAAGTAATCACCATGATAAGTCTAGTACCCATCTGACACCATACAGTTATAACAGCGTTATTGACTATGTATTCCCCATGCTGTATAAGTAACAACTTAAGAAGGAAATATTTCATTATCTGTGAAATATGTTTTTAAATGTAGCCTGTGTGTCTTTTAGTTTGGGGAGGAAATATATATATTTTTAAGTAATTAAGTTAGGATCTCTTCAAAATAGTCTTGATATTTATTAGCAAATATTTGGTAGAATTATATGTAAAGGACAGTTGCAACAAATAGCAATAATTTCAGTTAGAAAGACCTATCCTTTGGTATTTTCCCTCATTTATATGTGATTTGTAGGAAACATAATTTTTCTAAATAGTTTGTATTTGGGTGTTACTTGTTTCCTTTAAGAATTAATGAGTGCCTAATTTTTTCTTATTCATCATTAACATTATTTTTAACCTTCATGAATAATTCAGTGTAAAAAGAATAGAGGGAGAATAGAAGTATTAATTGGTAGTGACAATAGTATTAGCCTATTGTTTTTTAAGGGGAAGAGAAATCCAACTACTTTACCTTTTTCTAATTTTTAAATTAATAGCTATGGTCAGAAATGCGAAGACATGAAATTTTAAGGGAAGAGCTGCGACAGAGAAGAAAGCAGCTTGAAGCTCTGATGGCAGAACATCAGAGGAGGCAAGGTATAGCTGAAACTGTATCTCCAGTGGCTGTTTCATTGAGAAGCGATGGATCTGAAAACCTGTGCACTCCTCAACAAAGTAGAACAGACAAGTAAGAGTTGTTTAAATCTACCTGTGGCTTGTAGGATAGGTAGTCTTGTTTTCCTCTGTACAAATTTGCTGTGGTAGTGAAGATAGTATTTAAGTATCACCTTGGTGCCTCAGTTTCACTAAATTGAGTTACTTTCTGTTCAAAGTTCTCATAGCATTACTTATTTTAAAATTACTAAGACACTTAAATAATGGTCTAGATTTTCTTGAGTATATGATCTTTATTTTCTTAGTTAAGTTTTAAGCATATAAAAAGAAAACTTAGTTAAGCTTTAACCTTGATACTTTATAGTGCTACTCCATCAGGCCAGAAATAAGCACTTTTTTTTTTTTTTTTTTTAACATAAATTGAGTATCTGCTATTTGTAAGGTTTCTAAGGATCTTAAAACATTTTATTATATAAGACATTTAGTTTTTAGGATTTAAATTTGAAATTTTCATATTAAGAATATTTCTAAAAGACTTGGTCATCTTTAATATCAGTCAATTACTATCTGGATAGTAGTGTTCAGATCTAAAATTTGGAATTCAAATGTGTTGTGACTTTACATTTTGATATTTTCAGATGGCACTTCTGGAACATTAGAAGAACTTTTCCTATTTGTGGAGTCCCCATACATATTTAGTAATCAAACTACATCTTTAGTATTCTATTCTGTTCTGAATATTACACATTTATACTGCAAGTACTTTGGATAGCTTTGATAAGCATTTAGATTTTAGAATATAGGTTCTAGAACTGTACTACCCAAAATGACAGTCACTAGATAGAGTATAAAGGTATCTAAGTTAAAATTAAATAAAATAAACATTTTCTCAATTACATCATTCATATTTTAACTGTTCATTGGTTATATGTACCTAATGGCAACTGTGCTGGACAGCACAGTTATAGATCACCACTACTGTTCAGAGAATGGTATTGGACAAGAATGGTATTGATCTAGAAAACTCAAAGAAAGGAAAATTGAGGAAGGTTTAGTTTAGGAAAAAATGTTCAGAGGTTATGATTACTGTTTTAATTGGAAGAATTGTTTTATGGAAGGCAGAGGAAATATATTCTATATATAATTTAGAATACTCATATAGTTACTAAGATTAAATGAGATTTTTATATACACACACGCACATGTGCGTGTACATATATATTTGGTACAGTGTCTGGCACATGGTGGTAAAGTATTTAGCTCATCTCTTGGCTTTTTTGTCTCTTAATCTCTAGGACAATGGCAACTTGGGGAGGTTCTACCCAGTGTGCACTAGATGAAGAAGGAGATGAAGATGGTTACCTTTCTGAAGGAGTTGTTCGGACAGATGAAGAGGAGGAAGAAGAAGAGCAAGATGCCAGTTCCAATGAAAACTTTTCTCTGTATTCTCCTAACAGCATGAATCAGAACTCTTACAGTGTAAAGGAAACTAAAAATAGGTTAGTTTCTGTTTTAATTCTTTGCTTGATTTGAAGAGTTTCAGGTTTTTCTGACACCAAGAGATTCTTTGATTCCCTGACCGATGGGAGATCGTACAGTATAGTTCAATTCTGACACTTAACTAGTTGGAGTTAGGGCAGATTCCACAAGTTAAGGTGTTCAGTCCGCCAAGACTGCTGTCACTTCTGATGTCAGTTGTAAGTCCCCAGGGAACCGACCTTTCTGTCTTGACATGGCTACTAATTTGGGGGTTCCCACACCCCCTCTTAAGGTTTCATAATTTGCTAAAACAACTCACAGAACTTAGGAAAATGCTTACATGTATTGCTTTATTATGAAGGATACAACTCGGGAACAGCCAATGGAAGAGATTTATAGGCAGGGTTTGAGGGATGGGATTGCAGAGCTTCAATGCCCTCTGGATGCATCACCCTTCCTGCACTCCAGTGAGTTTACCAACCCGGAAGCTCAGCTAACCATGCTTTGTTTAGTGGTTTAATGGAGGCTTCATTTTACAGGCTTATTTGATTAAATCATTGGCTATTGACAATCCAGCTTAATCTCTGGCTCCTCCTCTATCGTCCTTGGAGTTTGGGAAATAGGGCTGAAAGCTCCAACTTCTCTAGTCGCCTGGCTAGTTTTTTGGCCAGCAGGTTCCCTCATGAAGCTACCTTGGGGCTGCCAAGAAGTATTAGCAGAAACTCAGATATGCTGGAAAGGGGCACTTTATGAAAAACACAGGGTTCTCTGGATGCCAAGAGTTGTAGGAGCTCTGCTGGAAACCTGGGACAAATATTTTTAATAGAATTTATTGGGAGTTTTATGTGTATAATTCTTTTTTTAATTTTAATTTTTTAAATATTTATTAAATTAACTGGGATGACATTGGTAAACATGAACATACATGTTTTAGGTATGGGTTTCTATGTTACAATATCTGTATCTTGATCATGTGCCCACCATCCAAAGTCAAATCTTCTCCTGTCACCTTATATTAGGACTCCTTTCCTTCTCTCCCTCTATCTCTTCCCTCTGGTGATCACCACACTGCTGTTTGTGTTCACGAATTTCAGTTTTATCGCCCACATGATTGAAATCATATGGTTCTTAGCTTTTTCTAACTGACTCATTTCACCTAGCATAATGTTATCAAGGTCTATCCATGTTGTTGCAAATGGCAGTATTTCGTCATTTTGGCTGAATAATATTTCATTGTGTATATGTACCATGTCTTCTTTGTCCATTCTTCTATTGCGGGACACTTTGGTTGTTTCTATGTCTTGGTCACCATGAATGATGATGCAGTGAACATAGGAGTGCATGTATGTTTGTGATACATGATTTCGAGTTTTTCAGGTATATACCCAGGAGAGGGATTGCTTGGTTGTATGGCAGCTCTATTTGTATAATTCTGTAATATATTATCTGTATATTGTATTGTGTATTTACCACTCCATGCCAAGTCTCCTTCCATCACCATTTATGCTCCCTAAACCTTCTTCTACTTCACCCAAACCCCCTTTCCCTCTGGTAATCACCATGCTGTTGTCTGTGCCTACAAGTTCTTTTTTTTTTTTTTTTTTTTAATTATTCTTCTTAATTCTTTCACCTTTTAAAAACTGCATACATAGTTTCTGTTAATCCTCACCCAAGGATATTTTTCCATTTATTTTTTAGTGAGAGTGGAAAGGTTGGGGAGAGAGAGAGAGAAACATTCATGTGAGAGAGAAACATAGATTAGTTACCTCTCTGCACAGAGAGATACGTCAATTGATTGCCTCTCACGGCCCCAACCAGGGCTGGGATTGAGCCTGAAAACAGGTGCATGCCCTTAACTGGATTAAATCTGGGACTCTTAGGTCCTAGGGCCGATGCTCTATCCACTGTGCAATACCAGCTAGGGCTCAAAATATATTTTTTATTCTATCACAAGAGTGTTGCTGAGATATATTCCAGCTATATTGGATCAGGATTCATAAGCTTTGATTTTTGCTTTTTTCGGGGAGGTTAGCAAACATTTAAAAATCATAGAACCTAGCTGGTTTGACTCAGTATAGATTATTGACCTGTGGACCAAAAGGTCCTGGATTTGATTTCAGTCAAGGGCACATGCCTGGGTTGCGGGCTCAATCCCCAGTAGGGGGCATGCAGGAGGCAGCTGATCAATGATTCTCTCTTATCATTGGTGTTTCTATCTCTCACTCCCTCTTCCTTTTTCTCAGAAATCAATAAAAATATATTTAAAAAATAAAAATCGTAGGGAATGAAAAAAGTCTATACAAAGATACTAATTATATAGTTAGTTACAATAGTGAAAAATGTTTGATGAGTAAAAGATGGTGAAGTAATTCCACCTGATGGTGTAATGTGGCTAAGCTTATAACATGAAGAATGGAAAAATGCTTGTGATATATTTTTATTTTGCAACACATAGAATTATATGGGCACTTCCGTTTAAGATATAAGTGAAAAACACTGGGAAAGAGTAAAATATGATAATTGTATAAGGCTAAAAACCCAGATTCTTTATCCCCTTTATTTTTCATGCTTTTTGAGTTCTTTAACTTAAAAAGAGAATATTGGCCTGTGGTTTGTTGCCAGATTTTAAAAACCAAATAATTATATGTGATGACCTAATGCTTTAAATCTTGTATTAGATGGAAGAATAATCGCCGTTTTCCAGAAGATGGAAATTGTCGTCCATTAGCCAAGACAAGGCAACAGAATATCAGCATGCAACGTCAGGAAAACCTTCGTTGGGTGTCAGAACTCTCATATGTAGAAGAGAAAGAACAATGGCAAGAACAAATTAATCAGCTAAAGAAACAACTTGATTTCAGTGTCAGTATTTGTCAGACTTTGATGCAAGACCAGCAGGTAAAGTTCACTATGAAAGTAAAAAAATGTTTATCTTGTTTTTGAAATAGTCCACACTTTTCTCGAGTCATTAGTAAAATATTATGAAATATTTTTCTTTCCATAGGCTCTGTCTTGTCTGCTCCAAACTCTCCTCACAGGTCCCTACAGTGTTATGCCCAGCAATGTTGCATCTCCTCAAGTGCACCTTATAATGCACCAGTTGAACCAGTGCTACACTCAGCTAACATGGCAACAGAATAATGTACAAAGGTAATCAGTTTCTTGGAAATAGTGAAACTCTATTGTAAGTGCTAAAACTGAGCAGTGGTATTGCAGTTATCTTCTGGGACAAAGGGCATGAGCCAAATTATATTTGCAAAAATTCTCTGTCACCTGAGAATTTTATACACTTAAATTAGGTGAATTATATGGTATGTAACGAACCTCAGTAAAGAAGCAGATAAGAAAAAGAGTTTCTTATTATATATATCTTATATATAGTTTCTTATTATATATATCTATTATCTAATAAAACGCTAAGTGCAGTTTTTGATCCTAAGAGCCTGCAGGACAAGCAAATATTTGTTGTAGTGAATATCAGAGCAGTCAGTCAGTTTTCCATGAATCACTTCTTACACATATTTGTTCTGAATGTACTGTGAGTAGATGTTAATATACCTGATTCTTAAATTACCAACTTCTTAAATTTTTATAGATTGAAACAAATGCTAAATGAACTTATGCGCCAACAAAATCAGCATCCAGAAAAACCTGGAAACAAGAAAAGGGACAGTAATGCACCACCCCCTCCATCTCCCAGTTTATTTTGTCCCTTCAGTTTTCCAACACAGCCTGTAAATCTGTTTAACCTACCTGGGTTTACTAATTTTTCATCATTTGCACCAGGTAAGTGACTGAAAATCTAAAGGAAAAATAAATAAGAACAAAGCGTTTGAGAGTATTGTTTGTCTGTTGCATGAATATTTATCAGTCTCTTTTGGACTGGTAGAAAATACTTACTAAGAAAGTTAGAAACTCTTCTCTACTTTGATTCTTTATAGTGAACATTTAAGTTTATTATGGTTGCTAATGGAATTAAGTAAACTATTATTAATTATTGCTAAGTCTTATATCTTTGAATTATTTAACTATTAAGGAGAAAGGGAATTGATGTATCCAGTGGCAACTGTACATCAGGCACTGTGTAAAACAGAGTAAAATGAATAACTGTAAAGGAGCTTCATGTCTCGGCAGGGAGATATACTGCTAGGCTAAAGGTGAGTGCTTAGTTTAGGCTTACATTTAATTTTATTCAGCTTAGGTTTTTATTCAGTCGTTTTTTTCTGCACACATTATGTGCCAGACACTATATACTAGTAAGTGACTGGATTCAAAGATGATTAAATCTTAGACTTTAAGGAACTTAAAGTCTAGTGAGGAAGCTAAAAATGTTAATAAATGCCTAGTGCAGTACTGCAGATACAAATGAGGTGATTGATCTACTCTTACTTGGGGCAAGAGATCATCAGGGAATGTATATTTTCCAGAAAAAAATGTTATTTAAGCTAAAAAATGAATAAAAATTATTTCCAAGGAGAGAAAGGGCTTCCTAATCAATGGAACCATTTAGTTGCAAAGCAGTGAAACAGTATATCACTTAGGGAATTTAGAGGTCAGAAGTATGGCTACTGTTTCGGGCCATGGCAGGTAAGAGTAATTGATGTGACTGGAGAGCACAGGCCTTTTGTGTCTGTTTTCCCATGGGCAAAATAAAGATTACGTCTATTTTATAGTGTTGTTTAAAGCATTGAATGTAAGGACATGCAGAGTGCCTACGGTAGAGTCTGTCACCCTGTAATAATTTGATGTTAGGTACTCTTATTCTTATCTTTTAAGGGGATGGAACCTTTTTTTTTAATCACTAATGCTGAAACAGAGTGGGCTGAGCTATAAACTGATTCAATAAATTACAGTTTCTTTTAATAAACTATTTTGTTTGGTAAATCTGAATAGCACATTTAATTAAAACTGTCTTATTTCATATTAAGGCTAAAGGTACTTTATTATCATCTTTACTCATTGCTTTTACTTACTAGGAATGAATTTCAGCCCTTTATTTTCTTCTAATTGTGGAGATTTTTCTCAAAATATTACTACACCCACTGAACAACAGCAACCATTAGCCCAGAGTTCTTCAGGGAAAACAGAATACATGGCCTTTCCAAAACCTTTTGAAAGCAATTCTTCCATTGGAGCAGAAAAACAAAGGTAACTCAATTGCAAACATATGTTTAATAGATCACATTAGTCTCTTTTTAAATTACATTTAATTATATGTAATTTTAAATCACAATTAGGGAGTATGTTTGTGATTATTTGGCCTGGTAGTGTTGCGATTATGAAACTTTGACCTATCACCAGATATGTCTCAGCCATATACCTGCCCTGGTACAAGAGCAGTTCAGAGTTTTGATCAGGGTGTCCTATGAGATTCATTTTGAAAGGATAAGACCTTACCTATACAGTGTCCTTTGGGCTTGATTTTATATCTCTTTAAGTTCATAGATTTTAGTAAAAACTAATATTAATTAATAGAGGATAGTTGTAAAGTGATGACACTTTTGATTCAGAGCTCCTGATAAGAATGAATTCCTAAGGCTTATTCAAGTGTAATGTTGAGTATTGTTTTATTATAGAGACAACTTTAGACAAGAAAGTTGTAGTGATATATGGTATCACTTCCACTAGGAGTCCTATGATTGACCTCTCTGACTTTGCTTTTCTTAGCTGTACAAATCATTTTTTCTATTAAATCTCACGGTGCTTTATAAAAGAGTCTAATAGTATTCAGTTTCTTTCAGAAATGATGGCTGAGTGAACCTCCGTAATAAGCAATAAACATTTTTTTTAAAAGCTTTAGTGAATAGCCTACCTTCTGTAAAGTTTCTACTTTTTGGAAAGTTCCTACTTCATTATTATACATATTTTATATATAGTAGTAAAAAAGGATGGCTATGGATAGCTAATATGGTTTGAGATATTTGACCTACTTCAGATTATACCTAATCTCCTCCCCAAAATCTCAACTAGTATAGGTTCCCTGAATTGAATGGCTGGAGATAATAAGAGGTCAGGTGGAACATTATAATTTTGAGCTATGGTTAGAAAACGTTTCCTATAAAGGGCTAGGTAGTAAATATTAATATGCCTTTTGTACCGATTCATTTCTGTTATTTTTGTACAAAAGCAGCCATAACAGAATGTAAACACGAATGGCTGTGTTCCAACAACACTTTATGGGCACTGAAACGTAAATTTCATATACTAATAGTCACAAACTTTACTCCTTTGATTTTATTTTTTCAACCATGTATGAATATAAACATCATATTAGCTTTCGGGCCACACCAAAAAACAGGAGGCTCAATTTGGCCTGTAAACAAGGTTGGCTAACTTTGTCTAACCTCTATAAGTAAATCAGTGTCTCCCAAATTACGCTTTTAGGACTGGAACACTGTTGTTCATGTCAGGTTTTGTGATAAAAGGTCTTGGACATCTCACTATGATCCCTTTTAAGATATTTTATAAAGTACATTGGCATATTAAAAATTCTGAAGAATCCTGTTTTGACTCTTTTTTTTTCAAATTAGATGACCAATGAATATCTATTAAAATAATAAGGATGCCAGTGTTTAGCAGGTAAAACTTGAAAATGACACTGGACCAATAGAACTAAACTATACTTGATGTGTGGAGAAAGAAATTACTAGTTGCATGGCCATTGTTTTACCAAATTCTGGTTATAGTTGAACTGCTGTAAGTTGACACAGAGCCATGTATGTTTCATACTCTCTGCTTCAGCTCTTCCTCCAAGTTTTTTGTGTTTTTCTTATATGTCCCATCCTTTCTTGATTTTTCTTTTGTAGTCTTTTCTGTTATGAATGCTAGATCTTTGGTTTTGGACTTTTGCTAGTGAGAAGGGTTTAATATTAAAGTTAGATAATTTAGGCGGGTCGGGTGCGGCCAGGCCCGGAGCAGCGGCTGCCAGGCTGGGAGCGGCCAGGCCCGGGGGAGCAGCCGGGTCGGGTGCGGCCAGGCCCGGAGCAGCGGCTGCCAGGCTGGGAGCGGCCAGGCCCGGGGGAGCAGGCGGGTCGGGTGCGGCCAGGCCCGGAGCAGCGGCTGCCAGGCTGGGAGCGGCCAGGCCCGGGGGAGCAGGCGGGTCGGGTGCGGCCAGGCCCGGAGCAGCGGCTGCCAGGCTGGGAGCGGCCAGGCCCAGGGGAGCAGGCGGGTCGGGTGCGGCCAGGCCCGGAGCAGCAGCTGCCAGGCTGGGAGAGGCCAGGCCCGGAGCAGCAGCAGCCAAGTCCAGAGCAACTAGGTTGGGAGCGGCAGTGACCAGACCCGGAGCAGCTGGTTGTGGAATGAACCAGAGCAACAGAGGCTAGGCCCTGAGCAGCCAGGCCCAGAACAGCTCGCTCCTTGCCTGCCCCTGCCCCACGGCTGCTTCTCAGACATGGCTGGAAACTTTCGTGGGAACTTGAGGGTCTGCTGAATCAAGTTATGAAGGCTTAGATCTGGATGTGTTGAGTTAGTTTAGGACTGGGGTGTTGATCTGTGAGTGCCTTGGGTGGGGCCTGGATGAGACTGGTGGACCTATTGGGAAATGTCTTTTGTGTGAAGTGTATCATTGGGCATGTGAAGGTATTATTGATATGAGAAAATGCTAAGTAACTGATTTACTATCTGAAAAGGGATTTACTATTGGGGAAAGGGAGGGAAGAAGAGACTGAACATAAACTGCACCTATGGATGAGGACAATGGGGGATGGGGAGGGGCCGAGGGTGGGGTGGGAACCTGGTGGAGGGGGGAAGAAATGAGGAACCTTTGTAATAATATGAACAATAAAGATTGATTTAAAAAAAATAAATAAAAAAATAAAGTTAGATAATTTAGAACACTAACCTGTAAAATATTTATATATTTAATGCATATTTTGTGAAAATTTTTTATAGTCTTTTGACTACTGAAATCTAGTAAACTATGTTACTATATCTGGAATTTTTAATAAACATAGAAACTATCATTGTACCCTCTAAAAGCTTATTTTCATTGGTGTAAGGAATCAAAAGCAGCCCGCAGAGGAGGTGGAAAACAGTAGGACACCATGGTTATATGACCAAGAAGGTGAAGTAGAAAAACCATCGAAGACTGGATTTGTAGTGTCTGTAGAGAAAACTACCAATAGTAATCGCAAAGATCAATTAGATACCAGCATGAGAAGACGCCAGTTTGATGAAGAGTCCTTAGAAAGCTTTAGCAGCATGCCTGACCCAGTAGATCCAACCACAGTAACAAAAACGTTTAAGACAAGAAAAGCATCTGCACAGGCCAGCCTGGCATCTAAAGACAAAACTCCCAAATCAAAGAGTAAGAAGAGGCATTCTGCTCAGCTGAAAAGCAGAATTAAAAATAGTGGTAAGTATTTAAATTGGTTGAATATTGATCAATGTGATTGTTGGTAACTTTATTTTGGCATATTTAATTTCAGTATGGTTAGATGGGTGGGCACTGTTCTAGATATAAACATTGCATTTCTTCTTTTTTTGCTTTTATATTTCTTATAAATGTGTTTACTGCAAACTCAGAAGATTTTTTCCCCTCCAAATCTTGTAGGTTACTTAAAAGTTGCTAAAGTCCAAGATTTACTATTATATTTTAATGTTATATCTTGTCCTACATTCAACACTTAGTCATGCTTCTGGTTAGGTCCTTGATTTGATTTATTGCAGTCTTTGAATACCATATAGATGAAACTGCTTTTAAAACTTAAGTTTGCTCTTAGCCTTCCTGATCCTTAGTTAATAAGGTTTAACATTAACCCATATTTTATTGAATCTTGCCATTGAATATCACATAAATGTTCTCTTTATCATGTTAATTAGCTACACATCACTTTAAATTTCTTTTCTGTGATTTTGAACATTTTTCTATGATTTTCAAATAATTTAATGAAGGTTACACTAGGTCTGGTAGAATTGTTAATGTGCTGACTCCTGGGTTCTATCCATCCCTGAATCTTTTCATTTCTTCCCTTTTTCCCCTCCTATGACTCACTCATTAATGAAGATTGAGATGAAATAGATGTTAAGCACTAGGAACGGCCTGTAAAGAAACAGCCTTTTTGGATTCAGAGAATTTATTACTTCTATAAATAGAGAAAGGAGAAGTAGCTAAAGGTGCCAGCTCCCCATGTCATTTATTCCACACACTGTAAGGGCAACACTGAAACAAAAGGGCTAGATGACAAGTATCGCATACATGAGTGGTGGATACCTATTGCTGAGGAGCCAGTGCTTGTTCTGTAGCTAAGCCACTCTGTAGAATGGAGTTGTGCCTGTGGGGTAGCAGAAAGGTAGCGTGTCATCAGAATCAGGGAGAAGATGGAACATGCTCAGTAGTTTTCCAGAGGAAAGGGGGAGGCGAGTGAAAATGGCCCCATAGTAGCTTCTCACAAGCTTCCTGTGCTCTTATGTTCTATGTTCCATGTTCCAAGAGGATTATTATAAGGCCGTCAGCCAAGCCTTCAGTCAGCTGCAGTTCAGTACTTTCCCGTGTGGCTTTTGTGGATACGTGCAGAGTCCCCTGAGCTGTTCACCTACAGTGGACACAACTAGAAGCACTGTTTCTTCTGGCTATGTCAGCCATTCATGCTGAGAAAAATAAATGAGTGTAAGGGAAGGAGTGATGAAGCGGGATAGGGGATGACACTTTTCCAGTAATGAATGTCAAGCGTTACTCTGGCTGACTTAACCAGTGTTCCTCTGAAGTATTGTTAATTTTCATTAAGTCTCCTGTTCTCCCTGGAGGATTACTATTCAGGTGCCCAAGAGAGAAATAATTCAGTCACACTAGTATCATATCTTTGGAAATCTAGCCTTGATATTTTTCATTTGGGACTCAGAACACCATAGTTGTGTGTGTGTGTGTTTAATCTTTTTATAGCATTTAATTATAGCACACTTCTTTTGGTTTCACTGTTTTGGAGTGTGAGTTTATCTTTGAAGTGCCTACTGGGGCTACACAAAGAGAATTTTGTGTATGCCACATAATGAATATTTTAATTTTCTATTAGAATTCATTCAGCACTTTTTATTCAGTAACAGTAACTAGAAGATTAATTTCATAAATGTTGTGAAGGTCAGACATAACCAAGAGAGCTCTTTTCCTGTAATTTTTGAACAGAATGAATGATGATGGCTAGACTTCAGTCAAAGAGACCAGTGAAGAACCAGGAACCTAAATAGGAGATGAAGTGCTGACTGGGAAAGTGGCTTTACAAATAGAAGGGGAAGGTAGACTCCAGATAGGATAGCACAGAGGCATATTAACCATATACTGAGGACTTGTTATTAGCAGAGCCGCTACTGTGATTGGGAAGCTGTAAGCAGCCAGGCTTTATTTAGGGTCTGCTGGCTCTTTCAGAGGGTGTCTAGGGCAAAGATCAGAACTCTATGGTTCTTGGAAACATTTGGTTGAGGAGATCCATGCAACTCTTTCTGTTGTTGAAAACTTCCTATGCTGTAATTTATATCTCTGTGACTATTCTCTAACTACCAATTCGTATTTCTTAATCCCTTCACCCTTTTCACCCGGCTTCCTCACCACCCTCCCTCACTCTGGCAATGGTTCTCTGTATCTGAGTCTATTTCTGAGAGCCTAAGAGATACTGGAAAATAGCTCTTAAAGTAACTGGTAAATACTTTTCTCTATTATAGTAATATCCAGTAGGAAGGGAAGTGGAAAGAAATATTCTCATTTTATTATCCATTTAGTATACTGAGGGAAATTTTTCTTAGGAGTAAACTTAACAAGGAAAGTCCTAGTTCTGTAAAAAAGTTATAAGAAGTTTTTGAAGAACATGAAACAAGAATGAACAAATGTAAAAAAAAACAACCATGCTCTTAGATGAGAATGGATAAGTTATTAAATATTACTTCTCAAATAAATGCTTTCAATGTGATTCTATTTTGAATCCCCAAAGATTGTTTTTGAAATTTGGGGGGAAATTTTTACTGCTTATCTGGAAAGACAAATGTTCAAGAATAGCCAAGGAAAGCTAGGAAGGACTTGCCTTACCAGTTGTTAAAACACACTGTAAAACTTTTGTGACTAAAAGAATGAAAATGACATTGGATAGACAGATTATCCAGGAATAAAACCCAATAAATATGGAGATTTAATATGTTAACCAAGGTTATATTTTTTAAAATATTTTTTATTATTGATAGTATTACAGATATATCCCTGTATATATCTCTGCCCCCCTATTACCCTCCCCCCATTCTCTATCTCCCTCTTCACCTATCCCCCCACCCCTAGATCTTCACTATCCTATTGCAATGTTAAAATTTCATTCATTGGCCAAAGGGATATGTATAACCAACTATTCATGTGTAACAAAATAAAGTTGAATTCCTACTTGTGCCATATATCAAAATAAATGTAAAAGAAGAAAAAATATTTAGAAGAAAAATTTATTAGAATATATGTATAACCTATGAGTGGGCAAGACTTTTTAGACTAAGTCATTACATAAAGGTATAGTAAGAAGGCAGGCATATTTGCCTATTTAATGCCCATTATTCTTCTCTGTGTTGGACATTTTTTACAGATAAGATCTATTTTTTTCCTTGTATTTTTTAATACTGAAAAGTTGTTAACTTAAAGTCTAGTGGAGAATTTGGGTCATATTAGATATATTCATTAAGATGGGTATCAAAGGACAATGAGTGATAGAATATATTACTATTACCTCATGCTTCCAAAGATAATTGTAAAGAGATCTCCAAGACATTTCATTTACTCTTTCATATTCTATTTATACCAGGCTTTCACAGCATGCTCAATTGAGTTACCTGTACTAATTCTCTATGGAAATCAGTTTGAATTAGTTACAACTGATAATAGTTGTCACTTTTTTTACTTAAGGGTATGAAAGTGCCAGTATGTCTAGCACATGCGAACCTTGCAAAACTAGGAACAGACATTCAGCCCAGACTGAAGAGCCTGTTCAAGCAAAAGTATCCAGCAGAAAGAGTCATGAGCAGCTGGAAAAAATAATAAAATGTTGTAGGTCTGCAGAAATATCTTCAGGTATGTTCTTTTTTGGTTTGCTTTAATTTAAGGACTTCTTCATCTTACATTTGAAAAGCTGTACTAAAATAAGTCTTAAAATTGGTCTATCACACTTTTCTCTCTGTAGAACAGTACACATTTTTTATATTAAGAAATGTAAACCAGAACTTTTTTATTGTTGTTATGACTTTAGCTCTTGACTCACTTTTCTAAAATTCTAGACAGAAAGGTATGGTTAACATTAACTTGGAAATACGAATTGAAATTCTGAAAATCTTCTCTGAATAAGAATTCAGATATACAATCATGTCATTTTCCTGCTTCAAACCATGCCTGCAGGAGAAAGTCCATATGCTATAATGTAATATATCCGTCCAGCAGGGATTCCTTCCTGCTTCTCCAGTCTCATTTCTCATCACCTTCTGCCTTAAACCTACTCCTTTACTGGCACAGAACTGAAATGTTCCTATAAGCTGTCATGCTGTATGTTCCCTCAGCAGTTGTTTTTTCTGCCTCAAGTCCTTTTTGTTCTTTGTAAGAGCCCTTTCCTCTGCTGATCTCTTAAGTAAAATCTTAGTTCTGTAACTCTGAACTTGCATCTAAATGCAAGCTGGGATAGACTTCCCTTCTTTGTTTTTGTTGTAGCCTGTGTAAACCTCTTTTGTTGCCTGTATCACATTATCTGGTATTTACCTGTTTAAGTGCCTGTATCTTTTTGAGTCCCTTGGCAACAGATACTGCGTTTTCATATTTGTTAAATATTAGTGATACCTGATACATGGCAGTCACTCAGTGATTATTGGATGAATGGGGTCATATGTATTTGCTACTGTTTTATTTTAAATAAGCACTGGTACTTCCATAATCTATAAAGAATAAGTACATCTCAGAGAAATGTGGAGAGGACTGGAGGTAGTAAATATTGACTATCCGTTTTCAGTTGCCCATAAGATCCTTAGAGAAAATGATAATTGCAGCTACCATTTGTATTATGCTTCATTGTTTACAAATTAAATTATTCATCTCATTTGAGCTTCATAATTCTGTGAATTATTTTTATTTCCATTTGTATATGAGTATACATGATCAGAGAGTGTATCTGACTTTTACAACACTCAAAAAAAGGGCCAGTATTATAAACTGGTGCAGTTTTTCATCAAAAAGTCATGCACTTAACTCAGTAATTCTACTGTAGGCATCCCTCCAAGGAAACAAATGGGAAAAAATAAATAAAGATTTATTGTTGTTTGAACTGTATGATTTCAGCTATGTTTTTTTTTTCTTCTTCAACTATGTTTAAACAAAAATCTGAATGCAAAAAACACTAGAAGGAAATGTATCAAAATGTTAATAGTTGTTTTATCATCTTTAAACTTTTCTATATTTTCTAAAATTTTATAGTATTTATTACTTTTGTAATTACAAAAGAAATATCACTTTAAAAAAATTACTTTCTCAAAGTCATATTGCTAGAAATAGTAGAGCTGAAGTTTTCATCCTGGTCTGTTAAGTCTAGGATCTTTTTGACAAAAATACCAATTTTATTGTCCTGACCCTGAAATTTTAGCAAAATTTTATAATTTTCATCTCCTTTTACTATCTTTATCAAATAGTGATGTCTTCAAAAGTAAACGTTTGGATGGAGGTTAGGGAAAGGCACTAAATTGAAAGGATATATCAATTACAAAAATTGATTGTTGGTCAGATCTTACTGTCACTTATTAAAAGAAAATTATTGAATTTTAGTAAATTGAAAAATGTTTGAATAGTGTAGATATACCTTTCTGTGCATTTACATGCTTTCTAAAAAGACTTTTTAATATTAAACATCACCCTAAAATTCTTAATAGCATGTAACAGTTTTTGTTATATGATTATTAGATCATATTAGAGAGTAACATATATGACTGCTATTATTAGAGAGTAACATATATGACTGCTGATATTAAAGTATACAGTCCTCCTCTCCCTAAGAAGATGTGAAAGGTTCACCTGGATGCGTATTCTAAGAGAATGGTAGAAGTTTATTATGATCACTATCAGGGTCTTTAATATAAGTTTATGGCAAGTCGTTTTATATTTTCTCTGATGAGATTATTTTTATATGAATTTTTTATTTGTAACTATTTTTCCACCTTATTTTTGATGAGATTATTTTTAAATAGAGCATATGTGATAACATTTCAGTTTAGGCAAATAGCTTTAAAGGAATTTGCTTATTTAATTTTTTTATTCACTTGTTTATATTGTAGACCCTATCATACACATTTTATGTTCATCCTATGTCTGCCCTTTCCTACAGCACATGCTAGGAGAATACTACAGCAGTCTAACAGAAATGCATGCAATGAAGCGCCAGGTAACAATATGTTTAGTTTTGGTGTCCACTCTATGTTAATTTTTTTTTCATTGTTCTGTTATTTTTTAGATTTAGCTTAGTGCATATGTTATTTGACTTGTGAAAGTCAAAGAATATTCATACTCATAACATTCCAAAGCCTTTCATTTGAATTCTTTTCTTAGTAAAATTGGCTGCTTTTTGTTTTTCATTTTCTGTTAGTGTATATAATATTACCAACACATCCAATAGGAACAGAAAATGTTTTTATAATTTCATGTTTAGTAAAGTTAATTTAGTATGTCTTAAAAGTTTAAGAGCATTAATAATTTTTGCAAACATAAATATAGTTACTTTTATTCCTACCTTTTGATTTTCAGAGTTAAGTATTATGTATGCCTTGTAGTTGCTTATTTTTCATTACCAGTCATCTATAGAAAATAAACCATTAAACAAAAACAACTGTGACATGCAGAGACCATCCTATATAATAAAAGCCTAATATGCTAAGTATCCTCCTGTACTGCTCATGAATAAAAAACAACCAGTTGGCTATTCAACCAATCAAAGTGTAATATGCTAATGATATGCTAAGGCCATTCAACTGCTCACTATGACATGCACTGACCACTAAGGAGCAGATGCTTCAACCCATAGGTTAGCTTGCTGCTGGGGTCCAGCCAATTGTGACTGAGTGAGATGGGTCAAACATACCCTGGAGTCCTCCCTCAGTCTCTCCCTAGCTGGCCAATCTTCTGTGTCCCTCTCCAGCCATGATTGTGCACTGGTGGGATCCCACGCCTTGTCTGTGCCTTCTCCCAATCCGGGACTCCTCAGGGGATGTCAGAGAGCCAGTTTCGGCCCAATCCTGCAGGCCAGGCGGAGGGACCCTAGGCTGAAACCAGGCCTTTAGTGATAAATAAAGATCATGGAAAATTACAGATTCCTAAATGCTGGTTTTGTCTTAAATTATGCATTTTCATTAAGTATGGTTCTTTGTGGTTTCCTATATAATAAAAGCATAATATGCTAAGTGTCCAGTCGTCCATTGAGCCTATCAAAGTAATATGCTAGTGATATGTTAAGGCTGCTCAACCCCTCATTATGATGTACAGTGACCACCATGAGGCAGACACTCAGTGCATGAGCTGCCCCTTGGTGGTCAGTGCACTCCCAAGGGTGGTGTACAGTTCAGCCATGACGGCCACAGTGGCGGGAACCTCTCCTGCCTCTGCAGCAACGCTAATGATGCCCAACTGCCAACCATCAGTCAGACATCCCTCGAGGGCTCCCGGATTACAACAAGGCGCAGGCCAGGCTGAGGGACACCCACCTCCAGTGCATGAGTTTCATGCACTGGGCCTCTGATAGAATTAAAATATTTATCAATGTCTCCTGTACTGCAAATGAATAAAAAATAAAAGCCTATTATGAATCCTTAGGGGAATCTAAGGGAAAAAAATAAGGACCTGTTAAAAAGTTGAATTATATCAGCAGGTTTGGCTCAGTGGGTAGAGCGTCGGCCTGCAGACTGAAGGGTCCCAAGTTCGATTCTGGTCAAGGGCATGTAACTTGGTTGGGGGGTGTGCAAGAGGCAGCTGGTCAATGTTTCTAACTCAGTCCCTCTCAATTTCTCTCTGTATAAAATCAATAAAATATATTAAAAATTTGAATTATATTAGTGGCACTTTCTAAGGAAAAGAACAATGAAAATAGAGAGGGTAAAAAGTAGATAGGTCCTCCCCCACAGACATGCATCCCCTGACCTCTAAGGAACCCTATGAGACTTGCAACCAAGGGAGCAATGGAAAGGCATAGCTCTCCCCAGGTTAGCTTCCCGAACCTGCTCCAAGGTCCCCTTTCTCTGACTACTAGTGAGCTAAAGCGACTCAGCCTGATTGCTGCTTCTATGCCATGCCCTTCCTAATTTCACTGTCCCCAGCTTTAATAAATGTACCCCTATAGTCACCTGGATTTGTGAAACTTTTCCTACACTAAGTTAAGAACCCATATACCAGTGGCTGGCCTGAGGCAATCCCACTTAGGACTACTAGTAGATTACCTATCTAGTAACATCTTCACCTTTTTAACCCATCCTTGTAACCCCAAGAGAGAGAAAAAAAACAAACAAAAGCAAGATGGAATCAGAGAAACCTCACTGAAATCAGTGATTTTTAGTCCAGGAGAACCTGGCAAAAATTTTCCACCCCTCTCTCGCCAAGAGGGGGAGGTATGAAAAAGCATGTGTTTGACAGAATTCAATTATTTCAGAATAATTTGATCTTTAATTATATAATTTAGTGATAATTTTACTGTACAGGGGGATGAAAAATATTAAATATGCTTATTCTTGTCTTAGAGATAACACATTTTCTAAGTTAACTGTCAAATAAATAGAAAGTTTGCATATATCTTATCTGGGTTTTTTCTATAAGTTGAGATTTCTTACAGAGAGAGTTTGGGTTCTTGCGTATAAGAAGATTGTTTTTGTAGTAATATATCACACTTGGACATCCTATATAATAAATAGTTGATATGCAAATTGACCCTCATGCCATCACAAGATGGCTGTCTATGATCAGGCCAGTAGGGGGGTTAGTGAGGGATGTCCAGATGACTGAACAGCAGGCTGTGTGGGGCAACCAGGCCATTGGGGGGCTGAGGGGAACCATGAGGGGCGACCAGGTCAACAGCAGGGAGCAGTTGGGGGCATTTAGCTGGCGGGGAGGGGTGGGGGGGGTTGAGGGGAAACTAGGCTCGGGGAGGGGGCAGTAGTTAGGAGCAACCAGGCCGGCAGGGAGGGGGCAGTTGGGGGTACCTGGCCAGCAGAGGGGGGTAGTGAGGGCTGATCAGGCCAGAAGGGGGGGCAGTTAGGAGTGACCAGGCAGGCAGGTGAGCGATTAGGAGCCAGCAGTACAGGGTTGTGAGAGGGATCTCCTGGATTGAAGAGGGTGCACACTGGGTTGAGGGGATCCCCCCCCCCCTTCACCATGCATGAATTTCGTGCACTGGGCCTCTAGTTTTATAATACTAAGAGAACTTTAATATGTCATTTCATTTTATATTCATAAATGTCTGAGGCAAGATAGGGAGGTTTTGTATTTATTATTTTATTTTACTTGTGGAAATTGAAGCCTGAACATGTTAACTTATTTAGGATATTAGTGTAAAGTTGTTTTGTTTTGTTTTTTGTGTGTGTGTGCTTATTGATTTTTAGAGTGGAAGGGAGAAAGGATAGAGAAATAGAAATATCATTGAGAGAAATATCGATTGGCTGCCTCCTGGAGCATGTGCTCTGACTGGGAATCAAACCAGTGAACTCTTGGTTCCTGGGTCAACTCTCAACTTCTGAGCCACACTGGCTGGGCAAAATTTTATTAAACCCCATTGGCTTTGCATTTTCTTATTCCTCTTTTGCAAAAAGTGAATTAAATCTATATGATCTTTGCATACTTATTTGAAAACATAATATATTAAAAACCGCATTTTAGGTTTTCTTTGTTAGAAACTTATTACTGATTTTTGGAATTTTAAATACTTAACTACATGTGATTGTACTACTGCTCTAGAACAGTGGTCAGCAAACTCATTAGTCAATAGAGTGGCAAACCACTGCTCTGGAATGTTAACAGAATTTGATAGAAGACTTGGACATAATTTTTTTTTCACAGAGAAATAAAAATGGAAACAGTTCCTAATTTGTTCTCTTAAAAGTAGAGGTATGACTACATTAAGGGTGATATTCTGTGTTATCAATAAACAAACATGGCAGAATATTTGCTAAATAATAGAGTGCTACCTGGTTCTGTGAAACTGAAAATTTCCATGGCAGTTCCAACTTATACTGAGTATGTTAGTATGCGGTATGTCGAACTGTAGAAAAATTGACCTGGAGTGTTATAATTGAGATTTGACTATTTGTAGATAACTACCCTGTTTCCCCGAAAATAAGACAGTGTCTTATATTAATTTTTGCTCCCAAAGATGCTCTAGGTCTTATTTTCAGGGGATGTCTTATTTTTCCATGAAGAAGAATACGGTACACATTTATTGTTAAATGAAAATAAAGGAAATTTATTACCTGTATACGGTAGTACGGTAGTTGTGAACACAAACCAGACAAACTGTGAATCCTACAGTATCAAGAATTTACTCATTTATTCAATGACAATCATGTCGTCATCTTCTGGAACATCATAACAATCCAATTCCTGAATTTCCTGGTGAATTTCTTGTGACTCCATTTCTTTCAGAATCAGTGGACCAAATCTCTCATGTTTAGCCTTATTTTCGGGGGGTATGCCTTATATTTCACTCAGAAGGAAACCTGTAAGTAGGTCTTATTTTCGGGGAAACACAGTAGGTAGAGCTTAAAATAGTAACTCTCATTAGTAGCATTTATTCTCAGTATTAAATTTCCTTCTTTGTAACAAGTTCATATTAGCAAGAAAATTAAATTATTTGCTTTAGCTGATTTTATCCAGATGTTGAAAGATTTCCACTGATTAGTCCTATGGAGTGTATAACATTTTCCAGATTTTTTTATTGAGAAATAATTGTGGTCCAAGTAATACTAGATAATATTATTTATACATTTGCATATTTCTTTAGTGTACAGTATATATTTGGATATTTTTATGATTATTTTTATCTTGGTATTTTTAAGATTTCTCTTTCTACTTTAAAAGCCCTGAAATGGAATTAAGTATGCTATGATTTTTAAGTAATTTAAGGCTGAGAGTAATGATACAAGTTAGTAGAAATTGTCAGGAATGTATCAATGTTAACTTTCTGATACTTTATATCTTCCAGAAACTGGGAGTGATTTTTCCATGTTCGAAGCTTTGAGGGATACTATTTATTCTGAAGTAGCTACATTAATTTCTCAAAATGAATCTCGTCCACATTTTCTTATTGAACTCTTCCATGAGCTTCAGCTACTCAATACAGACTACTTAAGACAGAGGGCTTTATATGCATTGCAGGTAGCTGGCGCTTACCGTTCTTTTTCCTGCCCTATCTGGTATTGCTGTCTTCAGGATCATGTCTGAAGTATATACTTGTTCTTATGTCTTTTGATTGTATTCTATGTGCCTTCTTGCCTTTGATTTAAAAGTTCTTATATAGCTAAATAGCTTTAGATAAAATCTTTTTCTGAGCAACTTTTCAATATTATTTTTTCCTCATAGTTATCCTAGAAGGTGAGGAATATTGAATTCGTTCTTTTGTCTGGTTTTGCTTTCAAATTTTGGTTGGACATTTATGTTTTAACATAAATATTTTATTTTCTCATTTAGGACATAGTATCCACACATATTTCTGAGAACCATGAAAAAGAAGTGAAAAATATAAAGTCAGTGAATTCTGGTACTTGGATAGCATCAAACTCAGAACTTACTCCCAGTGAAAGCCTTGTTACTACAGATGATGTAAGCTGATAATGATTAATGAAATCTATATATAATTTCAGCACGTATTAAACAAATGTTAAATTGTTATAAATTGTGAGTGTTAATATTTGGTTTTCAGCTTTAAAAATCTCAAAGTACATTATAAATTATCAACTATATAGTCTAAAATAGTTGTGTTTTATCTCTCTTGCTTATCACAGAAGTTGATTCATAACATCTAGTAAAATTTGTTGTGTTTAGTCAGAACCTTTCAATAAATAAATATAAGATAAAGCAGGTCTTTGGGCTAAAAGAGAAGCCTAGACAAAAGAAAGCCTTTCAGGACAAAAATGTAATTTAATGTATTAAAGTTGATGAAGGAAACTTTAAGTAGGAAGGAAAGTAAAAGAGTGATGAGGAAAATGATATATTTTCAATATACTGGTCTCCAAATAAGCACCTATCTAGCATACAGGACCTATGGTGATGCTAGGAAGGTGCTATTAAATGACCAAATGGCAAACAACTAGGATACTGAGGAGAGAGGTAACATGTGAAGTATTTGGAAATCACCTGTTTAAAGGTTCAGATCCTGCCGGCACCGGTTTGGCTCAGTGGATAGAGCATCGGCCTGCGGACTGAAAGGTCCTGGGTTCGATTCCGGTCAAGGGCATGTACCTTGGTTGCAGGCACATCCCAAGTAGGGGGTGTGCAAGAGGCAGCTGGTCGATGATTCTCTCTCATCGACGCTTCTAACTCTCTATCCCTCTCTCTTCCTTCCTCTCTGTGAAAAATCAATAAAATATATTTTAAAAAATAATAATAAATAAAGGTTCAGACCCTGATTCTGTCATAAAAGTTCATATGTGGTTATGGGATATCAAATACGCTCTTTTTATGCCATCTCTAGCATCTGGATATCTAAGTATAAGAGAGCCATAACTGACTAGTATATATCTGCTATTGAAAGAGTTGAAAGCATATTACTATCTATGTTTCTGCCAATTGTTGATATGTTAACATATTTTTTTTCTGGAATATTATTTTTTTCCAGAGGATTGTCTTTTCACATAGAGTAATTTTTTTTTTTTTTTTTTACAATATCAAAGAATTTTCCGGAGTTTTGCTCTTTAACTTATACTCATGTTTAAAACAATATCATGTCTTTTTTTTTTTTTTTTTTTTTTTGCTTAAAACCTTTTATACTAGGCTCCAATGCCTATACTATTAGGAAGGTAAGCCTATGTCTAAAAACTACATAGTTGCCAAAACCAGTTTGGCTCAGTGGTAGAGCGTCGGCCTTCGGACTAAAGGGTCCCAGGTTCGATTCTGGTCAGGGGCATGTACGTTGGTTGTGGGCACATCCCCGGTAGGGGGTGTGCAAGACTCTTGCAGCTGGTCGATGTTTCTCTCTCATCGACATTTCTAGCTCTCTATCTCTCTCCCTTCATCTCTGTAAAAAATCAATAAAATACAATTTTTAAAAAATAAAAACTACATGGTTTTAATTGACTTTACAATGTCAAGTATAAGTTAATGTAAGGAATTGCTACTTGGATTACATTAAAGTTTATTAGACATTGAAATAACTTTACTGAGAGCATGAAGTGTTTTTTCTAAAAATTTTTTAGTAATTTTATATAACTCCAGTGTCTCCCTTTTTATTCAAATTTTATAGGTAGCATTATTTTATTATTTATTTTTAAATATATTTTTATTGATTTCAGAGAGGGAGAGATAGAAACATCAATGAAGAGAATCATTGATTGGCTGCCTCCTGAACGCCCCCTACTGGGATCCAGACATGTGCCCTTGAGTGGAATTGAACCTGGGACCCTTTAGTCCACAGGCCAGCACTCTATCCATTGAGCCAAACCAGCACTCTATCCATTGAGCCAAACCATTTTAAGTTATTTTAAGATTTGAGCACATTGGTCTGCACCATCAGTAGCAAATGTTGAAAATTGAGTTACCATTTGTGAGTCCCTACTCACCCAAATGTTAACCTGACAAGGTTTTAAAGTTACTGATAAATGAAGTTTAAAAGTACTACTACTGCATAATAAGTAGGTGCTTTAGTCAGCTTGGCCTGGTAAACAAAATACTGTAGCCTGGATGGTTTAAACATTTATTTTTATGGTTCTGGAGGCTAAGAAGTTTACGATCTTGGTGTCAGCACATTTTGCTGCTTGTTGAGGACCCTCTCCTTGGCTTGCAGATGGCTACTCGTCCCCAAGTGCTTTCAGTGGCAGTGAGAGGAAGACCTAGTGTCACTTCCTATTTTCCTAAGGACACGAATGCCATCATAGGGCTCCACCCTCATTACCTCGTCTAAACCTGATTACTTCCTAATGCTATCACATACAGGGATTTAATATATGAATTTGGGTGAGTAGGGAACTCAAAAAGATTCAGTCTATAATTGTAGGGATTTGGCATAAGTAATCGTAGTATTAATAAATTTTTAAAAATGTAAAAAATTATTTTATTTTTAAAATATATTTTTTTGATTGATTTCAGAGAGGGAGAAAGAAAGAGATAGAAACATCAATGATGAGCCCTCGCTGGTTTTGCTCAGTGGATAGAGCGTCGGCCTATATACCAGAGAGTCCCCAGGTTCAATTCCGGTTAAGGGCACATATCTTGGATGCAAGCTCCTCTCTAGCCTGGTCCCTGGTTGAGATGCTTGCAGGAGGCAACCAACTGATGTGTTTCTCTCACATTAATGATTCTGTTTTTCACAATTTCTTCCTCTCTCTGAAAAAAACCAATGGAAAAATATCCTTAGGTGAGGATTTACAACAGCAATAAAAGAAACATCAATGATGAGAGAAAATCATTGATCAGTTGCTTCCTGCACACCCCCTACTAGGCATCAAGCCTGCACCCTAGATATGACCCAGGCTGAGAATCAAATCGTGACCTTCTGGTTCATAGGTTGTCCAATGCTTAACCACTGAGCCACACCAGCTGGGCTTATTTATTTTTTTAATTCATGACAGTATTATAGATGTCTCCTATTTTTCCCTCTTTACCTTCCTCCACCCAGTCCCCTTAACCCAGTCTCCTTAGTATTACTTTTAAATAACTAGTTCTTTAATTTTTCACCTAAAACTTAAATTCAGCATTAATGTCAACATCTTCCCTTATTAATGCGATTTAATTAGCAGCAGCAGTACAGCATCCAGTGTTCATACCCGATGATCTAGAGCAGTTTTGTGCAGTGGAACTTTCTATAACGATGGAAATGTTTTAGATCTGCATTGTCTAATATAGTAGTCATTGGACATGTGCTATTGAACCCTTGAAATGTGGGATTGAGAAACTAAATGAAAATTTTATTAAATTTGAATAGCTACATGGCTACTGTCACCATATTGGACAGATAAAGAGCCTCATTCTCCGTGTTTCTAGACCAAAGTCCATTGAGCTTCATTTATGGAGCGTTAACACACATTTCAGAGTAGGTAGAAGAGTCTTCATCCCAGGACAAAGAGAAGGAAAGTGGACATCTGGGAAGTATAAGTGAAGGAGGAGAATGAGGAATGGAAGTTTGAGCAGAGGAAGAAACACTGTGCAGCTTTACTCCCGGTGCTATAAAATGCAAAAGCACCTCCACCAGCAAGTCGTAATTGACGAGCAACAGAATGGTTTCATTTTCTAAAGCGTGTTCTCCAATACCTGAATTTTCTTTATTTGGGCTAAATCTTTCACTTAATATCAGAGAAAAATTTAAAAAAACAATAGCTAGGGGGAAGAACATAATTTTGAAATGAGTGTCAGACAGAGTACAAGTGAGACCTAGCTGGTGGCTCAGTTGGTTGGAGCATCGTCCTGTACATCAGAAGGTTGAGGGTTCAACCCCCAGTCAGTGCGCAGATGGGAAACCACCGATTGATGCTTGTTTGTTTCCCACATCTGTGTTTTTCTCTATCGCTTTCTCTAAAAAATCAGTGAAAACATATCCCTGGGTGAGAATTTAAAAAAAAAAAAATACAAGTGAGACTCGTGCCACCCCCCAATCATACTGAAGACAAAAGTTAATGTGAAATTTCTTGAAGTCCAGAAAAAAAGCTAAAATTATGACTTGAAAAGAAAACAAGGAAATCATCATGATTTTGACATAAGCAAACATTCTTAGGACAGAAAGTACTAACTATGAAAGAAAAATTGATTCAATTCTTTATTTGAAAAGTTACAATTAGGAGAAAATAATCTCAGTATATATAGTTGCTAGATAACTATACAAGACAAATTCAGACTGTTTTATAAAAATCTTTTATAAGTCAATTGTAAGGCAATCAACTCAGTAAAAAACAGGCAAGAGATTTGAACAGATGCTTTATGAAGGAAGATACGTAAATGGCCAGTGTCAAAACCACATGAGATGTTACCAGAAAGGCTGAAATTAAACAACAGGAAGTGTTGGTGTGAGTTGGAGCAGTTGGAACTCTCACACTGCTGGTGGAATTGTAAAATTGTACAACCACTTTGGAAAGCTGTTCGACAGTCTTATAAAATTAAAACATAAACTTGGCATGTAACCCAGCAATTTCTATTCTAGGTGTTCACCCAAGAGAAATGAAAATATATGTTCAGATAAATTGTTGTACACTATTATTCATAGAATCTTTAGTCATTATAGCCTCAAACTGGAACTTGAACAGATAAATGGATAAAGAAACTGTGGCATATCTATACAATGAAATACCATTCATCTATCAAAATAAATGAACTGTAGAAACACAAAACAGCATCAGTTAATTTCAGAAACATAGCTGAAGAGTACCGTACTGAATGGTTCCATTTATATGAAGTTCTAGGCCAACAAAATAACCTGTGCAGATAGAAATCATATGAGTGGGGTTTAGTGGAGATAAAGGACCTTTCTGAGCTTATTTTTAGGGAAGGTGGTTGCATGGGTGCACATATTTTTCAAAACTCATCAAACTGTATACTCAATGGGTGTATTTATAAATTATATTTTAATAAAGTTGATTTTAAAAATATGAAGCTGTTATGTTTTTCTTCTGATATGAAACAACTATATATCATAGTCTGAGGTATTAGGCACTGTTCCATTTTGGAGGTAGGAGAATTTCCCTCCAGGTGGGGAAATAATTGCAACATTAACTTTTTTCCACGTTAGAATTTAATCTGTAGCTGGCTCTGTGTATTGTCATCTACATCAGAATAAGTGTTCTGCAAGGTTACTTAATATTTTAATGTTTTCTGTGACTAATGTTTTATAACTTTGGTTATATAATAATTTTAAGTATAGTTTTATGCAAATAGTTTTTTATAATTTTAATATAATCAAACTTTTAGAAAGAAGTATTAGTGACTTGTATTTGTCTTAAAACTATAACTTAGGAAACTTACGAGAAGAACTTTGAGAGAGAAACACACAAAATAAGTGAGCAAAATGATGCTGATAATGCTAGTGTCCTGTCTGTATCTTCAAATTTTGAGCCTTTTGCAACAGATGATCTGGGTAAGCAGAATTTTTTATAATCTTAGAATATGACTTTATTACAGTCTTTGAATTGCATTGATAAGGAAGCAAAAATCTAGAAGGACAAGTTCTAGTAGAACAGGGACTTAAAAATCTATCCATCAGTCTAAATTCAGGAATCTTTGACTATTACTTCTTTGACCTTGTGCAAATCATCTAACCATTCTGACTGCATATACTAAGAAAATTGTGGGGGGTATCTTGTTACGTTCTAATGAAAAATACTAGAACTTTCTAGCAAGCATAAGAGAAGTTTAGAAAACGTAAGTTCTTTTTCTTAAGAGAAAGGTCACTCTGTTAGATCTTCCAGTTAATGGGAAAAATCCAGAGTTAGCAATGCCTCATCCAGTCACATTTTTAATGAAAGTGTTAATGACTTAATTTGAGGTAAGAATTGAAATTTCTTAGCCTAATAATGAAAGAAATTTTAGAGGCTTGCCATTACTCAAAGGTGAAGAAAATAAAGCCTGAGTCCTAAAATTGGGAAGGAAATTAGGGAAAAGAAAATGTATGAGTACCACTTGATTCGTTTTCCAGGCTGTAGCCTATCAAAAGATACCTGAGTATCCAATGCTGGAACACAGCAGCATCGATTAATTTCAGAAACATAGTGAGCAAAAGAAGCTAGGCACTAGTTCATCTGGTAATCCGATGTCATATTCTAGTGATTGTATATATGTTGGGAACAAGTTTAGATTATTTCAAAGGCATTTTTCTACTACAAAGAAAAGGGCCAAACCTTGTCTTGTCATCTACCTTTTACCAAAGCAATGAATCTTCCTTTTGCTTTATTCTGATTATCAATGACTCTAAGGCCAGTTCTCTTCTGAGTAAATGCCTGTAAAGTCTGTACTGAATTCATTTCATAATAGGGAAAAACCACTCTGACCAACCCATTCCTTCTTAGTTTTCCTCACCATTAGCTTTGTCTGAAGTAAAAAAAGGGAAATTGGGAAATGTCATTCTAAGTTCTTTTTCTTACTTTGATTGATTGATTTAGCTTAGGTTTTTTGCATCAGAATTTGCATGACATTTTGGAATTTATTTTTGTACTGTTAAATGAAGCAAAGTGATGTACTGAAATACATTGACCTCTGCATCTAAGAGACCTGAGTTCAAATTCCTTTTCCAACATTGAACTGGCTGTGAAACCTTGTGCACCTTACTTAAGTTCTCTGAAAATTAGGGTTCTGTCTTCCATTTTATAGTTATTTTAAGGATTAAATAAAAGTACCATACCTATAACTTGTTAAAGCTATTTTTCCTTTCCTATGTTTAGACATTAGTTTTTTATTAATAAATTTGAGGAATACATGCAAAAATTTTCTTTTACATCTTCTAGACTTATTTCTGTTCCATATGCAGGTAACACTGTGATTCACTTAGATCAAGCATTAGCCAGAATGAGGGAATACGAACGGATGAAGACTGAGGCTGAAAGTAACACAAATGCGAGATGTACCTGCAGGATTATGGAGGATGAAAACGGTGCTGCTGCTGAGAGTGTGAAAGGTGTGTTGTTGAATTCAGGAAAAGTCATTTTATATAGTTCCATGTATAAAAACTAAATGCCCCATCTGATGTATAATAGTGGTTTTTTAATCACTTTGTTTTATTAGGGGTGCTAAAATTACATAGATGTTTCTTTGTTTTACTTTAGCATTAAATCATAATTTAATGTTTAGAATTTTGCGTAAATACACATAATGTCAGACTTTATTTTGCTATCATTTTCTTTTTAAAAATAGAAACTCCTATTATTGAAAATCATAGTTCACAACAAGCTGTAAGTGAAATTTCTACCGTCCCGTGTCCTAGAATTGATACTCAGCAGCTAGACCGACAAATCAAAGCAATTATGAAAGAAGTCATTCCATTTCTGAAGGTAAGCAATAATTTTTAAAAATAAACTTCAGTTTGTTTTTTAATTCATACAAATTATTCCATTATAATATATTCAGAAAGCACACGTAAACAAAAGTTAAAAATGTAACCTGTAGTTGTGTCACTCAAGACATAGCCCCTTCAACATTTTGGGAACCTTTCCATAATATTTTCTATATACATATGTGCATTCTGCTTTCTTCATACATTATAAACATCTTTCTACAAGATATTTTTATGGTTACACAATGTTCTTTGATTATTTATTCAAAAATGCCTACTTTAAGCCAGGTTCTGTGGACATGGCAGTGAACAAGTCAAAACCTTTGCTGCCGTGGGAGCTTCCATGCAAAGATGTTACTGATCTTAAAATAAGTAAATGTATATTAGATGGTGATATGTGCCATGCAGAGAATTAAAATATGGTGATATGATAGTGTCTATTTTAGACTGGATGGTCAGGGAAGGCTTCTGAAAAGGGAGCATTTAAGTAAAGATATGAATTAGGAGCCAGTTTAAACCAAGATCATTCCAGATAGAGTTAAAGGCCTTAAGGCAGGAACTAGCTTGGCTTGTTGAAGGAACTAAAGGAGGACCCATCTAGTTGTAGGAAATTTGTGAGAGATGAAATTGGAGAGGGGGCAAGGGCCAGTTATGTAGAACATTATAGGCCATGATTAGGAGTTAGGACTTTGTTCAGAGTTCAAGAGGAAACTTCAGGAAGGTTTTAAGCAAGAGAAAAACAAAGTCTTGTTTGTTTGTGGATAATTGATTGTAGGGGTCAGTAGCACAGTAAACTCGGATGAGACATAATAGTGGCTTAGACGAAGGGTGTGTAGTACTAGAGATGGGAGAAGTAGACAATTGAAATATACTTTGGAAACTGACAGGTCTTATTATTGGTAGATGGTTACCTGAAGCAGGCACTAGCTAAGAGAAAGGGGCTAGAGCTGGGGCCCAGGACCAGATGATTCAACATCTAGAAGAAAAGGAAAAGCTAGAGTTTACCAAATAGGGCTGCCAGTAGTGAGCTATGTTGATTGCTGCTCTGAGGGTTGAGTATTCATAGGACAGAATTTTCTGTTATGTTATCAGTTCTTATTGTTAAATATTTATGTTTATCCTTTTTTCCCCCACCTTTATAAATACTTAAATGATTTAGCTAAATTTAAATATATATCCCATTTTTATTTCTTGGGAAGTAATTCTTATATAAAATTTCTTATTCTAAGGTTATGAATACTTTAAAGACTTTTGAGACATTATATTAAACTAGAGGCCTGGTGCTCAAATTCATGCACTGCACAATCTGGGACCCCTCAGGGGAAGTCAGACTGCTGGTTTCGGCCTGATCCCCACAAGCCAGGCCAAGGGATCCCACTAGGTCTCTCTAGTTTGCATATAAGAACTTTGGTTAATCTCTTCCCGCCCTCCCCTCTGCCTCCTTCCCTCTGAGATTCATCACTCTGTTTCATTTTTCCATGCCTGTGTATCTGCCCCTTGGTGGTCAGTGAATGTCATAGCTACTGGTCAAATAGTCGCTTAGGCTTGTATATATGTAGATTATCCCTCAGAAAGATTTAACAGTTTATATTCCTACCAACAGGAAGAGTATGAGATTGGTAAGCAGTACTGTTTATTTTGTTCAATAACCATGAACAAGGCAAAGAAAAAGTCTGCAAGAAATGAAAGTGGGCCTAGCTCGGCAGCTCAGTTGGTTAGGATGTCATCCAGTACACCAGGGTTTGGGTTCTACCTCTGGTCAGGGTCTGGGTACATATAAGTAACCAATGAATGCATAAATAAGGAGAAAATAAATCTCTCTTTCCCTCTCCATTCCTCTCTCTAAATTCAATAAGAAAGAAAGAAAAATGGAAAGTGAAAGCAAGACTTGTACTAGAGATGGCACTCTCTTGCACTCTTAATTTAAATGAAAATTGAAAGAATTAGAAATGAAAACCAGTCTTTCCTTTTCATTCAGATACAGCAAACTACAAAATAGGTTGTAATTGGGCTCATTTCTTACAATCTACTTGTACTTTTCAATGTGTAAGACAGTGACAATGGAAAGCTAACCATCATTTGGATTGTAGGTAATTGGACATGCTTCTAAAGCAAGCAAGGAAATGACAGTGTGTACGGGGTCCAGTGGTGAATTCTCTTGAAAGCCACAGTGGCTTGTTAAGAAAGTTGGAACAATGGTTCTCAACTGGAGTCATTTTGACTCTCAAAACATTTTGTAATATCTAGGTACATTTTTAGTTGTCAGGGCTTGTGGGGGTGGAGGGTATTGCTGGCATCCAGTGCATAGAGGCCAGTGTGCTGCTGGACAGAGGCACAGTGCGCAGATGCAGTAGTGCCAATTGAGAAAGCCTGAGCATGGCTGTAAGATGAGTTGAACTGCACTGCAGACAGGAACACAGACAATGTGGAAACTATGGCATGAGTCGTTACGCTTAAAGTACAGAAAAAAAGTGATGAGAGATTTTAGTGAGCAGTTTCTTTTACTGGCTGTTATCTGCTATGGGGAATCAAAATTTGCAAACCTCTTGACGTGTACAGAGAGGGGTTGGAGAGTTGGCTATTCTTATGCATAAATTATTCCAAATGTATATCTGTGTTGAAAAGCATCTATACAAGAAAAATAAAATCTCATATTATGTGGATTGATATTTTTTTGAACAATAGGTAAATTTATATCCTAACTAGCTAGGATTTTTCTCAGGAGCACATGGATGAAGTATGCTCTTCTCAGCTTCTGACTTCAGTAAGACGCATGGTGTTGACCCTGACTCAGGAGAATGATGAGAGCAAAGAGTTTGTAAAGTTCTTTCATAAGCAGCTTGGAAGTATATTACAGGTAAGAGTTTGTACTTGTATGTCAAAAATATACACCACCTAATTAGGATTTTTTTTTTTGCCATTTCAGGCATTCTACATTCAAAAGCTCTCCATCTAGCATTTATTTGGGATGACATTTTAATACTTTTTAGATTATTCCTTTACCTGGTTTTAAAAAATTATATTAGGGCCTGTATCTTCATTTAATTTGACCATCATCGCTAATGCCTTTTGCAACTCTAATAACATTTTGTTTTTATTTTTTTCTACTTACTAAGAAATTTCAAGTTTGAACTGTTGGGAAAAAAAATTGTTTATTTGTATATATTTTTATTAATTTAAGAGAGGAAGGGAGAAGAAAAAAGAAATAGAAACATCAGTAATCAGAGAGAATCACTGATTGGCTGCCTCCTGCATGCCCCCCACTGGGTGTCGAGCCTACAACTCGGTCATGTGCCCTTGACCAGAATCAAACCCGGGCCCTTCAGTCTGCAGGCTGACGCTCTATCCACTGAGCCAAACAGTCTGCAGGCTGACGCTCTATCCACTGAGCCAAACTGTTTTCTCAAATAATTTTTTTTACCAATCTGGGAGATTTTTGAAGCTAGAAACCAGCTGTTGATTGTGGAGGCTTCTTAGGCTATAACAGTAACCTTAAATTAGGTTACAGTAGTGATTCTCAAGGGACGTAGGTTGAGTTTTCCTTCCAAGGAGACATTTAGCCATGTTTGTAGACGTTTTATTTGTCACAACAGACAGGGAGGCCTCCAGCATCTAGTGAGATGTTAATAGTGCCAAGGCTGAGAGAATCCTGTGTTAGGTAAGGATACCTTACATACTCCATGTAATAAAAACCTCTATGGTTAAATTCACTTGTATATTTTCCCACTGAGATAGTTCAATGATGTGTATTGTTATTCCAAACTAGGAAATGCGTTTTAAAAATGTTTATTACACAGCCGGGACCAGTTTGGCTCAATGGATAGAGTGTCGGCTTGGGGACTGAAAGGTCCCGGATTCGATTCCGGTCAAGGGCATGTGCCTTGGTTGCGGGCATATCCCCAGTAGGGGGTGTGCAAGAGGCAGCTGATGGATGACTCTCTCTCATCAATGTTTCTGACTCTCTATCTCTCTCCCTTCCTCTCTGTACAAAATCAATAAAATATATTTTTTAAAAAATGTTTATTACACAATTTTTCTATAAAATTTTTCCTTCCTATTCCTGTGTTTAAGTTGGTTTTACAGACAGTATTATTACTCTGCTATTTTTATTTATTTGTTTGTTTTTTTTGTTTGTTTGTTTTTTTAGAGAGAGAGAAATATGAATGAGAGAGGACCATTGGTTGGCTGCCTTCTACACCCTCTACTGGGAGATAGGCCTGCAATTTGGGCATGTTCCCTGACTGAAAATCCCACCTGTGACCTCTTGGTCCATGGGTTGACCCAACCTCTGAGCCATACCATTGGGCACTTTGGTAATTTTTAAAACCCTAAGCTTGATGTAAATTTTCATCACTATAAATTTTCCATTTGTTTTTATTTGGACTAAGGTATAAATTACATATAGTTTTGAAATTGTCCTGGCTCTATTTAATATAACTAACAATATAACTTATAAGGAATATAAGACATCAGTGGTATTATCCATTGTTTAAGAATGCTTAAGATAATTTTTAAGTAAATGTATTTTTATAAATGTAGCTAACTTATTTCTACATGAATAACTCTCTTAGTATCAGGTTGAAAGAGATACTGTAATTTAAATACTTTTAGTTTATTAAGATCCATACAGTTCTGCCTCAATTTTGCCTACTATAATCATAATTCAGGGCAAATCCCAAAGTATAAATTTGGAAATGAGATTTTTTTTTTCTACATCTCAGAAAATCTGCTTTTCTTTCATCCTGCTCCTGATTTTTTTCCACCAAGGGTTCTCATATGAAGAATAAGGGTAGCGTACATTAAATCTTGCTTAAAATATTGAAAGTTTTTCATGAGCTAGAACTTAAATTTCTTTCTACTTTTTTCTTACAAAACTTGTTCAATTATTTTTTTCCCACAGGTATCACTATTTGTACTTTCTTCCATAATTGTGCTAGATAAGATCGTTTTTGGAGGGAGGGGACTCCAGATAACATAGTTATTTGCCTATTTTTTAAACAGTATAGTTCATATTTTTAGGAAGAAAGAAAAAGATAATTGGCTTTATTAAGAAGTATCTCAATTATAGTAGACTTGTTCATTTGATGTATTTCAGTTTGAATAGAATTGAGGTTTTTCAATATTAAAAAGTAATACAGTTGGGTTGTGGTTTTTTTTTTACTAGATGACTATTATAATTTAGATTTGTATTGCTCTATCCACAGTTAACATTTACTGTAATCTTAAAATATTTGGTTATTTGAATAGGATTCACTAGCAAAATTTGCTGGCAGAAAACTGAAAGACTGTGGAGAGGATCTTCTTGTAGAGATATCTGAAGTGCTGTTTAATGAGTTGGCTTTCTTTAAACTCATGCAAGATTTGGATAATAATAGTATGACTGTTAAACAAAGGTGCAAAAGAAAAATGGAAGCAGCTGGAGTGATACAATCTTATGCCAAAGAGGTAAATATTCATTTTTATTTTAGAAGTAATCATAATTAGCCTATTAATATAGTTATTATTCATAACTAAAATCATACTTGTCCTAAAAAAAAGCCATTTTAAAGTAATACCAGTTAATCAGATTTTAAATTGGTACATATGCTAGCCCTATACTGAATGTGACAACATCAGTGTCTACGGATCAGGAATGCAGACAGGAAGTGATGCTAAATGTGCATTGTGAGGTTCACATTCTTTTTTTTTTTTTTTTAATATATATTTTATTGATATTTTACAGAGAGAAAGGGAGAGAGATAGAGAGCTAGAGAAACATTGACCAGCTGCTTCTTGCTCACCCCCTACTGGGGATGTGCCCACAACCAATGTACATGCCCTTGGTCGGAATCGAACCTGGGACCTTTCAGTGCGCAGACCGACGCTCTACCACTGAGCCAAACAGGTTTCGGCGAGGTTCACATTCTTGTCATTCAGATTTGCCGAGAAGAGGGTTCCTGCCAAAGCTCTTGCCTACCCCAGTAGATTCCCTTGGCATATGTATCACCAGCCAGCACACATGCTCACTTGTCAGGACTTGGCTGCACATCCCTCTAGCATCTTATACCCGAGTCAGTCAGTCTTGATCACGTGTGAAATTGGATGAGGCTTTTTCCCTCAACTTGAGGTATCCCTAGATCTTCACCCTAGTCTTGACTCCCTAATCATGAAAGGGAAAGCAGGTCAAGACCCAAAACATAATGGGATAACCTTTCCTCTTTCAATCTAAAGTAGATAAAAGTCAAGCCATCTGTTTCACGCTTTGTATAATGTTTTTATTCTAGACATAAAGAAGGTTCAGCCATTGCTTAGAGCTTGAAAAAATAAAACAGGATAATAACATAAACGATGGAGAGGACTACTTTAGATAGGCAGTCTCTGAAGCTGGCCGAGGAGGGGAAGCAGGGCCTAAGACGTGAGGGACTGGGGATTTATGATGCTGCTGAGGGGGAAGAGCATTCCGGGAGGAGAGGACTTAAATGTGAAGACTCAAGGATTGAGCTGTTGGAGAACAGGGAGAAAGCATTAAATGAACTGAGAGTATAGGAGAGTGAATCACAGAAGTAGATGAAAACCAAATTACAGAGCCTTACAAACTGTGATAAGGACCTTTCATTTTATTCTAACCATGATAGAAACCCATGGGAAAGTTTGAAATAGAGGAGTGATGTAATCTCATGTGCAATTAAACATTGTTTGGATACCATATCCAACAGGAATTGTAGAGAGTAGAGAAAGAGGCAGAGAGACCAGATATAGGCTGTGTTAGTCCAGTTAAGAATGAGGTGTCCTAGCTGAGTGTTCAGCAGCAGGCACACTTGGATGATTGAGTCAATAAGACATTCTAATAGCTTAGAGGTTGGTAATGAAAGGACTGGCTTGCTTCCTGGTTTTCTCACTTGGGCATTTGGTAAATGAAGGGCCATGTCAGAGACCGGGAAGACGAAAGGAGGATAGAGTTTAGATTTTTGTTTTAGACTTAGTAAATTTGAAATAGCTCTTCTGAACCAAGGAGAGGTCAGTTGGCAGTGTTGCTTTTGTTTTATTAATTTAAATAAAAGTTTAATTTACATTTCTAAGAAACATTCAACTCTTTGGATGATGCAGCCTTTGTTAAAATTTACTGAATAAAGAAGTGTAATGCTGAAAGGTTACCCCTAAATTCTGTTTAATTTATTTGCTTATAGGCCAAAAGGATTCTTGAAGGAGATCATGGCTCAGCTGCTGCAGAAGTTGATGAGGAAGACAGAGTATGTGCTAATTAATTTGTGCCTAACAATAATGATTTCAAAATGAGATTAAATGATTTTAACAGCTTTTACCTTTTGAGATCAAAGTATATTATCAAATGTCCTTTCTTCTGACAAACCTTTGTTTCTTTTAAAAACAAAATTAAAATGATTGTGTTTTTTATTAGATAATGACCATTATTAATTTTTATTATAGACTTATGTATCTTTTTAAAATATACTTTAAGAAATTAATTGCTTAAATTTATTTGTGGCTAGGACAAGGATGAGACCGGAACTGTTAAGCAGATTGAAACATCTGAGGAGTATGATGGTGGCGCTCCCAAAAATGTGAGATCTGATATTTCTGATCAAGAGGAAGATGAAGAAAGTGAAGAATGTCCAGTGTCTATTAGTAAGTTTAAAGATTTCATGCTAGGATCATACATTTGTCCTTTATTTGTTGGTTTTGTTGTTGTTGTTGTTGATCCTCATCCGAGGATATTTTTTTATTGATTTTTAGAGAGAGTGGAAGGGTGGGGTGCAGAGATAGAGAGAGACATCTATATGAGAGAGAGAAATCAATTGGTTGCTTCCCACATGTGTCTTGGCGTGGCCAGGGATCAAACCTACAACTCAGCTACTGGCTCTAGACCAGGAATCCAACCCTTCGCCCTTTGGTGCAAAGGTCGATGCTCTAACTACTGAGCACACCGGTCAGGGCCATATACTTGTTCTTTATAAGTCTCTTATTGAAACAGTTTGGTGAAATGTAATGAATATAGAATTAGGTGTTCGACAACTCTGAATTTGAATTGCTATGTAATCCTGACTAAATTACTTGTGCTAGTTTTTTCTAGTACATACTATTTTGAAGATTTCAGATGTTAATATGTAAAGCATTTGGACAAGCCCTAGGTGGTTTGATTCAGTGGAGAGAGCATCAGCCTACAGACTGAAGGGTCCCAGGTTCTATTCCAGTCAAGGGTACATGCCCGGTTTGCAGCCTTGATCCCCAGTGTGGGGCATGCAGGAGGCAGCTGACCAATGATTCTGTCTCATCATTGATGTTCCACCTCCTTTCCTCTCTGAAGTCAATAAAAATATATTTTTTTTAAAAAGCACTTGGATAATACAAGAATGTAATAAATTGTAACTATTGAGTGCTGAAAATTTACCCCAAAATTGTGTTAACCATCTTAGATTTGTCCAAAGCCGAAACTCAAGCACTGACTAATTATGGAAGTGGAGAAGATGAGAATGAAGATGAAGAAGTAGAAGAGTTTGAAGAGGGACCTGTAGATGTCCAGACTTCCCTGCAGGCCAACACTGAAACTACCGAGGAAAATGAACACGATGATCAGGTAGCCCAGTGTAGATCGACTCTTCCCCCATCTCAACTATTAACAGCAGATCCTTTTTAACGATGTCAACATGTACAGCTTCCCCATTCCCATGTTCAGGAATACAACATTTGGCTGCTGGCATTCTGGAGCTAGATATGAAAATGGGGCTGAGGGCCTTACCATTACACAGACTCATTGAATCCTGTTTTCAATGTGACACGATGCCTTTCCTCATTCATGTTTTTCATACCCCACTCCTCCCCAGATGGCCCCCTAGGCCTGAGAATTACTAATTTCTCCAAAATGCAATCTCCCGTTTTCTGTTGAAGTTGAGGGAAAGGAATCTAGGTGTTCATGTTTTCCTTAAACAAATTCATGTATCCACCACCACCCGCTTTTCATCACCAGCTCCCCACCACAGTATTCCTTCCTAGAATCTGGCACTTCTAATTGAGGGTGATCTCAGTCTTTGTTTTCTCCTGCTGCTGAAGGCACATAGCTTTGTTCATCTTTCGCCCCTCCTGGTCAGTTCCTCTTCCATTCTTTTATCATCTACATGTAAACAGTTTTAAGTATTATTTAACCAGTTAACTGTCACAGTATTTTGAATTTAATTTAAAAAGGCCCACTACTTGCGTCTATAAATGTTTATGGCGTACAAATGGTTAAGATAGAATCTGACCTGAAAAAATAATTTAAAAAATAGTGGAATCCATAATATTCCAATTCTGTGTATTTGAGGTTCTTTACAGAGATGAGGAAACTTTTGTACTTAGTTGTCTTGAAATTGCAATCACAGCCTCCTTGAAATACTTTTATATTTTTAAATTCTTTTATATGAAGGTCTCAGGTTGGACAAAAGCCACATAGTAGTTACCCTATATTTTAGGCCTTACTATCAAAACATTATTTTTTCCTTCCAGATTCTTCAACAGAACTTTGAAAAATCAGCAGAAAGCAAAGATGTCCCATCAGAACAAGAACCCACTACTGGTAAAGGTAAGAAATCTAAATAAGTATTCAATTTTAAGATTATTTAAAGTCCTATTTATGTGCTTAAAAATTGAAAAGAAGAAAATTCTTAGCTAATGTAATTTTTGGGCCTAATGTATGCCCCTTTTCTCCCCCTAAAAATGTAGAAAACATGAGGGTTTTGTTTTCTGCCAACAGTTGTTAAAGTTGACATACCTAAATACACAGAAAAAAAATCTATAAGGAAGATATCTTTATTTAGAAATGTGGGGGATTTAAAACACACACATCTGTTCCTGGGCTTATGCATTAGAAATCAGATGGATTTTAGGAATCTAATATTTAAAACAACCCCAATTAAATTTGGAAACTTGATAAGGAAAATTTAAGGTTGCCTTCCTTTTTTTTCTTAAATGTCTTAAATACTCTGACTCATACATACATACTGTCTTTATTTCGTGTAGTAATAAAACTTAACAGCTGTTGCATTACACTAACGCTGAGATTTTCTTTATGACAGATGACCAGGATAGTGTTCCTATGAAACCGTGTTACCTCAATATCTTGGAAAATGAGCAACCTCTAAGTAGTACTGTCCAGGACTCACTCACTACCACTGACTCATCTAAACAGCCTAGCGCTTTGCCTTTACCTTTACCTGAAATTGAAACCTTGGTGCCTAGAGTCAAAGAAGTTAAATCTGCTCCAGAAACTCCTGACAGTTCTCTGGCTGGAAGCCCTGATACTGAATCTCCAGTGTTAGTAAATGACTATGTATGTATCCATTTATCTTTCTAAATATTTCTGCATTTCATTTCTGTGCATATTTCTTTTCAGGTTAACATTTTCAGCATGTAAACACAACCTTTATGTTTAGGTTTAGAGACTGTTAATATATTTATTTCTTATTCAAACTTATTTTAAACTTGAAGAGAATGGTGATTAAGGTGGCTATCTCAATACCTAAAAGCTATTCTACTGTTTATACTTTTGAGAATGGAAGAGATGAGTTTTAGGTGGCAAACTAAAGGGAGTTTTTTGTTTGTTTGTTTTTTAATATATTTTATTGATTTTTTTATTTTTTTACAGAGAGGAAGGGAAAGAGATAGAGAGCTAGAAACATCGATGAGAGAGAAACATCGACCAGCTGCCTCTTGCACACCCCCTCCCGGGGATGTGCCCGCAACCAACGTACATGCCCTTGACCGGAATCGAACCTGGGACCTTTCAGTCCACAGACCGATGCTCTACCGCTGAGCCAAACCGGTTTTGGCAAAAGGGAGTTCATTTTTAAGTTCAGATCTGATAGGATAATGATATTTGTATCAGCCCTACTCTCTTATACTATTCATACATGACATTTCAGCTGTTTATAGCATTTCATAAATTTTGATAACTAAAAGTTTATATTTGGAATGGGAAATAAAACAATTTGACAGCAATAGTCTTTTTTTAATTTTTTAAAATTTTTTTTATTGATTTCAGAGAGGAAGAGAGAGAATCATTGATTGGCTGTTTCCTACATTTCCCCTCCCCCCGTTGGTGATTGAGCCTCACTACCTGGGCATGTGCCCTGGCCAGAAATCACCGTGATCTGATTCACAGGTTGATGCTCAACCACTGGGCCACACCAGCTGGGCAGCAAAAGAGTCTTTATGGCTATACACTGAATGACAGAAAACAATATTAGGAAATATGCTACCAGATCAGGACCTTTGTGTCGATTTTATAGCAAGAAGGTTTATTTTTTGGATTCTTGGGTTGTGTATGTTTTATATACTTCATCTTATCAGCAAAAATGAAGAGATTTATAGCAATGTACTCTTAGGTCTAAGAGTGTGTTTCCTGTATTTTTAAAATTTACGTCAATTTTCTTCCTAAAGATATATTTGCAATTATGATTTTATAATTTCTTAGAAAAGGGGCTTAAAATGTTTTTTAAAAAAAATTAGAAGACTTTGTTTTATTTTCTTCACTAACAGTAAAATTGTGCACCTAAAACTCTTAAAGTTACATGTTAGATTTATTCCTGTTATTGATGAGTTGCTGAATGAAGTACTGCATGAAATTAACTTGAAATTAGATTATAAAGGGTCTTAAATTTGAGGCAAGGACATTATTGAAAGTTTTTGCATAAGAAAGTGACATGTTTATAATCATGGTTTTTTTAAGAAGAATCTGATGGCTATATAAAATATGTTGTCAAGGGAGCAATGTTAGGATTCTCCATTATCATATGAATACAAAATAGGAGCTAAATGGGAAATGGGTGAGAAATAGTTCAAGGAAAAGAAAAACCTACAGATTCCACTTGGGTAATGGAGGATGAAAATACTATTAAAACTCGAGAGGAGAACTAAGAGTAAGAGAATTCAGGTTGAGCTGGTCAGAGATATGAGTGCTAAATTCCTGCCTCATTTTTCTGGTTGAGCCTTCAGAGATTGATATTGAAAGTCTGGCCGAGACCTGTTTGGCTCAATGGATAGAGCGTCGGCTTGGGGACTGAAAGGTCCCGGTCAAGGGCATGTACCTTGGTTGCGGGCATATCACCAGTGGGGGGTGTGCAGGAGGCAGCTGGTCGATGACTCTCTCTCTCATCGGTGTTTCTAGCTCTCTATCTCACTCCCTTCCTCTCTGTACAAAATCAATAAAATATATTAAAAAAAAGAAAAGAAGAAAGTTTAAATGTTTACTTAGATTCTGTTGGATACAGCTCGGATGTATTCTGTAAACATATCAAGGACCAAGCACTTTTCTTCTGGTTATTTTAGCCAATTATTTCTTCCTTCAGCTCATATAAACTGGCTGTTGGTTTTATAAAAATGAGAACAAAAACACAAACCTGAAAGTTTGTAACCCTTCCTGTGAACTCTAGGGTTTCTGTTTCATTATAGAGTTTAATTGTATTGGAAAACCAAAGACGATAGAATTTTGTCTCTTGGCATGCGTGACTTGGCATACAGAGATGAAGTGGGTTGCCTTCATTAAATGCTAACTTGTTTATATTACAGGAAGCAGAATCTGGTAATATAAGTCAAAAATCTGATGAAGATGACTTTGTGAAAGTTGAAGATTTACCACTCAAACTGACAATATATTCAGAAGTATGTGGCTCTCTTTAATTAAACTTATCTTTATATAACAAATATTGTTAGGATGGAAATGATTTTTTTCTCTCATTATTCCAAAGGCAGATCTAAGGAAGAAAATGGTAGAAGAAGAACAGAAAAATAATTTATCTGGTGAAATATGTCAAATGCAGAGCGAAGAATTAGCTGGGAATTCTCAGACACTAAAGGAACCTGGTATGAGTTATTAATTTTAACCATATCATATTGAAATGTACCTCTCCTTTCAATGTTCATATTGGGGGTTTTTAGTTTTCTATTTGCTGCCTTTGTTATTTTTAATATATACATTTTCTAGTTTCATCAGCTTTGGTGATTATCCAATTACTCCTTCCTTCTTCCTTTTTTCTTCTGTTCAGTTTCCAACATATTCTTATATTATTAAGGTTTAAACACATTATTTTTGTTGTAAATTCTCAGCTAAGGATATTTTCCCATTGATTTTAGAGGGTGACAGGGATGTGGAGAGACAGAAACATCTGTGTGAGAGAGACACACTGATCTTGCATAGGCCCCGACCAGGGTCAGAGATCAACCCTGAACTGAAATATGTGCCCTTGACCGGAATTGAACCTGGGACTCTTCCGTCCGCAGGCCAACAAAAACCTCTATTTTCCTAAAGATGGTTCTATATAAATATGATTCATCACAGAGCCACGTGATAGTCCCAGATTTCCTTTATAGTTTAATAGCACAACCTCTGGGCCAAAGAGCAGTTCTTGCATCAAGGTCCTAAGATTTTTGTTGTTATTGTTTATCAATTTATCATTAATTAAAACCATGTAAGATTTTTGTTTTAGAAATGGGGTGAAGAGAAGGGCAGACCAAATATCAAACCTTCAGTTAGTTTCACAGTCGTCAGCCTCGTTCCCATTTTAGCTGGTAGCATCTCGTAGTGTGCCCAGGCCGATGCTTCTTCCCCGCTCACTGAACCTCCCTGTTCCAGCGTCTGGGGACTCGAAGGTGTCTTCTGTCCTGTTCTCAGAACCACGCTTCTTTTGCAGTTTGGATTTGTTCATTTTTACACTCCCCCACCTACCCCACTCCTACCCACCCCTGAGAGAGGCAGGAACTATCTGCTCAGAAGTCTGCCATCTTAAAACAGAAACCCTCATCTAGATTTTAAAACTTACTGTGTGCTATCGGAATTATCGTAGCAAAGTAAATGAGTATTTCCTTGGTAGTAACTTTATATTAAAAGTGAAAATTTTAATGGAAGACAAAAATATTAGTCAATTCTTGTAAGTAACATTTTAATTCAAATACTTTATAAGGCCTTAATTATTGTTTTGTTTTTCAGAAACATTGGGGGCCCAGAGCACATGAGATGTCTTCAGAGACTCATCTAACTCTACATGGTCAATGCATATGTGGAAATGGTTCTAAATAAACATCAGTTTTGAGCTGTATAAAATGTAAATTAGTTTGACACTGCATTTTTGATAGGTGTGCTAATTTCTGCCCATGGCAGTTAACATAAGAAACTAACTTCTGGACAGATTCAAGCCTTGATACACTGTGCGGTTTTCTTTTTCTCTTTCCTTTTCTCTCCATTGTGATGTTTGGTAACGTTGAATTTAAAATGTAGTTTTAAATAAAGTTTGAACTTACCTGTAAAGTATCTTTTTTTGGAAATTATGTTGAATTCCATATTGCAAGATACTGCTCTATATAATTAGGCTGTTCAAAGAGGTAGTGGTCGAGAGTTAGAGAAATACGCTATCATAAAGCCTAGCCATTATGGCAGGTTTCCAAGTAATGCCAGTGTTCCTGCTCTTGGGTCTAATGTTTGTATCTTATTCCTGTGCAAGGTAGGACAGGTTATGAAGGTTTCTAGGATATCTGTGAAGTTATCGTAGAATATATATTAATACTCTATTCAAATTGAATAATAAGCTTAGAACATATGTCCTTATTACCAATTAGATAATTTCCAGAATTTTATTCTTATCTATGTTATCTCCATCTGAAAAATGTTTTATATAATCAGAGAACATTTCTGCACAGACAGTAACATTGTAGCTGATTTTAAATGAAAAAACTGGGCTCTTCCAAGTGTGGATTAATAGAAATAAATTCATGTACCAGAACATTGAGGTTATGCATGCCTTTGGATGAACTATTGAGATGATAATTTAATACCAAAGCATAGCAGTTGCTTCTGTGAGTAGTGAGAGAGATGAAGTATTGAGTAATGAAAATCTATGTGACTTCATTACTAAGTTAGCCAGCTTTTAAGAGATGGTTTACCTTAGATCCCAAACTTGCCATATATTGGTAAGGCTCCACAGAACCAGTTAACAGTTATTTATTCCGGGTATCTGTTAAATTTGTTAAAAAATGACAATACCCTATAAAAATTGGTTGGTATTTCTTTAAAAGTCTTACCTGCCTGATACCTCAATGTAAAACTGCAATGTCCAATCAGGGAGTATGAAACAAACATTTTCCTATGAGGGCATTTACTGTGTTGCTACTTAATTTAGAATTGTGTGAGACATGTATCTCCCACTTGAATAAAATCTATTCAGAAACCTGTCATTCCAGAATCAGGAATTCTTATCCAGTTGGCTTTGCTTCAGGAAATTGAAACAATAGGTTAAATTTTATGTATATTCCAGTCCTGTGTTTGTTTTCTCGGTTGTATGGGAAGGGGAAACTTCATTTGGTACTCAAGCCAGGCCTCACATCCTGACTCTCCCTCTGTGTGCATGTTAAGGTTGGATATAATGGAAGAGTTGTACTCTTGTCTTCGTTGTTACTGTAGTACCTGTGATCCTTATCAAACTTGTTTATTTGACTTAATGTTACAGCTGCTGTAATCATTTTAGTAGATAACTAAATTTTAAAGTACCTAAGAGCTTGAGAGCAAATAACTAATTTCATTTGGTTTTTCCCTCGTAGCTATTGCTAACGAGTTAGGTATTTAATATTCCTGTCTGTCTTAATTTGTAAGTTAAAAACTTGGTTAGAAATAAAAGAGGAAGAAAAGGTCCAAAAGAGAGAGAATCCTGCACAGGTTGAGATAATGTCTGACGTAGTGAGCACAACAGCCTGTGCGGGTGCTCTTTGTATTTTGTAACATTCACTTGGAGTAACTGCTTTTTCACTGTTAATAAATGTATATCCTGTGTATGACCCTGAATTGCATTTTCATTTAAACTGACATATTTATGCTTAGAATTTATTCCAGAATTGGGGCTTGAAATCAAAACATGAAAAATAATGACATATCAACTAGCTAGAGAGATGATTCATTAAACTTGAGACTATTTTTCTTACAGCACAGGTATGCTCTACTGTTTATTACTATCTATCTTATGTGGAAAACGTTTTTGTGTTTATTTAAACTTTAATTGGCATATTTCCGGCTTGTTGCTAAACTTTAATATAAACAGGCCGTTCATGATCTGTCAACTAATTTGGCTCTGGATTTCACTTGTTTCACTGCAAAAATGCAGATGCCCTGTCACGGGAAGAGGCAGTGTTTCTTGTTGTTGCTGTACAACTCTAATTGTTACTTTAGGTTTGCTGTCTTTTCATGTCTGGCTCTTTCCTCATACTGACTGGTGCTTCTGATTAAGGAATGGGGGAATCCTATGCCTACAAATGACTTTGATTTAGATATAAGAAGAGTTTTAATTATCCTTTCATTTCATCTGCCCAAACTCAGAAGTTCTCATAAATGAACCTTTGAGCCCAGCCGGTTTGGCTCGGTGGATAGAGCCAACGCCTGTGGGCTGAAGGATCCCGGGTTTGATTGTGGTCAAGGGCACATCCCGGGCTGCAGGCTCAATCCCCAGGAGGGGGTGTGCAGGAGGCAGGTGATCAATGATTATTTCATCATTGATGTTTCTCTCCCTCTCCCTTCCTCTTTCTGAAATCAATAAAAATATATTTTAAAAAAAGAACTTTTCGGCCAGCAATTTACAGAAACTATTGATTATTTTGAAAAATAATAATGTAAAGTCTCAGTACAACAGAATTCTTTCATATAATATTCTTTAAAAAAAAAAATTATTATTGGCCCTGACCAATTGGCTCAGTGATAGAGCATCGGCCTAAGAACTCAAGGGTCCCAGGTTTGATTCCGGTCAAAGGCATGTACCTTGGCACATACCTGGTGAGGGGTGTGCAAGAGGCAGCTGGTGGATGTCTCTCTCTCATTGCTGTTTCTCTCTATCCCTTTCCCTTCCTCTCTGTAAAAAAAAATCAATAAAATATATTTTTAAAAAATATTTTTAAAAAGAATGGTTGAAAGTATTACACATGTCCCCCTTTTCCCCCTATCAACCTCCTTCAGCCCACCCCGGCCCCTACCACCCCACTGTCTGCATCCATGGTAATATTCTTGCATTAAGACTTCCTATGTGTAGTTAGTTGTCTCTGATATTTAGGTCTATCAAGTCACATGTGATTAACTTAAATAATAGTTGTAAATATTGTTATACTGCTAGAAATCCTCACCTTTAATGAACTATATCTCCCAGAGTATAGCAGCCTCTTTAAAGCCATCCTATTCTTAAAAACATATATTTTATTGATTTTTTAACAGAGAGGAAGACAGAGGGATAGAGAGTTCAAAACGTTGATCAGCTGCCTCCTGCACAACCCCACTGGGGATGGGCCTGTAACCAAGGTACGTGCCCTTGACCAGAATCAAACCTGGAACCCTTCAGTCCGCAGGCCAATGCTCTATCCACTGAGCCAAACCGGTTAGGGGAAGGCCATCCTATTGATCAAATGACATCATTAAAGAATTTTAAATATTTTTAAAATTTTATTTTGAGAGAAAGGGAGAGGGAAGCATCAATCAGCCACAACCCCAGCATGTGCCTTCCTAGGAATTGAACTGGCAATCTTTCAGTGCAAAGGACAATGCCCAACCGACAGAGCCAAGCAGGCCAGGACAACATCATAGGTTTTTAAAACAAAGTGCTATGCCAATTCACATTAGTAATATTTAACATTTGTGTTAAACCTCTTTTAGTGAGACTGGACAATTAAGAGCTCTTCCATCTCTATTGCTCCTTCACCTGTTGGATATTCAGTATTTTCCTAGAAGGGGAACATGGGTCTGTCTGTCCAATGTTCATGTAAATGCTTTGATGACGAGAGCTACACAAATATAAGTCACACATGTATCCATGTTTGAGGAAAGAAAGGCACAGGAAAGGGGATCTACCAGAACCCACACTTGGTTCCATATGTTCTTTGCTTAACAAATGTTCTTTTCTAATATGTGCTGGCTCTGTACTCTGATTTTCCCCTCTACGTAAGGACGTGAGGTCTGAAGATAAAGAGCCTTCGTTCTAGTGGATCTTAGATGTAGTTTCTCCACAGTGTCACCATTCTAGTTATGTCCATTGCATTCTCTCTCTTACTGCCCCTCCCAACCCCCAATGTTTGTTTAAGACAGATAAATGGAATTCAGATAAGCTACAAATTAATATTTCAGATAACTTTTTGGATTATATAATTATCAATTTCACCTTGGATTATGTCATATATGATTGCTCCTTGTTTTTTTTCTCCTTACCTAAAACTAGGTGGAGAAATTTTAGCCCTTAGTTTGGATGCAAACAGTTCAGGGTTATTATCCAGCATTTCTAAAAATACAATTTCATTAATGTCCTCTGCAAATTAAAATAGCAATTATCACTATCCAGGGGGAACCATTGTCAACCTATTTATAAACATCTCCTAATCATCTTATGTTCTGTGTGTATATCTGTTTATGCATAAGCATATATAAAGCATTATGTAAATAGGCCTGCCCATACTATATATCTTGAAGTAAACAACTCTCCTTCAAATTTTAATATCAGTTATTACCTTCACACAGTATAATTTAGTCCTGAGGAGTCAGTATGAAGCAATTAGCATCCCATTTTATTGTGCGTATCAAAGGCTACTTGAGAAAAATAATACAAGTTTACCTCACATTTTTATAAGAACAAAATTGCAAGTAAAGTTTTTTACATTAATTGAATCCTAGCTTAACACAAATCCTCTTATAATTATTCTTGCTTCAGGGGAGATAATACCAGCACCACTGTAATTTTGAGGTAACAAACCAAGTGAACCTCCATTCTGGGAGGAAAAGCTGCCTTTGTCTGCACACCGGGCTGGAACAGTGGGAAAAGAAGCGGCAAGGACTGTGTAAAACCAACGGCATAAGCTGAAGAACCCACCTGCACATTCTTATTCACACACCCTCGGTAGCTTTGGTTTCTACATAGTAACTCCCACCCTCAGATCGGCACGTAGTTGTACACTCAGTCAGTACACAGGCTGCTGACACTGCTTTATTGGACATCATGAATACAACTGACATGGAAATGAAGTGGATACGGTCATGCCCAACTGGCATGCAGTTCACAGTTAATTGTGAGAGTTTGAAAAGTTAACAAGTCCGATTAGCATTTTTCATAAATACATTGATTTCTGAAAAACATTTTTTAGTAACTACTTAGTTTAAAAAAATACATATTGATCAAAAGGAAAAACTCAAAATCTATTAAGTGGATGATCCCTAGGAAGGTTAAAAAAAATGGGTTCATACCCCACTTTGCACAAGTCTGACCTGTTTACCATTAATTCACAGGACCTGGGCCTCGGGTTTTGAAGCTAACATCCTGGGGTTTCTGGAGGTAGGGTCATTACGAAAAAGGAAATCCCTCCATTCTGTGTATAAAAGACTGTGTTGCATAATGATTGCTTCATGACCCCTAAAAAGGACTTCTATTCAGAGTCAAAGGCCCAGGTATTACCCATTAAGAAATACACAGTTGGATGTATTTCTCCCTTCAAAGTCAGTGAAATAACATTGCTGTCACAAACAGGAGACAGTGGCAAACTGTATTAACTTAAGTAGCAATTAGTACCAGGAGGAAAAGACGGCTATACTGGAAAATATACAAATCTGTAGATAACAGTGGAAAACAATTTGCTATAACTGTTACGCAGATGTGCTGAGTCAGCGCCCACAAGACTCTCGCTTTATTCGATGGAAGTGGGTCCCACGACAGGTTTAACTGCCCATCCCCAAATGTCAAAGTGAAATGAAACTCAACAAATCCTAAATGATTGTTGTACTTCAGTTATCTGCAAATAAGAACAATCAACTGCTGCGGCACAAATGCCTGTGAATTGTAAACATACGGAGACGAACGAGCTCACGCCTTAAGCAGCTGCCCTGAGTCTTGGCTTTTGGTCAGCGGTCAGGTGGCTGCAAGAGTGGGTCACGTGAGCTCCCACCTTGCTGTCTTGGTGCATTCTGTGCTCACCAGCCTACACAAGGGTCTGGACAATCCCGCAGGTAAGTTTCAAACTGACCTTTGGTGACGTCCATCAAGGTGGTGAATACAGTCAGCTGAAAGAGAAGTTATTTTCACTTTAAGGATGTTTTCAGTTCTAAGATGTCCTGATTCACATTAGCGTTTCTTAATGAAATTGCTATATATAATATTTGTAAAACAAATGTTATATAATATAAAGTCTAACTGACTTCAACAGGCTCTTTTCCAGGTTGTGAAGATGATAGGCTTGGGGGAGAAGCAAGGTCTCTTCCTGGGCAGCACGCCGCTTCCCCAGCTATGCTGTAAGACGCAGCCTGCAGCCTACACTCCGTAGTCATGCAGAGCCTAATGGTATGCTTTGGAGTATGAACAGTGTTGCTTTAGCTGTCCGTATCCTTAAACCATATACAGTGGGGGACACTATGCGGGCATGCAGATTACAAGGCATACGCACGAGGCACATGGAATCTAAGTAACGACTGTGAGCTCATGATGATGGCATGGGCCACACGAGAAGTGTGGCAGGGTACTGGCTAAAGGACGGCTTCCTGTGGAAGCCAGATTCGGATCTGATGTGACGGGCAGAGGTGACAGAGGCAGGCTGATTTTAGGGAGGGTTAGGGGGAAGGACCAAAGAGAAGGACAAATGGGAAAATCAGGGTGTGTGTATCTAGAATACACGAGGGTGACTTATTAGTACACTGGGTGACTAGGAAACTGCATTTTTAGCTATCGTGTGGGGAAAAGATAAAAAGATGTAATAGTTTATCTAACCCTAGTTAACTAGACCCGAGAAACCCTAACCCACCAAGACACAAAGCTCTGCCTCAAAATGGACTGGGTAGGTTTTAGGGGCTAGTTGTACAGCATAAGATTCTGGTGGACAGGGAAAAGTCAAGGCTAAAATGATACACTTAATTCAATGCCATGCAAGGAAAACTAGAAACAATACTCTGACAAACTGACATCCAAGCCACAAGGATCGGTTTCTTTGTCCCGTCCCAAACGTTGCTCTTTTAATCACACAAATACATGTTTAAAACCCGGCCTTCAGCTGAACATGCCTTGTGATTCTAGCTCTGATTTCTCCGATGATAACAGGGAAAGATAAAACAGGACCGAATTCTTTACCCTAAAAGCAAATAAATGTATATATTGTAAATACCTTGTTGAGGACAGGTTTTGTTGACAGGGTATCGTATAAAGTTGGTAATGAGATATTCTAAAAGACAAAAATAGTTCGTTCAGTACATTAAATACAGACGTCAACAGCCTCATCCACACAAATGGGTCACTGGGAACCAACACATTGTCAATCACCTCCCCCCCCACCCTGCACCTAAATGAATTTCCTTGGGGCTGCTGTTAGAAACACAGGTCATGGTTCTAATGTTCACTTTCCTTTCTGACTCTTCCCCTTTTAATTCCTGTCTGTCTGTCATCCCACTTCACCAAGTGGTTTCCAGAATTAGAAAGGGAAGTACTGCAAAATTTTGCTCTTTAAATTAAAAACAAAGCAAAAAAAAAACTCCGTGGGGACTATCCATGGATAATGGGTAACATGAGGTTTGCAAATTCTACAAAGGCCAAATAAAAATGCCAGAACTAACACAACCTCGATGGGAACCTTTTCTTTCTATATCTGACATTGTGAATGCTCGTTACCTCCTGGGTTGTCTGGTTCAGACACGTCTTCGCAGCTGATCTGCGATCATCGAGGAAGAAGGGATGTTTCCAACGGTCATAGTTAGTTTCTACGACAAACCATCTGTCCTCCTTGAGGTCGAGTCTAGATACGAAGAGATTCCTCTCAGACCCGTGCCTTAAGCCTGTATAGTCTGTGCTTTAGCTTCTGCTTTGCTTTAACAAATGTACTTACTCATAAACATCCAAGGATCTCTTTCTTTCTCGTGTAATCACACAGCCCTCCCCCGACTTGTTGCCTCCCAGGATAAAGTATGCTGGAGCCAGTATCTTCGTTTCGGTCAATATATACTTGGCTTCTTGATAACTACATAAACACATTTTCCAGAAAGAAACATTTTTAGTTGACTTGAAATGGAAGTTTTTAAACTACAGAAACGAAGTGAAAAATATCTGAGCAGCACATTTTAAAAAGGATGGTGAGCAACGGCTCAGCAGGAACAATCTCTGACTGCTACGAGGCGAAACATCGATCGGAAATGTCCCCTCTAGACTTAAGGACAAACACAGCAGTCTTAAGAAATTGTCTTCCACCCTTATTGTCTATGCCTTTCACTCAACAATAGAACAGGGAAAATAGGATCACTATATATAGGACTTAGGGAAGAGAGAGTAAACCTTGAAAATTAGGGCTATTGATCAAGGAAGAGGGTCTTCAAAGATGATTACTAAATCTTATTCCCTGGAAAGCATTAAAAGTGGAATTGATGCCCTTTATTCTAGGTCATGTAGATGTAGTGCTGGCTAAAGGCAGTTTTGCTATTATAAGATTTCTGCACCAGCATAGAATATAACTTCTAGGTTAACAGGTATGATTTAAATGGATATTTTATTATATAACTAGAGGCTCAGTGCATGAAATTCATGCATGGGGGGGGGTGTCTCCACTCAGCCCAGCCTGCATCCTCTTGAAATCTGGGACCCCTCAGGGGATGTCCGACTGCCAGTTTAGGCCCAATCCTGCAGGGATCCCTGTCGATTGGGCCTAAACTGGCCATCAGACATCCCTCTCACAATCTGGGACCACTGATCCCTAACTGCTCACCTGCCTGCCTGATCACCCCTAACCACTTCTGCCTGCCTGATTGCCCCTAACAGCTCGCTGAGGGCAGCTGGCCGGGGTGAAGTACCATGGTTGTTCTGGTCTCTGGTCATTCTACTGTTTCGGTTGCTAGGCTTTTTATAGGATTTGTATTTTGGGTATAGATCCCTTCATAGTGGCACTATCTTCCAGAACTTTTTAAACAAACAACTTCCTTACTTTAAACACATACACCACACACACAAATAATTCACCTACAAAATTCTGAAATGATTCTTCAGTTGAAGATAAAGCTGGGAAGTATTTTTCTATTTTAATATGAGTAATTTAAAATAAACAATATACTAAAAGAATCATACACCATGTCAAGAGGGACACAGTAAAGGCCATAGATGATGAGCCCACAGCTAACATCTTATTCAATGGTAAAAAGCTGAATGCTTTTCCTTTCCTCCAGGAACAAGACAAAGATGCCCATTTTATTCTATACTAGAGGCCCGATGCATGGAATTCATGCAGGAGCAGGCCTTCCTTCCCCCGGCTGCTGGCACCGGCTTCCCTCAGCACCCAGGATCTGGGCTTCCCTCCGGCCGCTGGCAGGCACCTGGGACCTGGGACCTGGGCTTCACTCGCAGCCCCAGCTTCATCTGGAAGGATGTCTGGAAGGACATCCAGTCTAATTAGCATATTATGCTTTTATTATTGTAGACCAGTAGCCCATCGCGTGATATCGTGCGCAGTAGGCCACGCACCACTTCCCTGGGAGCTGGCAGGAACCGTAGTCGCCAGGAGCCGCGTGCTTCAGCGGGAGGCAGACCCGCCGGCTCCTCTCCAGGACTGCACTCATCTGAGGAGGCTGTGGGCCAGCCCTCCCCACTCCCAGCCCCCACATCCCCTGGACCACCAGAGGCCCTCCGTATGGCAAGGGTGTTGCCATGGTGAAGCAAGCATTCTGCCAGGCCGCTCAGGCTGCCCGCTCTCAGCGGCAGTGCCCCCAGGACTGGAGGAATCCTAACAGGCTGAGGGGAGGGGACTGAGCGCTGCCAACCTGTGGCAATGGGCACCGCCATCTTTGTGACAGAGTCATAGTTAATTTGCATATTACCCTTTTATTAGATAGGACTAGGCACCTGTTGCAGGAATATTCCTGCAAGGCTTCTGGCAGGCTTCCCTCCTGCCACCGCCACCTCTACCGCCCCCCACCTCTCCCACCCCACCCCACCGCATTCGCAGCCACTGCCACCGCCGCTGCACGCCTTACCCCTTAATGTTACACTTTAATTATGTAAATAAAAATAATCTTAAAATAAAATGAAATACTAAATTTGATAATAAAGCAAATGGATTACCTTGTACTATTTTCCAGAACTGCTCTAGTTAGAAACCCAATCCACATGGCATCTTTCTTTCCCAAAATCCATTCCAGGACACCTGGAAGAGGTCACACACAGTGTCATGGGACCTGGAGAGGGGTGTTCACCGGAACGTACAGTCACGTAACAGCCTCTACTCACCCATAAAGCCGCCGTTCGTGCTGAAACGCTCATTTAGTGTAAGGCTAAAGAGCCCCTGAGGAAAAGACAAGGGAGTGAGGTCAGGAACTTGGCCCATCCTGTTTCAGGCCTCTCACTGCACTGCACATGGTATATCGAGACCTGGACTGGGTGACAGGGAATGCAAAGATACTAATCGTGGTCATACCACCTTGTATAGACAGAGCTTTTCCGAAGATCAAAGGATTTTCACACCTAGTGTAGAGACAAGTAGGTCTCACTTTTCTAACTAACTGCAGGGCAAAGAATTAATGGCTGAGGTGCCGAGGGGGCAGAGCCAGGACCAGATTCCAGATTGATCCTCCCAGCCCTCGACACCCAGCCCCATGCTTTTCGCAGAACGGGCTGGGAATCCTCCATTCCTTCCCACCCTTCTCTGCGAGGAGCTCAGGCTCTGAAGGTGACCGGAAATACAGGGGACACACAGGAGCTTCTTATTCGTTTTAGGGCCTCGTTTCCTAGATTCCACCCTCAGAGCGTAAGAGCAGGACACGGGCTCCCTGTAAATTACGTAACGGTAGATTCCTTACTGGTTTGAATCCCGTTAGCATGCCCACGTAGCCAGCAAAGCTTGAAGCCTTGAAGACAGTCTTTTTGTTTCTTTGGAAATCCAAATTCACGGTTAAAGGTTTTAGCTGCTCGGTTACGGTCCAGGTGTTGTTATTTATATTCCACCTATAAAAGATAGATTTAGTGACATTTAAGAACAATGATGATAACGAAGAATATGATGATGATGGCCAGGCATTATGTTAGGAACTTTACCTATCTAACATGATACTATCTACAGATGGTGTATTATAGAATTGTACACCTTGAAATCTATATAATTTTATTAACCAATGCCACCCCAATAAATTCAATAAAAAAAAAGAACAATATGGGTGGTTTTATCCTCCATTCTTCACATGACAAAAGCGAGGCTCAGAGAAGTTAAGGTACTTACTCCTCCCAATATATAAGTCTATAAATAACGAACTGCAGATTCAAATTTAGGTGTCTAATTATAAAGCCGTTATTCCCCCCCCCCCCAAGAAAGAGCAAGAAGACATAAAATAGAATGTTGTTCTTCCTTCTAAGCAATATACTAGACATGCATCTGTATGTTGCATGCATCTGGGCCTTCAAGCACACCCCAAATTTTTGTTCACTAGGTGCAACTCAGTTATGGACTTGCAAATAACTGAGCAAGAGTATACCCATCTTATCTCAAAACTCTGTAGTCCACTCTTGTCACTTCTGGCCACACTTTGAGGGTGACCTGGGACTTTTCACCATTGTAATAAACCCATTGTTCTCAAGGACTGATACCATTTTCTTAACTTACCCAAGGAATATTCCGAAATCCATGTTTCGCCCATGTATTAAATGACCTAATTGAAAGTAAGCAAGAGAGACATGCAGGAGCAGTTATGATAGTACGGCTGATCTTAAATCAAACTGGACACTGAAGTCTGGTTAAATGATAGTCACAGCTACTCAATCCAACAATAAGAATAAGCCGAGTCCTGGCACCGTAAGCCAAACTGTTGTACCGGTCACATCAGCCAGATCCCCCCATAATCTCTGTGAGCACAGGCGTTCAGGTGGGATAAGAATATGGGGGAAGGATCAATGGTCATTCTTTGGCCCACTATGACAGGGTCCTACCCGAACACAGCTATGTTAGCCTCCCCTAACGTGACCTGCAAACATGCTTCAGGCTTTGCCACCAGCACCTGGGCCCCTCAAAGAATAGGTAAAAAAAAATAAGAGAGAATTGGGGTAAGTCACGCTGTGCCCTGTACTCTGAGGACTTTCCAGGAAAACCTGGGGCTCCTGGGCTGAGAAATGGTGGGAGAAGGTTGGTCCTGGGCTTCAAGGGAAGGCTGGGTCATTAAGGCGCTGCTCACGGGCTAATGACACCGCCTGTGCGTACTTATGTCAAATCACAAAGATGGGTACGAGTAGACTACGAGGATAGCCTGAGACACTTCTTCCCACTTGTTTCGTGTGCCTGAATTAAACTTCAATAGGCATTACAATGATCTTAAAGTGAGGATAGTTTTCAATCCACGTGTAAAACTTTACCAAGATCCATACACTGTATGCAACATACACAGAATTTGCATGGCAAGCCTAGATTCTATAAGTTCTAATTCCAGTTATTTGGAAGTATTTTCCTTGACCCTGTACTTGGCAGTGCTCACCTTCCCTCAGCATACTTACCTTTCTTGTCCTCTGCTATGATTGAGGTGCAAATGGTAAAAAATTCATAGAAAATATTGAATGAAATAATCTCTCCTACGAGAAAAGATAGGAGATCTTTTGGTTAACATACAGAACCATGACATTATTAGAAAATTCTTCTTTAAGAAAGGGTTGGACTATCATCACCGTGTGAGCTTTTGCTTTGGCATGCCCATAAAAAGACATGTACAAGAATGTTCATAACTGTTTATTCTTAATATCCAGAATCTGGAAACAAGCCAAATATCCTATTCATACAGTAAGTATAATCAACCAAACACAGCAGTGCATACTGTTTGGTTCTATTTATAAGCAGTTCAAGAGGCAAAAATAATCGAGGTTGAAGTCAGAAGAGCCGTCACCTGGGGACGAGGTATTGTGTATTGTCTATGAAGGGGTATGATGGAGCATTCAGGGTGGCTGGGATTTTCTGTTTGTTGATCTGAGTTGCAATTACATGCATGTATTTTAAAAATTCTGTTGAACTATATGCTTAGGACTGTGCGCTTTACTGTATGTGTATCATATCTCAATAGAAAACATTTTGTGCTTTATTACATTTTTAAGAGCTGAGAAATGAGCTTTACCTAAAGGTAGGCCAGTCACATCTGCAATCCCCTTCATTTCCTCCTCGTAAGGGCCAGTGATGTTGCCAAGTAGACCAGGCTGAAACAAAGTAAATTAACGATCATTCGACCTAAAGAGCTGCTTTGAGATTTGGTTCTCTTATATACGATTTGTAATATTCCCAACCCCAAACCCAGGAATATTTGGTGACATCCAGAAACAGTTTCCGGTGCCACAACTGAAGGGATACTACTGGCATCCAGTGGGTAAAGGCCGAAGATGCTGCTACCCATCCTTCGATGCACGAACTGCCCCCCCCACCACACACACACACACACACACACACACAACCAAATGTTTTCCAATGCTAAATGTCATTAAGTTAAGACAGCTGTCCTAGGGCCTTGGTGCCCCACCCCATCCTTTGCACCCTGCAGGCCAGGGAGGCCCCACAGCAAAGACAGAAAGAGGGTGAAGAGGAACTCTCAGGGGTTCTGGGGCCGCACCCTAGATCTTCCATTGGTTCCACCCAAATTTAAAGACTGAGAAGCAGAGGCCAGGAGGAAACACAATGGTTGGTGACTGCACAGCCACAGGAAACACGCAACCCAGTGATTCCCAACGGCTGCAACTGCTGTGGGCTCCGTAGGCGCAGGGCCAGCTGGGAAAATCCCTGTGTCCTGGGCAAAGCACTTAAGACAGACACCAAATGTTCAATAACGAACTTGAAAGCCCAAGTGTACATTAAGGAGAAGGGGACGCCACACTCCCAGATGAAATGGGTATATTTGCCCAAATGCTCGGTAAAATTGTCAAGATTTTAGAAAACACTAAAGGGCAGTTAACAGCCAAAATTGGCCATGCTATTCCATGTCCCTGCTCTGATGGTACTAGAACGTCCAGTCCCCAAAGTTCTGGCAGTTGTCTGGAATAAAGGCAAACGTGCCCAAGCTCCTTAGAAGAGGCTATAAAATTATGCCTTTAAATAAATACCAGAGCCTTTTTTGAATTGTGTGTTCCTAAATTTATTGTAGGAAATAATATTTCTTACCAACTTTTGATCCACTATCTGCATGAGTTTTCCACTTGGAACAAATATATTCGCTGCATCCCTCAGGTAATTCAGCATAACCCTTAGCTGAAAAATGCGTGAATGCATTCATTAATAAGAAACATAAAGTCTTGACATTTAATATTAACATTGATTTAATGAAAACAGATATAGAACTTTTTGATTTATTTGTAGGTAACTAAATAAAATTAGGTGATATTTTTGAAACTATTTTCAATTAACGAGTAAACAAAATACATCTTTAGCATGACATCTGATTAACTACTTAGATGAAGGTGATGACTCAGAGAGGCAAACAAAGGCAAAGGCTGGGAAAGAGAACAAGAAGTTCCAGGGGCCCAGCGGGTGTGGCTCAGAGGTTGATCTATGAACCAGAAGTTCAATGGTTCAATTCCCAGTTATAATAGAAACCTGGGTTGCTGGCCCAATCCCCAGTGTAGGGCATGCAGGAAGCAGCCAATCAATGATTCTCTCCCCTTATTGATGTTTCTATCTCTCTCTCCCTGTCCCTTTCTCTCTCTGAAATTAATAAAAATATATTTAAATGGCTAAAGTACTTAAATGTAAGACAGGCAACCAAAAATTTCTACAAGACTCTATAGGCAGCAAAATAGCAGACATATGTCAGAGTAATAACTTTACCAACACAGCTCCTAGGGCAATGGAGACTAAGAAGAAAAAAACAAATGGGACTACATCAAAATAAAAAGCACAGCAAAAGAAACCATCAACAAAACAACAAGAAAGCACACTGCATGGGAGAACATATTTGCCAATGATATTTCTGATAAGGGTCTAACCTCCAAAATTTTTAGGGAACTCATACCACTCAACAAAAGAAAGATAAACGATCGAATCAAAAAATGGGCAAAAGATCTAAATAGACACTTTTCTAAAGAGGACATGCAGAAGGCCCAGATACATATGAAAACATGCTCTAAGTCACTAATCATCCAAGAGATGGAAATCAAAACAACAATGAATTACCATCTCACACCTGTCAGAATGGCTATCATCAACAAATCAACAAACGACAAGTGTTGGCAAGGATGAGGAGAAAAAGGAACACTCCCTTGTTCACTGCTGGTGGGAATGCAGACTGGTGCAGCCACTGTAGAGCACAGTATGGAGTTTCCTCACAAAGTTAAAAATGGAACTCCCATTCGACCCAGTAATTCCACTTCTAGGACTATATCCCAAGAAATCAGAAACACCAATCAGAAAGGATATATGCACCCCTATGTTCATAGCAGCACAATTCACCATAGCTAAGATTTGGAGACAGTCTAAGTGGCCATCAGCAGATGAGTGGATTAAAAACCGATGGTACATTTACACAGTGGACTACTACACTGCTGTACAAAAGAAGGGAAATTTTACCATTTGCAACAGCATGGATGGAACTGGAGAGCATTATGCTAAGCAAAATAAGCCAGTCAGAGAAAGATGAATAATATGATCTCACGCATATGTGGGATATAATGATCAACATCATTTCATGAACAAGAATAGATCCAAATGGCAGGGGGTGGCAGGTTAGAGAATAACCAAAGGACTTGTACACATGAAGATTAGCATAACTAATGGACACAGGCACTGAGGCAGGGGGGGCTTGCCTGGGTTGGGAATGGTTGGGAGGGGCAGTGTCAATTGGGGAAAAAGAAGACAAATGTAAAACTTTAGACAATAAATAAATAAATAATAAACAGCTAGCTCCAAGAAATGACACCTTTTCCTCTAAGGTCATTTATGGTAAACTAAAGTCCCGGTGCACAAATTCGTGCAACAGTGGGGTCCCTCGGCCTGGCCAATGGGATCCAGACAAAACCAGCTCTCTGACATCCCCTGAGGGATCCTGGGTGGTGAGAGGGCACAGGCAAGGCCAAGGGACCCTAATGGTGTGCAATGCAGGAGGTTGGCCAACAGGGGAGGTACCGTGGGAGAGCTCCAGGGCCTGTCCGGCCCTTCTTGCTCAGTCCCAATCGGCCAGACCCCAGCAGCAAGCTAACCTACCAGTCATATGGTCTGCCCCCTGGTGGTCAGTGAACATCATAGTGAGCGGTTGAGCGGACTTAGCATATCATTAGCATATTACACTTTGGTTGAACAGCTGACCAGTCGACCAGACACTTAGCATATTAGGCTTTTATTATACAGGATGGCAGAAAAGTATCCAAAGTTCATTCTTCAAGTATTGATGTGAAATTTCATAAAGTGTTCATGAGATGTTCATTTATACATGCATTATATTTAGTGAATCAGATATAAGACTGCAGCGTACCGAAGGTGCCTTGTCGGTGATCAGTTCCTGCCACCTCTTGTAGGGCGGTAAGTCCAGGTTGATGGTGTACCACGGCACTGGCCCCCGATAGCTGCAAGGAGAGGCGCATCATCTTGAAACAGTAAAGGCGGTTTTTTATGGCGGCTAGAGAGTTATATCTCTACGGGTATGTTAGAGATAGATCCTTAATGACAACACAGATGTTAGGCCATCGCTGGTGTTGCTCAGTGGTTGGAGCACTGGCCAGCACACTGAAGGATCTTTGGGTTTGATACCTGGTCAAGGGCACATACTTGGGTTGCCCATTTGATCCGTGGCTCCAGTTGGGACGAGTGTGGAAGCAACCAATCAATGTGTCTCCCTCTCATCTCTCCCCTTCCCCCCATTCTCCCTTCCTCCCTTCCACTCTCTAAAAAATTAATGGGAAAAATATCCTCAGGTGAGGATTAATAACAACAACAAAATATGCAGAGAAATTAGTACTCTGCATAAATTTGCAAAAGCGAATTTTCTGGTACTTCTGTCCTACACTGTATAGCCTCAGAAGGAATATCAGAAATCTTAGTCTGGACTTATACATTCTGGAATGTTAACGTGGACTGTGGCTATGTTGGTTCCAGAGTTCTGTGTAGCCTGAATACCACTGCTAGAAAATACCTGCCCAGCCTTCCCTCCTTAATCTCTGCAGAGGGGCAGTCTAAGCCTGGGACCTCTCCACTGGGTCTCCCAGTCACAGTGCCTGAGACAGGCTGCACCACAGCCAAGTCGTCCTGGCGTCAGCGAGTCCTCTTCCACCAGGGAGGCCTCCTGTATTGGTTTCCCATGGTGGCGTTAGAGCCTTTGCTATTCACTCAGCCACCGTCTTCTTCCTCCTATACCTCCCTCTTCTCACTCCTCTGGGTAAATCTAAACCCAAGCACGGTGGGATCACCCAACCCCAAACTCCCTACCCATCGATTCACACACAGCAATTTCTGCGGAGGACACAGCAACATCCGCATCTTTCCCTTAGCAACGGGCCTGGGCCCCATTTCTTCCTGGTGGGTGAACTCAACAACTACTCTCTGTTGCTATGGAAACATTATCTTCTGGCACTTGTTACAAAACTGAAATAGCCCCTAAGGGTGTGCCATTCAGTGATTTGTCAGCTAAAAACTGTCTGAAAACAGCCAGCATTTGCCCCATTATTGCTCTGCTCGGGGGGCATAAGGATTGCTCTAGGTCAGCGGTCGCCCACCTTTCGGACCCCAGGGACCACCTGGTCTGCGGACCAATGATTGGCGACCGCTGCTCTAGGATAGGTGACCGTGTTCCCGGATGTTAAAGTAAAACGTGACCCATACTTTCATCCACGGCAGAGACGGGTTAGTCCCTAAGCCATGAGTTGTGCTCCTAGTTACACTTCTGCTGTCACGAGTTAACTACTGATTCTCTAAACGTGCTGCTGCGCTCGTGGTCTGGGGACACGTGTGGGGTTTTGTGAAACTGCGAACCAGCAGCCACTGGTGGTGTGATTAGGACAGGCAAGGAGCGCACCCCTGATTCTGGAAACGGACTTTCAAACAAAATCAACACATTTTGTTCTTTTCAAAGCATTCTCAAAATCCCATTTCCTTAGGAAGGAATCTGGCAGAAATACCAGTGCAAAAATATTTATATTACGTAAATGTATAAATATAAGAAAACGATGTTTATCTGTAAATGTGTGTATACACATGTATGAACACACACTCACACAATCAGCACTTTAGAACCAGTTAAAAGCAGGGAAGGCTGGCTGGGCAATCAATTCATAGACCCATATAAGGTGCGCAACGAGAGCAGGAAAAAGCCTTGAACGTGGAAAGTTACTCAGTAAATGTTCAATGAAGTGGGGCAGGGAAACCAGCCAAGTGAGGCGCACCATCACCAGGCTCCGAGGACGAACATGCAGTTAGTGGTGAGAGACAGAAAGGAGACCTTGGGGACAACAAACCCTGGGAGGGCTGGACCCTGCCCCAGCTTTAGACTAACATAGAAGCTGACTGGTTCTAAGTTACTTCCTGCCAAAGGTGTGCCTCTTTCTACAGAAAGGCCCGTAAATTTAGCCCTGGCCGGTTTTGCTCAGTGGATAGAGCGTTGGCCTGCAGACTGAAGGGTCCCAGGTTCAATTCAGGTCAAGGGCATGTACCTTGGTTGCTGGCACATCCCCAGTAGGGGGTGTGCAGGAGGCAGCTGATCCATCTTTCCCTCTCATCAATGTTTCTAACTCTCTATCCCTCTCCCTTCCTCTCTGTACAAAATCAATAAAATAAAATTTTTAAAATATATTTTATTGATTTTGTACAGAGAGGAAGGGAGAGAGATAGTTAGAAACATCGATGAGAGAGAGTCATCGATCAGCTGCCTCTTGCACACCCCCTTACTGGGGATATGCCCGCAACCAAGGTACATGCCCTTGACCAGAATCGAACCCGGAACCTTTCAGTCCCCACGCGGACGCTCTATCCATTGAGCCAAACCGGTTTCGGCTCAATAAAATAAATTTTTAAAAAATTTCGTTTAGTACAGTTTCGTCGTACCTGGAACAGAGGCTATGAAGACAAGTGCAGCACAAACTGTATAATTAGAGGCTACAAAACCAGAAAAGTCATCTTGCTATACTGGTTAAAGTTTTACTCTGCCCCCACTTCACCCCCGTCCCAGAAGGCAACTTTCATTGAACATAAAAAGCAGGGCAAACAAGATCACCTGCCTTATGCCCTAACTGGTTTGGCTCAGTGGATACAGCGTCAGCCTGCGGACTGAAGGGTCCCAGGTTCGATTCTGGTCAAGGGCATGTTCCTTGGTTGTGGGCACATCCCCCGCAGGAGGTGTACAGGAGGCGGCCGATCAATGTTTCTCTTTCATCAATGTTTCTAAATCTCTATCCCTCTCCCTTCCTCTCGGTAAAAATAATAAAATATATATTTTAAAAAGATTACCTGCCTTATAACTTTCTCTTCTCTCCCACACCCTGGTACCCTTTGGACTGGTGAGCTAGTCTCAGGTCTTTCTCACAGGCCCAAGTAGCCAGCCACAAAGGATCTAAGGCCACCCATATATCTAGACTACAAATATGAACATCAGTACATTAAATATTGGCCTTACCTTCAGATTTTCCAATCCTGCTTTTCCCTTGATAAATTTGTTTACCATGCCAGGGTTTATTGCTTGAATGGTTCACCTGTAAGACCCTACACCATTTGTCCCAATATAATCTGGTAGTTTACACTCAGGCACCACAGAAAATCCCAGGTTAGATCTGCATTTGTGAGGATGAGGAAAAGTGCCTAGTGGTGAAGAATTTAGTGAAGAATAGAAATCTCCTCCCCCCTAGAAATGAGCATTTTAATCATGAGGTATTTTCATGTTTGACCAACGTCTTAGTCAAATGCATAACACACAAACTTGAGAGAGGAAAAAAAAAGTTTGTCTATCTTAGAATAAAGGACATGACTTAAATTTTTTCACTGCCATTATTTTTACGAGAACATTACACAGGGAAATGTGAGTTTTGATCAACTCTCATTTTTATATTTTACTCACGTTGGTCCAGAAGGAGGGTAAGTTGATTTTCTGCAGTCTTCTGTCCACTAAAAACAAAGAAAATGTACAATTTCAGAAAATAACAAATTGAGCAGGCAATTTGCAAAAACACTTAAAGCTTATGAAGACAAAATCAAGTATGGCTTGCCCTTTCAGACCATTTCAATGCCTCTTAATAGTCTTTTCCTCCTGTAAAAACTTTGAAAATCTCAAACATAAGTGCACGTTCCGTCTCAATTCCATCTGCTCTAGTAATTTGGCATTTGTATTGCAAATATATCCTAGCGTGTAGAGAGGAAGCCTAAGCAGATGGCAAATGTATGTCAAATAGGCTGATTTATCACTGAATTATTTGATAGAATGTGATGTTACTTGAATCTATGAGCCAACTCGACTGCAATGAAGATTTGCATCCCAAACCAGATTTTCAGGGCAGCTGTCCGGGGCTCTTCATCATCTGGTCAGAACTTCCCCTCCCGGCCTCTCTTCCTGCCACACCCCGTACCGTGGCCACGGGCAACCCGTCCTAATGTATCTCGCCCTCCCATGCCTGTCTGTACAGGCGCGGTGCCCGCTGCCAACAAGGCCTGTTCTCTCTCTCTTGTCGGCAACTTCTGGCTCTAGCATCTGAGACCCAGTTCCAATGCTGATGTGTGTGTGTGTGTGTGTGTGTGTGTGTGTGTGTGTGTGACATCATCGTCTACTTTCCATATGAACACAGTCGTCCCTCCTGCTTACTCCCACAGCCTCTGCACTCAGCGCCATTACCATACTTGAGCGTTGCATTATAATTATGTTTGTGGCTCTCTTCGCTGCCAAACATGTGGCCTGGAGGAGATGGCCCCTGCGGAGGCGATGAATGGACGAGGCCACGGCTGAGGCAATGAATGGATGAGGCTCCCGGAAGAGTGTTCAAGCTCAGTAGTAAAACAGAACCAGCTCTTAACACCGGCAAAAAAGTCCACATGGATTTAAGGTCCCTTAATTACTAGTTCAAGAGAGCAAGCATGTTTATCTTACCTCTAGGACCCAATCTTATCCAAGTAAAATAATTTTTCAAGAGGAGGATAAATTCACAATAAGCAAGGAGTAAGAAAGGAACTACTGCTGGGTCTGTCCTCTGAGCCCAGGTCTGTCTGCAGGAAGCCTGTGTGAGAACGAAGCGTTCACATCTCGTTTTAACTTCTAATAGTCTGGGCTACGTGTAAAGCAGCTTGACCTGACCTGTGGTTCTAACGTTCACTGTTGTCAAAATAACTTTGCTACAGTGTTAAGTTTCTCATATGAGTGCTGTTTTGCCTTGTGATGTTGGGAAGATTTTTATTAAGAAACAGTTACCAAGTATCAAATTGTCAAAGGCTAATTCAATCATTAGAATTTAAATTCTGTTTCTAAGTTACTGCAAGGTAACAATATTTTATATTAAATATCAATTTGAGAACCATATAAACTTAGCAAAAGCTAATTCCCAAAGCCATTCAGTGTTTAATCAGAGTGGATGAAGGAGGTGCATGTTCACAAATTTCAGCCTCTGCCCTGAGCTTACAAACCCCAGCCAAACTTCCCCGCTGCGAGCCTGTGTCACTGCTGGGTGGGGGGAGTCCACAGAAGTGAGGACGGCCACGTCCATGGGAGCGAAAGAAGTTCATGGCTGACATTCCCTGTTCAACAGCACATGACAGGTTCAAGTACATTCCATACAGTGTTTGCCAACAGAGAATACACAGCCACAACAGTTAAACACCATTTCTACAAGTTTTATACGTTTGTCCAACTAAGCCTTTCTCTGCTTCATACATATTTTTACCACTGTCACAGCAGATCCCACTCCAGCTCTCATGGACTGACCGAGTTCTCAGCTTCAACCTGCAGTTGTGTCAGACAGACTATTCATAGAGACTCGTTTCTTCCTCTCACACTGGGCACCGGTGCTCCCACACGGATCAGTAACAGGTAACAGTCATGTCGAGAATCACGTGCCTTGTTCTTCGATTGCTATTGATGCTGCTGCCAGCGTCCTGGGCAGCTGCTGTCACCTGAAGGCTCCTGGCGTAGACAGGTCTTCTCATGGGCTGCCGTCCTCTGCGGAGTAAGCCGCACTGGCCAACGGCTCTCCTTGCTCTGCTAACCAATGAACTACTTGGAGACTGTCTGGCTGCATCCTCATTTCACTTTTAAAGTTTATAAAGGGATTCTGCTGTGATGAGATACTCTGCTCTACATTTTCTGATCACCTTTCCCCTCTGAGCTGGGGGTGCTGTGAAGGCTGCTCCATCTTGGAATGTCACCTCTCTGTGTTCTTCTATCGCAACTCTGCGTCACTGCACATACACACCGGGTTTGCCGTCTAGCCTGGTAACAAGATGGCCCACACTCCACTTTGCCTTGCCTCAAGAGTTAGCTTCTTTTCTCGTTTTGACACGATAGGTTTGCTTTGGCAATTTTTTAAAGAAGATTAAAAAAACACGGCGTCCTGGTTGGGTTATTGTTTAGTGAGTTGTTGTTGAGTCACTGAGTGCCCGGAGCAGCAGTGAAAGCTGGCACAGCCACAGACAATGAGCGAACGAACAAGTGTGAAGTGTTCCAGACAAAGGCCGTTTATGGTCCCTGACATGTGACTTCCTTGCGATCTTTACCTTTACTTCTCAAAATGGTAATCTTTTGATTCCCTACAACTTTTTAAAAATCTGAAACCGGTCCTTAGCTCACAAGGCCTTCCAAGAAGGGCTGGCAGGCGGGGTGTGGGCACCCCCTGCCCCCTCCGACTCCCCGGGGCTGCGATTTGGGAATCTGAGTACCAACCCCCACAAACCGTCCTGGGCCACCATCTAGTCAGTGTCTTCCAGGGGGCTGCTGCACATGTGTGGGGCTGCCGCACATGTGTGAAAAGAGACAAAGAGAGGGACAGAGTGTGGGCTCAGTTTTTTGCCTCAATAAGGCTACATGGCAGCTGACTGCAGGGGTGGGGCTGGGTTTTGTGTTTTTTGTTTTTTTGCCATTTAATGGCCCCTCACTTAACGCTCCTTCCATCCTCATTGAATATTTTTACTCTCCAAATAACAGAATGTACGAGCAAAAATAACGCCCCCCTACACACACACACACACACACACACACACACACACTCTCTCTCTCTCTCTCTCTCTCCCCACCAGAACAACAGGGGAAATGGTCATATCAGAAAAGTATGACTCAATTATTAAGAAAAAGGTCCCAGATGCAATGGGAGTTTTATAGGCTTCAAGAATGAACGGAATAAACATTGAGAGAATAAGTCAGAAGCTGAAAAAAATACAGGACATAGTGAGTATGACATAGGTTTGGCTCCTTCGGTTGCTGAGAAAAAGAGAAAGCAACCAGAACTCCAAGGCAGACAATCCGTGTAAGAAAGGCACGATATAGATATGAAGAAACAAAATTACAGTTTAAGTATGAGTATCTGACAGAGTATATATTTAAATATTCTTTCAGTGCCATTAGAAGCTCGGCTTTAGAATTTCAGGAAAGGAAACGTAATCATAGTTACACTGGGCAATGGCCGATATTTATAAATCTTTCCATTACAATCATGTTATCAATGTTTGCTTAAGCAGGAGTAAAAGTATATAGATGGGAAGAAGGGAGAAAAAGGTACAGGGGTCACCAGGCCGGTGGAACTCAGTGATTGAGCATCCACCTATGAACCAGGAGGGCACATGTCCAGGTTGTGGGCTCGATTCCCAGTAGGGAGAGTGCAGGAGGCAGCCAATGGATGATTCTCTCACATCATTGACGTTTCTAGCTCTCTCTCCCTTCCTCTCTGAAATCAATAAAACTATATATTTTTAAAACTATATATATGTCTCCCTGTACCACTTCAGATAACCCTCTGACCACCCCCAGGGGCCTCAGGAAAGAAGGTCCAGGTGTGCAGACACAGGTCATCTAAAGGATGGCCATTACGGACCGGTCCAAAGGCTCAGAATGCAGGGCCGATTCTGCTAAGAACATGCTTTTCCTGTAGGAAGTCAGCTTTTCTGTCTCCTTGGGCACACTCGGGGTACTGTTTCGTGTTCATGGTTTGCAGACCCTAATGCCTATGAATCAATCTTTACCATTTATTTCTAGCTAAAGCCTCTGGACTCTTCCTGAATGTGTTTGTTTGCCACAAGCTATCGGGGACGGTAGGGTCATGTGGGTTCAAGGCCCGGCTCCATGAGTGATGAGCTGGTTACAGAGCTGGTGAGAGAGAGAGCTGGAGTCCAGACCCCAGCCCAGCTCTCTGGCTCTCTCAGCGCTTCCCACAGAGATAACAACAAAAGCAACGCCCCCGTTTAATTCCTGGTAGGCGATGATCTGCCTTTCCTTCAAGGCTTTAATGATGGCTGAAGTAAACTCAGCAAGCCAATGAAATTTAATGATACTCATCTCTCCCTCATAATCATATTTGCATGGCTGGCCTGGGTCCCAAAGCCACTATATCTCTTATGAGACAACCGTGAGGGAAGCTAAAAGTGCTCTGTCAAGTCTTAGGAGAGGACCCAACCTGCCCCAAAGGCGAGAGAGTAACCTAGCCATCACGCATGTAGGAGTGAGGTTGGAAAGATACTGTACTGTGATAATCACAGCTGCAATAGGTAAACATGAAATTATAATACATGAACTCTGCATAGAATCTGGCTGTAAGAATAAAAGGTAAAAAAGTCATTTTAAACTGACTGGATGGGGGCGGGGGGAGGTAGAATGGAGACAGCTACACCCTCACCTAAAAGGGAGATGTCTATCAGGAAAGAGGGTTTCAAAATCTATGCAAAGACTTCCATAGAATTACAATGAGCGCATTTGTTATTTAAAGTTCCTTGCTATCTCCAAATTTAACTGTACATGGATTTGATAATAGACAACCTTATCAAGGTGAGCATACATTTAAATAGATGAGAGGCAGAGATTTTATACAATGGGTTAGGCATATTACGCTTGGTATACTGTGCTACTGTCACCAGGAAAAAACACACACAAGCAACTCAGAATTCCGGTCACTCTCTCTCTCATGCCCCTTTCTCATTTT